TAAATAAGAATATAATTATTATATAATTAATTAATTTCTTAGAATAGTAATATTTTAAAAGAATTACTAATAAAATAAAATATAAAATGTTTCTACTATTTTTTATTATATATATATATAATATAAAAATCGGAGAATTTTATTTATTAATTATAATATAAACTCTATATAAACTATAAAATATTATTCTTTAATTTTTACTAAAATTCCGAAAATTAGTATTTTAAAAAGAAAATTATATTACTAATATATATTAAACTTATAGAAATATAAAGTCTTTAATATAACTCTTAATATATAATTAGTTATTAAAAATAATATAATTTCTAGTAAAAAGAATTAAAATCTAGAAGCTTAATAACTCTAGTAGTTTTTAAAAAAAAAGTATAAAATATAAGGAATTCTAAATAGAAATAAAAAGAAAATAATTAAAGAGCCTTTAAAAAAGAATTTAAAAGAGCCGAAATTACGAGAATAATAAAAGTAAATAAAGCAGAAATAGCTAGAATTATTATAAACCGATTTATTATAGTTATATAATATTTAATATTTTTTCGAGTTTAATATTATAAAGCTTAATAATATTAAAAATATTTTTATTATAGCTATAAATAGTTTTATATATAAGGGCCTTTTAAATATTTTCTTAATAGCTTTTTATAATAGTATTAATATCTTTAAATAAGATATTAGGCTTCTTGGCTTATTTATATAGTTCTTTAATAATAATAAAATTATTAGTTTCTAGAAACTTTATAATAAAAATAAAGAATTCCATTTTTATAAACTTATTTATAAATTCTTTAGAAATATTAATATAATATTTAATTCGGGAAAGGCTATTAATAAAATAATCTAAACTAGTAAAAGCTTTAAAAGCCTTAATAAAAATTAATATAATTCCGGGTTATATAATATTTTATTCTAGAAAATTAACTTATTATATTTTCCTTTTATTATATTTTCTCTAGTAATTTTATTACTAGTATATATATAAAATAAGACTTAAGAATAATAGTTAGATTACTAGCCTATAAATATCTATTATTTTAGAACTTAGTTAAATAGTAGCTTTTATATAAGATTCTTTAATTTTCGAGTTTTTAAAAGGGTTTTTAATATATTACTAATATATATTTATAAAAATACAAATATTTGATTTCTTTAAAAATTCTAAAGCTTTTTGCTTTTATTATTCTAGAATCTATTATTTTAATAATTCTAAATTAATTTATTTGAAATTATTTATAAAATTAAAGAAAATAAGCTTTAAATATTATTATAAATATAGTATTTAGAGCTTGGAAAGTAAAATAAAAGGTTCTTTATAAAAATAATTTAAAGCTAAAAAAGAAAAAACTAGAATATAAGAAATTATAAAGAAATATATATATATTATAATATATTAGTTTATAAAAGGCTTAGTATCTTAAATATTTCTAATATATTTCAAGTATATTTCTTTAATAAAGCAGCTATATTATATATATTTAGAAAGTAATAAAATATAAATAATGGACTATAAGTAATAAAATATAAGTAATTATTAGATAATTATATTAGTTAATAAAAGTAAAAGCTAAATTATAATAAATAATAAATATCGAATTAATAAAAAAGGTATTTAAAATAAAAGTAATTAAAAAGAAAAAAAATAGAAAAAAAGCTTATAAAAGAAAAGAAATTAAAGGCTTTATATAAATCGTAAAAGGCACTTTATAATTATATTTTTAATAATTTTCCAAAATGAGGTTGTAATTTCTTTTAAGAAATTAATAATTTTAATATTCTTATAATTTGATTATTAAAGCTATTAAAGCTATTAAAGCTATTAAAAGCTAATAAAATAAAAGCTTTTTTTAAAAGCTCTCTAATTATATATATACTTTTAGAAATTAATTTCCTTAATATTTCTTAATTACTAATAAAGCCTTAATTAATTATACTTCTTTCTTTTATTTAATTAACTATTTTCTTATTTTTAAAATAATAATTTCTTAAGAAAACTATAAGGCAAAGAATAAAGAAAATAAAAAAGCTAGTTAATAAGGTAATTAAACTTCTAGAAATTATTATTATTAGAGAAAAAAGAAATAAAAAAAGGCTATTTTATAATAAGATTCTTATAAAGGCTTTAGCTAATTAAAAAGAAATATAAGATTTATTATATAATAGTAAATTCAATTAATATTTAAGCTTTTATAATTAAAAAATTAAATAATACCCAAATTATTATTAAATATTTAAGTAATATAAGTAATTCTTTATTTCAAGAATTAGGTACTTAAATTTAGGCTTATTACTTTACTAAATACAAGTAACTAATTCTTATTTTAAAGAAAATTTAATAAGAAATATTATTATAATAATATAAAAGACCTTCTAATATACTCTCTTATATCAAGCTATATATTACTAAAGAATTTAGAATGTTATATAAGATATTTAATTAATTATATAAGAATTAATAAGAAATAAAAATAGTAAAATAAAAATTAGTAAGAAAATACCAAAAATACTAGTAAATAAATAATTTTAGTAATACTATATAGTTTTAAAGCAATATATAGCTATTAGGGGGTTAAGAATACTATAAAATATTAGTATTTAATAGAAATTAAAATTTTATTCAGGCATTAATTAAATATTAAGATTTTAAGGTTGGGCGATTAAGCAGTTTGAGTAGTTAACTAGTGAACTCTTCTAGTAGGGATGCGTCCTCTGGGCGATCACCTGGTAACCAGAGCCCGCTGAAAAACTAGTGAGTAATAGTGATCGCTACGGGCTATACGCTGTAAAATTAGGGATGTGAGCCTGTAACTATAATTTTTTAGTAGGCTCCAGTTGCTAGGCGACCTCCCAGAGGACGCATCCCTGCTAGCGCGTGCCAGGACTTTGAAGTCGTACTTCGTACTAATTGTCAGCTCGCTTCGGTGGCACTCCTACGGAGGTACAGCCCATAAAGATAGTAATAGCACTAGCAAGGGGGGCCACCCTGCAGGGTAGGGGATAGTGTGACCTCAGTCTAGTGCCACCGCGGCGCGACCGCAGTGGTGCGGTGTAATATAGCTATAGTCTAGTTTAGTGGAGGATATACTATACCACGGTGGGTGCGGTGCAACTGCGGTTGCACCGTGATGCAACCATAGTTTAAGGGGCAGTCTCGCTTAAAATTACCCCAGAATATTAAGTGACTTATAGTAAATAGAAAATAGCCAAACGTTAATATAATTAAATAATTCTTTTATTATTAAAAAATAAATCTAGGGCTTTTAAATAAATTAAAATTCTTAATTTTAGGTGTAGTAGTTGTGGAAATATATTTAAGTACTTAATTGGGAATTCTTGAAGCTATTTGTGAGGGCAGGAACGAAGCAATGGAACAAGGCTCAAAGATCTTCGATTCCAATGTCCTATAGAATCTAAAGCTAAGGAGAGAAGAGAGTGAGGTGTGGCAGTGGATAAGTAGGTACGGCCAAGACCACTGAAACGCCGAGCTTGGTTTGAACCTTAGCTTGGAACCAAGCTTGACACCTTACGAAGGCCGACGGCATTAAAAATCGTCTAAATTGCTAAGCGAGAGCCTTGAAAATCATTCCTCCCCATTCAAAAATTCGCGAAAAACGTCCCTATAATTTTAAAGTCACCAAAATACAAATGAAGGATACTTGAGCTTCTTTTCTATCCTATCAAGCTCGAACTAAAGCATACGAATGTGGTGGCGTTGTGACGCACAATTTTTAAAACTAAGACATATTGGTATTCCTTGCACTAGCGAATATGGACGATTTTTAATGCCGTCGGCCTTCGTAGCTGAAACCAACCCGTAGCACATGTGACATTAGCCGTTATAGCCGGTACTCTTTTTAGAAATAGCTTTAATATAAGCTAGATTTATTTAACGAATTAAATAGCCTATATACTAGTAAATTTAAGAGTAAAACTATTTAATTAAGGAGAGGAGCTAGTAATTGCATTACTAATTGCATATAAGAATAAATACTTTTAATTTGCAAATCGAGAAGTAAGAAATAGGCTTAAGAGGCTAGTTTTAAGGGCTTTAAGTATTTAGAATAAGGCTTAAAAAGTCTGCCATTTTAATAACTAGAAAGGCTTAAATAAGAAATAAATTAGATAAAATATAAGAGGTAAAATATATAGAATTATAATTGTTTTAATATTTTGGTATTTTAATTCTTATTATCTAATTAAATAAAACAAATAATATAAAAAGACTTCCCTTACTAGTACTATTATTGTCTTTATAGGCTATATCTTTATATAAATACTTATAAGCTATATTAATTAATTAATATAACTTATATAAATACTTATAAGCTATATTAATTAATTAATATAACTTATATAAATATTTATAAGTTATATTAATTAAGTATAATAAGTTAATATTCTTTTATATACTTGTAATTTAAAATAAAACTTTATTATAAGCTCTTGAAGTATTTTAAAAGAATAAAGCTATAGAGCTTATAAGTAAGACTAGAAAATAAGATAGTATTTAATTTTAATTTTCTTTACTTATATTACTAGGGAAAGTACTATAAATGAGGCATTTATATATAGTATTTATATAAATTAAAGTATAAAAAGCTCTTAAAGAGAGAAATAAAGGATATAGCAAAGCAATTAGTTAAGGGATATATATTTTGCAATGTGCTATTATATAGAGAGGGGAACTACTAGACGCAATACTATTCAAATAACATATCGTACTAATTAATTTGTATGCAAAGGTATAATTTTATGCCCCGCAAGCCAGGCGAGACCCCCTTGTTTAGTGCTGGACACCCCCGTGCCCACGCTAGTATTTTCTCGCCGAACGAAGGGATACCTGTCTTTGCAACGTCCTGGACGGCAATATCGTGGACCAACTTGGATTAGCTAGAGATGAGTGCGTCACCTGATTGGGTGCCTCCCATCGCCCGATCACGAGGCTGTGTAACACGGCCCGCGAACTTTGCCTGTTCTTGGCTGTGGCTTGGAACATGGCTTTCCCGACACCGAAATTATCCCGCTCTGTCCTTCGATAAATCGATCTACATATTGCCGGCGGTGCGGCGGCGCATAAGATACTCTTCAGATCATGTCTGCTATGGCATCCGACACCTTCCTCCAGCGAGTCTCGATCCGCCCAGCGCATAAAAGCGATCTCACCGCTATTGTAGCGCTCCTTCTCACGTCTTTCCGACAGTTTCCACTCTTTGACTTCTTATATTCACCACTGAACAGAAATTTTGATGTCGCACACGATACAGTATTCTTCTGGCGTCGAAGGCTGCTGCTCGATTTGTTGGATCCAGAGGCTTCGGTGATAGTGGCCGAAGCGCCCCTCAACAGCCTGGTTTCAGTTCTTGGAGGGGAGCCCGACGATCAAAATGACCCCATTTATCAGAAGTCAGTAGCAGCTCTGGATTGGACAGAGCGGAATGGATTGCCAGCTCGTTCGACATTGAGCCAGGACAACTGCATTGTGGGATTTGCCATCTGGAGGTTTCGGAAGGGAGGAAATAGCGATTCTCAACCTATGAAAGCCAGGCATTCACCGTCTTGTTGCAACTCTCTCAAAGGTATGTTAATAAACGGTGACCGCCTTTTTCAATACATAACCATTCGGGCAGCTTCGATGACCAATTTCGAAGTCTCCTTCTGGAAAAGGGTATATCAACGGAAGGATCAGGAGCCAACACGATTTGCGGCGTACTTAGCTGCGGAAGAGGAATTGTCCAAGACGTTTGTTTCCAAAGTTTATGCTTCTAGCGTGTGCTTGTTCGACTATTCCACTAATGAGTTGTCCAGCCACTATCAAGAGTCTTGTTATTACCTCGACAATCTATGCGTTGATTTTCGTTATCATCGCCTGGGAATAGGGACCCTTTTGCTCAAATGGGGTTTGGAGGTGGCTCAAAAACACAAGCTTTGGGTCGGTACGGAAGCAGCCCCGAAAGGCTTGGGGCTGTACCTTAAACACGGATTTAAGCAAGTTGGTTGGTTCATAGTTGTCGTACATGATGTGGAGCATCGTGCACCAGTCTTGAGGTTGTCGGATTACTCTCTTGCTTGAAGCGTGAAAGGTAAGAGTGTGTCTTAAGAGGCATTATCCCTTGAAATCCCTAATATTCCCAGGTTATTTCAGTGCCGGCTAACCAGAGTCCTCCTAAAAGGTTACCGCCGAGGAAAAGTCTACCTCACCGACAAATAGGCAAAAGAACTTTGACCAAATGTCACCTCACTTTCCTTCATGATTCCTGCAACGGAATCATGCTTCTTTAGAAGGCCCTTAATTTGACCTTCCCACTTGCACGCTGCCTTAGCGAGCATTTCTGCTGACCTTCCATCAGTTGTTTTCTGTCCCCTTTTGAAACTGGGATGCATGAGAACAGCTTTCATGATTACTTCATCTCCCCAATCCGCTGCATAGTGCACAGCAGACCAGCCTTTCTCCCCAATTTCAGTACAATCCACGTCCACTCGTCTGAGGAGAAGCCGGGCGCAGTCTTTGCTCTTATGGGCGCATGCTTCGAGAAGAGGAGTGTGCCCATTTGTGTTCAACCTCGTGGCCGCCCTAGGATCTGAAGTCAAATCCAAAAGCATCTCAAGCGTCTCTACTTCGTTATCGATGCTAGCCATATGAATTGGAGAATTTCCTGTCTTGTCGGTGATAGTGAGATCAGCCCCAGCATCTGCCAAGAGCTTAACGCAGGCCGGCGAAGGAAGGAGCTCGAAGACTGGCGTCCGACCGTCATTGTCTTGTGCATTGACGAAGCAGCGGCCTGGGCCGGACAAAAGAGACACAATTAGAAGTTTTTCTTCCTCTCTAGTGCATATGCTCGCGTAGTGAAGCGGTATCTGGTGATCCACCTGTGTCGCATTCGGGTTCGCGCCGTTGTCAAGAAGTAGTTCAGCGCATTCTTTAGATCCAGATGCAGCAATGTGTAGTGGCGTCTCCAGCCATCGATCTGCTTTGTTGATATCTAATTTGTCCTTATTTATGGCCCATATATCTAGGACAAATGACAGGACGTCTAGTCTCTTCGACTCAGCGGCGATGTGAATCGTGTTTCTCCTCATTGGAGAAAGGCTGAAGGGGTCCGCATTGTTCTTAATAAGTATCTCCATCTTCTGCCTGCGGCCTGTAAATGCTGCCCAGTGGAAAGGGGGCCAACCCCACTTCTCATCCGGCTCATTGATCAAATCCAGGATCACCTTCTTGGCCTTGAAACCTTTTGTGGCGGTTGTCCGGAACCTCTCGACGACATCTGCATATAACGGACACGCCTTTGCTTCCGCACGACGCCAAACAGACCAATCGTTTCCTGCAGGCTGATTGTTTGCATCGTCGACGAAGTCAATCAGATCTTGCAAGCTTGGTCGCAGAATGTCTCCAGAGTCGTAGAGCTCTAGAACGGCAATGTGGATTGGGGAAAAGCCGAAGTCAATCATGTATGTTTCGTAAGCTGGAAATGCCTTCATTATTTGTTGCTCCACATCAGTCGAATCCATTGCTAATGCTCTTAAAATCGCAAAATCTGCGGGCTTCCTGTTGGTGGTAGTTCATTAGCAACTTGATGGCGAAGACTGGAATATGAGTTTGCACACCGAGTCCCGACTTCTCCAACTTCAGTATTTGCGCCAAGTGTATAGAGGTACCGTACAATCTCTAATTGGCCCCAATATGCTGCTGTCTAAATAACTGGTAAGTTAAGCGCCACGGGCCATTGGAGGAACTTGACCTACATGCAACAAAGACCATCCGTCCGGTCCAGTGTCAAATTGAGTCGCTTCACCGGACTCAATACAGGCCTTTAGATTACCCAACTCTCCATGTTTCGTGTATCTCATCGCGTCGGAAGTCTCTGGAACCAAACGATAAGTATTCAGTTGATGCTTAACTGTCCAACCCCGAGAACTCACGATAATCGCGAGGGCTCGGCAGAAGTTCGCAGACGGAAGAACCAACTTTCTGACGCGCGGCGGTATTGTTCGTTGACAGGTTGGTACCGAACACTTGCGCCTTGGCCGAGTTACTACACTAAGTATATTCATGCGACGTTTCATCGAGAGCTGTGGTGTTCTTCCCTCTTCAGAGTGGCAAACGCAATAGCAGTCGAACGAGCACGACTTGCGGCGAGCTTCTGTGCCAGGCGGCCTTTCAGGGCCATGGGAATCGAATTGAGTCGGCAAACCAACGTCGGAAGGTTGTGAATCCGAGTTAGGAGGAGCGGGTTCCAGTTTTGCCACGAGTTTTGCCGTTGCGTCTCCGCTAGGAAGATCCATGACGAGGTCGACTGCACCCAGTTCATCCTGCGTACTGCTGCAAAACTGAAGGAGCTGAGGTTCTTGACTGCATTCTAGGAAGAATCCGCCACTACGTTCGATTTAATTTCATGCAGGTCAAAACGTCAAGGCGGTGGGCTACACTCACAGGCATAGAAGGAGAGCGAAACCATGCAACCTCGAAGTGTGTTCCCTCATTCGACAACGATGTTTCTGGAGCTCTGCGTGAGCTTGTAGCCATCTTACTCGCCTGACGGTAGGCGATCCCGTTGCCTTTAGGCGGTCCAGTTCTCTCTGAAGTTTGAGTACGGTGAAGCGGGCAGCTTGCAAAACTTTATGCAGGCCCTCTGATTTCGAACTGAGTAGGCTTCTTTGCTGGCAACGGCCTAGTACTTCCTCAAGTTCCTGAAGGAAAGCAGTAAATGATTCCACGTCGCTCACGAGGTCCGCCAAGTCGTCATCGCTGTCCTTGAAGTCTTTGATAGCTTGCAGACTAGCCCGACACGTCTTGACCAAGCTTATAAGTGAAGCGACTAACTGAATAGCTGTAACGGGATCCATAATTTGCCTCTCCCTCGATCTTGGCACGATGCAAGAGTCGAACTTGGGGGCGAAATGTTAACACAATATGTCCTTCTGGGAGGCTTGCCGACTCGGTCGCTGCCATTCACAGCCACCGCCCAGCCGGCAGGCAACCGAGCCTTAGCAACTCACTCAACTCCTGACCCGTCATGGGGGTACAATACCGGACGAGGCTGAGTCAGGGAACGGGTTGTCATACCCTGCCGAGATCCAGACGGTTGATGCCGAAAATGTAGGTCCACCCACATGTCAAAATAATGGAACATGACAGGGCAGACTAGCAGGCCGTCGTGTCCAAGCGTAGGGCTGCTACCATTCTGCCTTTCTCTGCTTCGCCCTCGGAAATTTTGTGGCATCCAGTGAATGTTGTCGAAATCCAGCCATGTCTCAGAGGATGGGAGGGCGTGGGCTTCCCCTCACGAGGCCATCTCAGAATTGACTCACTTAGGAGATTTGGGACGATTGTAATAATCAAAGGGACTCTTCTTCTAGGCATACTTACTTAATTGCCCTCAGCGGGCCCGGTTTCAACCTGATTGTTGCTGGTGTTTCCGCGCGTCCTGTCGCACAAAAACAGGGATACATCATATACAGGCAGTGGTGAGGGCCCCCTTAGGAGCCCGAATCATGCTCTGGGTCATCATTCAAATTGGCCCACCAAAACTGGCGAAGCTGGACATCGATTTGGAATTTTCGCAACCATCAAGTTACGCTCCCCCGGGCAAGACTGGCTGTGCCGAAACTAGTGGTCAGTAATGCTTGCCTGACTAGCACCATGAATTAGAGGAATCTGGATTTTCACATCTCAGGGCTGTGGGGGTTCACTGGTCCCTCCATGTCCCGAATACAATGTGGCGCATCTTCCTTTTCCCATCCCATGATCGACAATCAAGAAATATGTCTGATTTGCTGAGCGTGCTGGCGAAGTAGCTTAGAAAATGTGACATAGAGAGTTTAGACCAACTGAAGTGACAGCCAATTGCTGATAAAATGGATAAAATCAATAGGAGCAAAGATATGAACAGCTCTTGAAGTATATTGCAAGCTCACCCCCTCAATGCTGCCCACCCTGTGTGGCCTTAAAAGCTGCAAGACTTTCCACCGCTCTGGGGAAATGCACGATGCCAACCTCATCTAGAGCCTTGTCCTCTGCCTGCGCCTTTGTAATCGTGCTTCCAGGGATGCCCCATCCGCCACCACCAGGCGTGTGAATAACACATCTGTCGCCAACCTGCATCTGCACCATATTCTTCGGCCCCATACTCACCCACCTTTCTGTCCCGTCTAGGTTCTTCTTAACCCAGTAATTCGCACCCTTCCCACCTTCACCACCACCCTCAATCCCATAGGGAGCAATGACCCTCCTCTCAGTAATAACACTAAATTTCAATGGCGCCCGACATTCAATATCCCTCACCACACCGTCCCCTCCGTTATGTACACCCCTCCCACCACTACCGTCTCTGATGGAAAATTCACGGAGGATTACAGGATACCTCTTCTCTAGACTTTCCGGATCAGTGATGCGCGTATTCGTCATGTGAACCGCCACCGCATTTGCTCCATGCTGACGTGATGTGGCACCGGAGCCACCTGCAATCGTCTCCCCAAACGCGTAGGCAGAGCCTGGAAGTGGGTTCCCATCAGCATCAGACCCGCCGGAGCCAAAGAAACCAAGGCAGTTCATACATCCCTGGCTAGCGGCCGCTGCAGAGAAAGCGCGGAGAATAACGTCTACAACGCGCTGAGAAGTTTGAGTATTCCCAGCACACACAGCCGGTCCAGCTGAGGGGTTCAAGAAGCTTCCTTGAGGGAGGATGACACTGATAGGAGCTAGACAGCCTTGGTTCATGGGGATGTCTGAGCCAATGAGGAGGCGCAGGGCGTAGATAATGGCGGAGTAAGTGATTGCAGGGGGAGCGTTGAGATTACTTAACATTTCGCAGCCTGTGCCTGTGAAGTCAAAGACTGCAGTTCCGTTTTCTGATATTGATACGTCTAGGTGGATTTCGGAGCCGTTGTCCATGGAGTCGACTGCTGACAGTTTGGGTCCGAGAGTCTTAAGTGCTTGTGAGAGGTATGATCGGACGGCGATCTCGGCGTTGTTCTGGATGGCGAGCATGTAGAGCTGTACTATTTCTTGAGTATACTCGCTCATTAGAGCTTTGATAAGCGTCGCGCCTTTGTTATTGGCTGCTACTTGTGCTTTGAGATCTGAAATATTGTCTGAAAGTCTTCGGCTTCCGTTGCAACCGGGATACTTGGCTGGCTCGAGGAGAACTTTGATGATGCCTTCCTCGTCGAAATAGTCATTTTCGATGAGTTTGAAAGAGCGCATCTGAGCACCTTCTTGCCAAAGCTCGGTCGATTCGGGAGGCATGGATGTCCCGTTGTACCCGCCAATGTCGGTGTGATGACCACGAGCTGCAACATAAAATGCAACTTGTCGATCGTCTCCAAAGATAGGAGTGATGACTGTGATATCGGGGAGGTGGGTGCCTCCGCTCTCCGGATGATTCGAGCACAGTACATCCCCTGGTTTCAGCTGACCTTTGTAGAGCTCATGCTGGTATTGGACAGCGTAGCTCATGGAGCCAAGATGTACGGGAATGTGTGGAGCATTGGCAACGAGTCCTGCATCTGGCCCAAAGATGGCGCATGAAAAGTCAAGTCGCTCTTTTATGTTCAGTGAGACGGCAGTCTTCTGAAGTGTTCTTCCCATCTGTTCCGCAATGCTCATAAATCTGTGACCAAATACAGATAATTGTATGGGATCTACTGTGAGTGATGCATAGGCGGTGCTAGTCTTTGACGCGTTGATTTCAATCACGACGTGGGATGTGAGGATTCGGGCTTCGGCTCCTGGAATTATTACCAAGGTCTGAGTTTTATCGATGATGACTGCCGGGCCGATAATTGACATGCCAGGAGAAAGTTTCTCTAGCATATAGAGGGGAGTCGTCTGCATGCCTCCGGATTTGAAGTACACTGATGTCTGAAACGTATTAGTCATGTGAGATATCTACCAAGACAGGAAGCTCACCTCCTTCTCAGCCAGAGATTCGAGTACCGACCTGAGCTTCATGTTGGCTAGCTCTTCTCCCAGACGCTGGCCATCTTCGTCATTCGTTCCACTTTTCCCAATGCCTCTGACCCGGACATCATCAACCAAGATTGATCTCGCGGCTGGGAAGACGAAACTGAACTCCCTCAAATGAATGCGTAGAAATTCGGCCTCGTAGTCTCCGTCTGCTGGCCTCAAAACCATCATAGCTGTCTCAGTCCCTTGGTATCTCATGTTCAAGTAGCATTCATATTCAATATCTTCCTCCAGGATCCCTTGTTGACGAAGTTGAGTAGAAACTTTCTTCTTCAACCCTTCAACCCGTTGGCTCAATATATTGAGGGATTGGCGGTTGTAGAATTCATTTGTCGGCTCCTGCTCTTCGTGAATGACATCCGCTAGCGCCATGCCGTAGGCTGAGAGAATGCTGGAATATTTGTGAATGATGAGTGTTTGGATTCCGAGCTTGAGAGCAATTTCACAAGCATGTTGGCCACCTGCACCACCGAAGACGCCAAGTCGATGCTTGCTGATTTCGTAACCCTTGCCTTCTGTCAGGGATCGGATCGGCCGACACATGGCCTCGTTAGCAACATCAAGGTATCCATACGCAATTTCCTCTGGACTCATAGACTTGCCAGTCTCTGCGTTGATAGACCTTGTCAACTCGACGAATTTTCCAGCGACAACATCGGCGTCTAGCGCCTCCTTCTCGCTCCCCCCAAAGATCTTTGGAAAATAATCTGGCACGAGCCGGCCCAGGAACAAATTGGCATCGGTCACTGTCAATGGACCCCCTTTTCGATAGCTTGCAGGACCTGGATGGGAAGATGCACTTTCTGGCCCGACAGCAAACAGTCCATTTCGCCAGAACAGAATGGAGCCGCCTCCAGCAGCAACAGTGTTGATGTCGAGTTGCGGGCTTTGTATCGTCACCCCCGCTGTTGTGCTTTCGAATACATGCTCGAATGTACCACCGAATCTTGACACGTCCGTTGACGTGCCTCCCATGTCAAAGCAGACTATCGGAGTTTTACTCGCAGCCTCGTAGCAAGTGCGGGCACAGCCAACAACACCGCCTTTGGTAGTGATCAGCAAAGAATGTTCAGCAGAGGCAGCTTCGATATCTCACCAGCAGGGCCGCTCAGTATGCCTTTGAGGCCGCTGAAGCCTTTGTAGTTGACTAGTCCACCATCCGATTGCATGAAGTCGCACTTGACATTGTTAAGATGACTGCCTTCGAAGCCCTTGACGAAACCGCGAAGATACTGTTTTATCTCGGGGGTAAGATAAGCATCTGCGGAGGCAGAGCTCCCTCTAGGCACCATTTTGATCATCTTCGCAGCCACCTCGGAAGATAATGAAATATGATTGAAACCAGCCTCCTCGGCAAGCTCCCCCACGCGTCTCTCATGACCACCAAAAATGTGAGAGTGGGTGAAACAAATAGCAACACTTTCCATCCCCATTTGCCGGAGCTCTTGGAGGGTATCTTTGACACCACTCTCATCAAGAGGTTTCAATATCCTCATTAAGTCTCCGCTGGATCCACGGACCAGAACGCCGGGGATTTCATCAACGTCAGTTTTCACAGTCCCATCGATATCCTCATCGAAACCTTCGATGGTGACACGTTCCTCAATCTCTCGTACTTCTGAAAACAACACTTCAGGCTTGACAATATCGAGGTCAAACAGCCTTGGCCGTGATTGATATCCGATTCTCAACAGATCTCGGAATCCTTTCGTGACGAGTAATGCATGACGTCGCCCTTTTCGTTCCAAAAGAGCATTGGTGGCCACCGTTGTGCCCATTCGCACGATGTCAAGATCTTGCTTTGGGAGAGGCACCCCTCTCGGAATTTCAAACCCCCCATAAATTGACAGGACACGCCGAATGCCTAGCCACCTCAGTATACAATCCAAAAGAAGTCATTCTGGGGATGGGAGAGAGAAATACCTTCAGTTGGGGCATCTTGATAGTTTCCGGGATCAACAGAGAGGAGTTTCAGAACAACATCCGGCTCATTTGGAGCGCTTGCCCAGACATCTGTGAATGTCCCGCCACGATCTATTGGAAAATCAGTATGGTAGTGAGATGGAAGAGCCAAGTAATAGTACCGACTGCGATCTTGATTCTCTTCCCCGAGGGGTTTGGCGTGATGGATCCCATTGTGAAGATGAAAGGAAAGCAGCCAGAAGAATCACCAGGAGGGAGGTGAATGAAGTAAAAGACTGTATATAAAGGAGGTATGTAAACTTACACAGAGCGCCAAACTAAATTGGCACGCAGCACGTGAGAGCACCATTTTCGGAGTTGTGTAGAAAGCGGGAAGTCGTTGCGCACCTCACCTGAGTGCTGAATCGCGAATCAAAACAGAAGGTCGACACGACGCGCCTCGGCCGAAAGAGCCCACCAAAGACGACACCCACTGTTGGCTTGATGGCCCGAGAAGGTGCCGGAAGCACTGAGTCGTAGGATCCCATTCTTGATGATATTGTTATAAAATTGACATGAGAAGAAGGTCGACACGACGAGAGTCCGAAGAGTGGGATCTTCGCTTGCTTGGCGTGGCGAGCGGAGATTGTGCGGATCCCGGCAAAGTCCTAGCCTCGTCCACTTTTTCGTGACGACCTTCCTTGTCTTTTGGTGGAATCTCAACGCGATAACTAGAATACAACGAGTCCTTGATATTCCCGTCTAGATGGGACGCTATGATGAGATATCTAGTCTTGGATTATGGGCATGTTCTGAAAATGTGTGGCTGCATGGAAACCATCCTTCGTGTCCTATCTCTTCCCATCTCTTGAACGCCATGGCGTAGGGTATAAATCCTGAGCTGCCCGTCTTCCGTCTTCCATATCCAACTAGCTCTTTTCCTTTTCTTCCCTGGTTATTGTTGTCCTGGTCATTGTCGTATCCATCGAGATATGTCGAAGCCCATGAACGACGAAAAGATCGCGATGTCCGACATCAAGACAGCTGATAATCACAATACCGCTGTCGATGGGAAACTCGATATTCCAGCGGATGCTGACAAGGCTGCGGGCTTCTTGTTGACTGCCGAGGGCTATGGAGAGCTCACTCCGGAAGCCGAGAAGAGCCTCAAAAGGAGGATCGATTGGTTTATGGTTCCAATGGTAAGTACACTATCACCCATTGTACAATGCAAGTTCTGATGAAAAAATTAGTTGTTCCTTGTAGCCACTCTCGGAGCGGTCGATAAAGTCGCATTGGGAACTTCGGCTCTCTATGGTCTGAGTACTGACAATCACCTGGTTGGCCAACAATACAGTTGGCTCGGGTCCATCCTGTCGCTTGGAGCTATTGTTGGCATGCCACTCTCATCATATTTGATTCAGCGTCTGCCAAGTGCGAAGTACCTCTGCGGTTGTTCCGTCGGATGGTCTGCGATGTCTCTCCTCTTGCCTGCCTGTACCAATTTTGCTGGACTCGCGACTCTTAGATTCTTGATGGGTACGGTCAGCTATTCGCGTCAGATCAAAACCCAAACACTCACAGACATATAGGAATGTTCGAAGCGATCATTGTGCCTGGCATCAGCTTGATCATTGCTGGTTTCTACAAGAAGGAAGAACAACCTCCACGAAATGCTCTCGTTTTTGCGGCTGCAAGCTCCATTGTCAACGGCTTTCTTTCGTGGGCTATCGGTCACGTTCCATCCTCTGCTCCATTGCATATCTGGCAATATCTCTTCCTTCTAACTGGTTCTCTATCGATGCTGTGGTCCATTATCGCATTCATCTTCCTCCCAAATGACCCCATGAACGCCAAGTTTCTCTCCAAGGAGCAAAGATATCATGCGGTCCAGCGACTCGCAGCAAATAAGACTGGAATTGTTAACAGGAAGTTTAAAATTGAGCAAGCAAAGGAAGCATTTCTGGATCCGAAGACCTGGATCTTGTTTTTCTTCAATATTGCTATCAACATTCCAAATGGAGGTACGATGGCGCCCCCCTTCTCTGTTCCAGCATGAATCCTAACCTGATGTCAAGGATTGACCACCTTCGGCGGTCTGATCATTAAAGGGCTCGGATTCTCCGGCATCAATGCCTCACTGCTCAGCATGCCCACAGGAGTAATGTCCACACTAGCGGCATTCATCTTCTCCCTCGGAGCCGCGAAATGGAACAATCGTCGCTGCCTTGTCACGATCATTGCTTGCATAGTTCCAATCATTGGAGCTGCAATTGTGTATGCCCTTCCACGCACAAATCTCGGTGGACAGATGGTGGGGCTGTATCTCCTTTATACCTACTTTGGACCTTATGTTGTTGGTAAGTCCTCTCCCCTTCCCCTGTTTGCTCGAGCATCTCTAACATCACGGAAGGTATTTCCCTTGCACAAGCCAACACCGCTGGCCACACCAAAAAGACCGTCGTCTTCGCCATCCTATATATTGGCTATGCAGTCGGGAATCTGATCGGTCCGCAGACCTTCCGAGCCAGTCAAGCACCTGCTTACACTGGCGGCTTTACTGCGATGATTGTCTGTTACTGTGTGTGCATTGCTCTGATGTGTATGTATTGGTCGTTGGCGGTGATGCAGAACAGGAGAATTGACGCACGGGAGCCGAGCAGTGGCGATGATTTGTTGGATGGCTTCACAGACTTGACGGATCAGCAACAGGAAGCTTTCAGATACACTACTTAGAACTTATGAGATGGGGAGCAGAGAGTACCGGTGGAAATTATGAGGCATTGTTTATGTACTTCAGATGTTAACGCACTTCTACAAACCGTTCTATGTTAGATTTTTGGTGCCTGGCCGGAACAAAGTTTTTGGTCTCTTCGCCCATTTGCATGCCACTAACTTCACCTGGTCATTCTCATTCGCTGCACTTCAATTCAGCCTCCTTCCTTTGAAATACAGCAAGAGTTGCGAGCTCCAAATCAGAACAGAGAGTGTCTAGTGGCTTCAGAAAGGGTGAACCAATGTCACCGAGGCTCCTAAAATCCAAATCGAAACCAACGAAACCAATCACAGGCTATGTAGAAACGGCTCAGCAATTCTATCAAGCTAAACTAATCAAGACCTCCCTTCCTTTCCCCTGTCCACTCTGTTCTCCCAATCCTCCCTGCTGCAGTCCTAAGTCCGTCCTCATCCACGTCTCCTCAACGCACAGCCTCGCTCTCCTCACGCTCCCCAAATTCCTTACTTTCTGCAGGACAGTCAGCCTGTCGTGTACAAACCTCCGCTGTTCCTCATCCAGTCCACACCTCACATTCCCCAGTATAAAAAGCGGCCAAAGCAGTGTCGGAGAGTCAGGCAATTCTCTAATCAGGGTAATGATTTGGCAAATGATACCCGATGGTGCGTTAGGCCAGGAGTGGACTGGTGCCGAGTGAGACAGAGAAGGAAGATGCCCGAGTCGTTCGTACAGATAAAGGAGGGCTGTTAGACGTTTGGTTTCCGCTATTGAGGCGAGGTGGTAGCATTCCGGGGTCGAAGGGGGGTGAGTTTGTCGTAGTGAGTGCAGTGTTTGCGCAATCGAGTCACGAGATGTGGCGAGGGCTGTGAGTTCATTATCTGTAGCTGTACCACTCTGGAGGAGCTTAAAACTGTGAGCCTAAGATGTGGGCGTTGCGGATTCATCTGACCTGAGTTTGTTCGGAGGCGAGGACAGAGGTTTGTCTTATGAGCGTCATCAGCTTCCGTGAACATCCCATCAAAACATCGATTTCATCTAATGCTTCGTGGGGAGCCCACTCGTAGATTTGGCCTACGATGTCTCCCTCGCATGCTGTTCGACCCATGATCTCGTGAGCTACGAAGTACATTCTTAGAAAAGTATATAGACTATCTTCAGTACTCGAAGCTCCACGGTTTCTTGAGTAGCTGGAGAGTTTGTCCAGCAATGAGATCCCGCCCCGCAGATGTGCAACCCAAGACTGGTTGCAGCCATCGGATATCTGTCTCATACTCGTGTCAGAAATGAAAACCTCTTCAACATGTGCTCAGTGTGCATTTCCTACATCATAAAAACAAAGCATCAACACCGTAGCCACTATCCCAAGATCGATTTCCTCCGCATCAATGGCTCTCTGAACTGCTCGAATAGCCTTGTTCTTGTACGACCAAGCTTCTCGTTCAAATCTCTTGTCGTTCAATAATCGAAGCTGATTGGCTGAGACTGCAATTAGAGCATCTCTCAATGCTGGAAATTGGAAGGACATCGGGGTGAGGTATGCCAGATATGGATTCTGGGATGGACTGAGGGAGCAGCTGGGCCCGATTGAGGTAACAAAATAGTTGAATAGATTCCCTTCGATAGACGAGAATGTGGAGTAGCTGCTGAAGGAGCTCGTGGGCATGAACGGCGTCATTGCATCCAGTGGCAGGCATTCGTCAATGTACTCAATCTCCTCCGTTCGCATAAGAGTGGTTATCAGCTCATACTCGCTAAGGACAGCCGAATTCTCTTGCTGCTCCTCAACTAGACGTTCTTCCAGGCTTCCGGCATGCTCCCCACAATAGGTCTCGAAGTCGTCCTTACTCGCGTTGAAGAAGACCCACATCCCCACATAAGGTCTCAAGTCAACAGGTTCATACCGACCACCTGGCTCAGACCTCGAGGTTTTCGTCTTGGTCTTCTTGCACCACTTTCCTGGAAAATTAGCATTAGCTGATGCCCTGAACACCAAATGATACGAGGTAGCCTACCTTCGCGTCCCAGGGATATATTCCGCTGAGCTGCGTCCTCTTTCCACAATAGACGAATTCCATACTCGCAGGTCAAACCTAGGCGAATGCATCGGTTGCAGGTGGGCTTCTCTTCGGTGCATTGGATATGCTTCTGCTTGCAGGTCCAACATCCTGTTCGCCGCCGATGCTCATTCATCCGCCGCTGCGCCATGGCCTCTCTTCTCGTGCTCTATCCGAACTCATCCAAGCGGCTCATCCCTCACGCGGTAGAGCGTCTCGGGAGGTTGACAAACTGTTGCAGAGCTGAATAAAATATACAGAAAACTTGGTAGGTTGAGAGAGGTCTCATTTGAGTTTTGAGATGAAGTGGTTATCAGACAACAGGTGGGTCATCTTCAGAGAAGTGGAGACGATATATATATGTTCAAAGGTGGGGTAAGGTGGGATGAATTTCTCTCAAGCAATCTCGAGTGACCTCGGTTGAGATGTATACTTCTTCTGACTGTTAAAAATGTTTGGACGGATTAAGTTCAGAAGACAATAGTTGACAATGAAAAGAAATGCCAGAAGTGAGATTAAAAATGAATATTATAGTCCAGAGATATCGCTTCGCCCGATGAGCTGAGAAGGCATCAGATACGACTTTTCAGACCCGAGAATTCGACCTCCTTGATATCCTTCACCTTGCCAACTCTCCACGAAATGTTATCACTACCACTTTTCTTATCCTTCCATCTCCACCGCTCGATGATCTGCTCATCATCCTCCAAAGCTTTCTTCACCCATTTTCCCGCCACAGGTAGCATTTTGAATCCATGCCCACTGTCCCCAGCGACTACCAGTAATCCCATTGTCCCAGGCACATGGTCAATGATGTAATCCGAACCAGGAGTATCAGCACACCAACAGATAAACTTTTTGACCAACTCCTTCCCAGAAAATTGTGGCATGGCCTGCTGAATCAATCTCTTGATCAAATCCTCATCTTCTGTTGGTATCCCGTCATTGGAAGCAGTCGGTAAAGACGCTTGTGCTTCTGAAGTGGTTATGTTATTCGTGTAGCCCGCCCCGTTGGCACTGAGTTTAATGAGCCCCGTATCCTCATCCGGCTCAAAGAAGAACCCTAGATCTCTACAATTGACGACCGGACATCCTTTCATGACCGCAGCTTCTTCAGGGGAGAGCTGTAAGTGAGCGACCGCCCAAGATTTCGCAGTGACTTGCTGAGATATCTCCGGTAGTAGTGTTCCAATGTGTGCCCCAAGAGCGAGAATTGTGTGTGCAGCCTTGTGAATGTCCCCATTGGCAGTCTTAACACCTACGCACACCTTCTTGCCCTTATCTGCAGACTCAAATAGAATCTCTACAGCATAGCCGTCATCACCAGTAACGAACCTCACTCCCAACTCAAGACACCTCTTCGCTGCGTATTCCAACGCCTTCGCAGCTCTGGCATACCCTGCATACCGATTTAGATACCCGCTCCAGCCGTCCATCTGCCCCTCCAGCATCGGCAAATATCTCTTGATATCGTTCGCGTTGTCAACAGCTGAAAAGGACCCAGATGGGAATGAAGGATGGTCCCCGATTGATGAAAAGGATTTCTTAATTGTGTCGCGTGCTTTTTGGGGAGCGTTGAGGGAAGTCGTGAGGAGGTAGCCTGTAGGGCGGTAAAAGTTGGACCAGAAGGGAGTTTCCCATTCTTTGATTGCGTCCTATGATTCAGCATTCTATCAGCAAAAGTCTTTCGGAAGTGAGCAGGGAGCAGATCCTTACCAGAGCCAATGCCGTGTAGAATGGATCCTCATACTCTGCTCTGACAATCTTATTTATATCATTACCGGCAGAGTAGGGACTGGGAACAGGTTCCCGGTCGAGGACTGTGATGTTGGTATACCCGTCTTGAGCTACATGGAGGGCTGTTGAGAGGCCGAACACCCCAGCTCCTACGATCAGGATGCTGTGGTCTTTGGTTGGGAGTGTCGAAGCCATACTGGGCAAAGCGTTGTGGGCTTCCGCTGGGGGGAATTCATCTTGATAAATGATGTGAAGTGCTAGGTGCGTTGGATCTCCGTGAACCGTAAAACTGTGAGGTGTGAAGTGGAGTTCTGACCGCGAATTGGCGGAAGGTCGTTACCACTGACGGCCCACTGCAGCCGCATGCGAAACACCATTTAAAATGGATTTTTTTTAGCGAGGTCCAACAAAACTCGTTTCGCAAGAAACACGATTTTACCACCTATTAACCACGCTACTATCTCGGTTTTTAATTACTATTCCTCTTATCAATTTAATGGGGCGCAAATCCCTATTAATTTAAGGTAAGGTGCACTTATTCTAGAGGCGTAATTATTAAGTAATTTAAGAAATCGTTTTTTAGCCCTCGCACACGAGTTGTGCACGTTCCGCGAAAACACAACCCCTCGATTTTCTTGCTCACAGGCTAGAAACCAACTATTTTTTTTAAATTATTTAAGAACCACGCCTCTAGACTATATATACCCTATATTAATTTAATTACAGCATGCCCCCTGTTCTTCCTATAAGCGTGTATATAATTTAAAAATTAATCCGTGGCGTGGTCGGCGTGTGATTAGAAAATTACACCAAAAATCGAGGGGTTGAGCTAAAAAAATCGCGATTTCGTACTTTTCTAAATAACTTGGGAACTATACTTCTAGCGTACAAAGACCTTACCTTAAATTAATCGCGGTATGCTCCCCATCTATTATATAGAAGGTGTTAATATTTAATTAAGAATTGGGTGCGTAGGCTATAGGTGGTGGGATCGTTTTGTTGGGTCTCGCTAAAAAGTCGCTTTTTAAATGTGTTTCGCATGCGGCTGTAGCCGGGGAATGTGATTACGAGCCTAGTTTCATAAGTCTGTGTTCTTAGCGAAGTTTTCAGGCATCGTTCATAGTTTCACAACAACAACAAATTAAAACCTTATATAATTCAAGCGCACACGATAAAAGAAGCTAGAATGAGTTTGGCAGGCCTTTATAACTAATTCAAAATATAAAAGTAAAGCGTCCAAAATTGTTATGGGGTTCGTTTCTTAGCGAAACGCCCCATAAAAACACAGACTTGTAATACTAGCGTTATCATTGTTTTTATATTTTTAAAGAGGAAAGTCATGCGCTCAAGTAGTTACAACTAATGTACAAAAGTTTATCCCTAAACCCTAGCCATGAGGAGATGTTTTTCTAAGCGCCGCTTTGCTATAATCCGATCTATAAATATTACCACGAAATATCCACCGTCTCTGGTGGGTGACTCGCCCTCGGATACCCAAGACCCGGTCGTGTTGGAGATATTCGATTGTGGACCCATTTCTCTCCTTCCATGAACAGAGAGATACAGTGTTGCTCCATCGGTGCTCCGGCAGGATACCAAATCCCGTTGATCCAGCTCTCCCAACCCAGTGGAAGAAGGGGTTTCTTGCCTCTATCTTCCAATTGAACATCGTCCTCCTCCACTTCTATAGAGACATAATTCTGCCATCTGAGCTCTACCTCCGATTCGTCCACCCCCAGGGAGCAGGCCGTCAAGGCCTTTGTCGGCCCATAACATGTGAAGAGTCCGAGAGCGTCAGACTCTTTATTATTCTCCCCAGTCGCCGGATCGTTGTCTAGGTGTCCCAGCCAAAGGCGTCCGAACTGTATGACGTGGTACAGAAGCATCTTGACTGTCAGATCCAGGTGGGACTTGCAGAGGCCTGGCACGCAAGAAGCTGCTTCGTGCCTCCAGAGACTTCGCACGACGTCCTCGGGCTTCGTGTTGGCGTCGTTGTGACTCTTCGTCTCGTCACCGGTCGTTGCACTACCGAGTTCAACCTCGTCTTGTGGTAAGTGCCTGGCTGTTGCGTCTGCAAGCCTGTGCAGACCATGTTTTTTCAAGGCTTTTTGAAGGTCCCGCAAGAACATCGCGGCCGGGACCGGCCACAAACCCGGTGGAGTGAAGGAACAGTCTTCTATTGTCCGATGACCGCGCGTATCGCGACTCCAGAGACTTTTAGGAATGATGTTCACATACTTTTCTTGAAGATCGGTCAGCTCAATCTCCCGATCGATATGCCACAGCCAGCCGTCAACCTGCAAGCCCGTTTCCGTCAATGTGCCGCTGCGGAAACGAAACGTGGAGAGCAATTCGTGGTCGACGACGCCCAGGCCGCAAAGCGGCTGACAGTCCTGAAGAAATTTGCGCAGAGTCATCATGAACATGTCCACCCCAAAGAGGGGGAGTTCTCCGTTAAGTAGGCAGAGAACCACGGCACAGGTGCTGAACCCGTACTCATCAGAGATCAGCTTCCGGGTGTCTAGCCTTTTTTGAAATCCCAAGACGTTGGCGAAGATCGCCAGCCTGTCGTGAACGAGGTCGTTCTCTCGAAGCTCAAGTTCTGCTAGCATTTTGCTAGTATACGTCCATTGTCCCCCCATGGGATCCTTCAAATCAACGCCATCGAATTCCGTGAATCTCATGTCAGCAATATGCCGCATCGCGTGTTTAAGGTCACTCCAACTCTCGAATTTGCCATGCCATGGGTCACGGGCACCGCTCCATGAGTTTCTCCAGGATTTGCTGTGTATGTGGCAGAACCCGTAAGCTAGCCTGTTCAGCTGGAACTCTGCATATCCTGTGGTCTGGCCGAGCGATGCAGGGCGGGCGATGTTCGAACTGACTCTAGTGACGACGTGCAAATTCTCCCCAGACAGCCACCGCTCTTGAAATACCCACGCCCTCTTGAACCACCGCTGCTTATCAAGAATACAAAAGAGGTCATACCCCGCATGCATAAGCTCCGTCTCGGCCTCCCGACGCGTCGGCATTTCATTCGCATTGAGCGCAGCTAGCGCATCGACTAACGGCTGTGTGGTCAGTTCGGCGGTCAGGATGCCCAGCGTACGGCGACCGCGACGGTAAACGATATCCATGGAGTTGATTCCCTGTTCTTTATCGTCAAGCTGCTGCTGCTCGATGCACTCTTGGTCGATCCAGACGAACGGAATATCGTGGACGCGAGCATAGTCCATGGCCACCGAGAGGACGTAATCTGGCGCACGACTCCGTCGTAATCCATTGGGAGTCTCGATATCAAAGCCTCCATTCTTTCTCAGCAGGTCTTCGTCAGTACCTGTAGGCCAACAGTATGAGATGGAGAGATAGTTGGTCTCATCCGGATGCTCGCCCATGCCTCCTAGTCGAATGCGTGGCGGTGGTGATGTTCCCGTCGACGAGGTATTGGTGGAAGGAACATGCAGGAGCCTCAGATTCCTCGCCCATGCTTCTGATCTTTCGCCTGGGGCCATGCATTCCTGGATGTCGAGCATCCGCTTCATCATTGTTGCGCCATTGCCGTGCAGTTTCTCGAAACTAACATCCACGTCGCGCAACATCGCGACTTGGTCACGCGAGCGCCCCTCCCCAATCGTTACCGGAACTCGCTGATGAAAGTAGAATCGGCAGTATTGGGTCTGAAGTCAAGGATGGAATCGAGCGAAATGTTTGTTGCTCATGAGCGGTGTAGCCACCCACAGGCGGAAATAGCCATGGCTTTCGATAGTGACCAACTGACGAGATCTTGATCTGAATCTGATTGGACAGCGGAGACCAACCTGCACGACTTCGGCACTCCCAGCGCACTTGACCTGAACAAATCAATTGGCGAACCAGAAATCGATTGTGCTCGCGACTGTAAGTTATTGGACACAATACAAACAGTGTACTGTAATACGACAGTACTAAGTTATTTTCCTGGACATAGGTGTCCTCGCGACTTTGCCAAAGCACCAGCGCAAAGGCGCGGGATCGCTATTGATGACTGAACTCTGCAAGCAGGCGGATCAGACCGAGCACCAGAGTTATGCTGAGGTCTCACCTCTCGGCAGACCCTTATAAACAGTTCGCGTTTGAAACGCAAGACAGGTTCAGTGTCGTGATTGATGGCGAACCATACGTCGACTGCTGTATGGTGCGCGAATCACAAAAGCCATCGTGAGCGACTACGCAGGGATATCATTTAGTGATTGGCGATATGAGCAATTAAGACTTAATCTCATGCGTTGAAACTGCCAAATTAGATGCTATTATGGTAGTACGTCGGTATGACCCAAATACAACCAAAATGGTCACCCCAGGCTCGGCAACGATTGGCGTTTTGCACTATCGATAATAATCGATGCCATAATCGTAAGGTATCGATTGTATCGATAGTGCAATCGATTGTTTAGCGAGCTAATCCCTACATACGTACGATTTTACCCCTTTTCTAATTCCAGAAGGTTCAGAAGTTTAGTAAAGTACTATACTATATATAATAAAGGAAAGGCTCTCTGTTATTTACCTATTTAAAGAAAGTATCTAGAATTCCAGTCCTTTTCCAGTGCTTAAGGCACTCCCGCATCTCAATTGTCTCGGCTTCTAGCTGCCCCCTATCCCAGCTTACCGTACGACGAGCCCCTGAAAAGACTCTCTCTGGTTCATCGCTCATTGGTACTATTGAGAGGATATCAATAGCCATACGAGAGAGCTTAGGCCAGCGTTGCCTTTGTATATCTTGGCACTATCATACAAGGGCCCCCTTTTTACCAGGATCATACGATTCCTCCATATTAAAGTCCACATACTCGTCCCCACTTGCTGGCCTAGTAGCTAATTAAAGGGCTAAGGCAAGCCGATCGTAAGTATCGAGTGCTTCTGGCTCCTGAGAAGAGCTAGTAGTTGGAATAATTGGAGCTTGTGGCCCCTCGTCCCGATATCTTTCCCAGAGCTTTTTTACTCTTAGTAGAACTGGCTTTACCCACTTCTTTGGCCAGTACGTTTCAATATATCTTATACGGTATACAGGGTTCAGAATCAAAGCGGCAGTATAAATAGGAGACATATCTGTCTTTATATAGTACTTATTAAGTACTGCATATACGATATTCAGGCGTTAAAGGAAATCTTGGCTCTCTTTATCCTTTTTCTTTTTATACTTAGCCTATAAAAGTTAATTAAGTAAAGATAAGGAAGAAAGGAAAGAGAGAAAGGAAAAGGGGTAAGCTTATAGTTGTTTCTTGCAAGTATTTAATTAAAATATCCATTATAAAGAGTATAGCATTAATAGATATGGAATCTCCCTCTATAGTAAAAGTAGCTCGTAAGAAGGGACTAAGGAATTCCTTAATCATACGAAGCTTTTTCTAGTCTTGGTAGCTCAAAAGATCTAGTTCCAGCTCTTCCTCATAGTCCTGGCAATACTTTTCTACTACAGGCCTCAAATTGAGAAGTACAAAAAGCATATCGTACTAGCTATTCTACCTCGTTCGATTATCCATTAGAATTAGCCTTTTCGCAAGAGCTTTAAAGGCTGCCGTATGGCCTGGTGATCTATGAATATAAATAATAATATTATATGCTTGGCCAAGTAGTCCCAAGAGCCTAAACTTGGCCCTAATTGCTTCCTTATCCGCAAGCTCTCTAGTCTCCTCCTGGCCATTATATAATTCAAGCTCTTCTGCTCTAATTACGTCCGTAAATAGGAAGGCTTGGATAATAAGATTAATAATATGGCCAATATAGCGAACTCGCCATTCCTCTATATTCCACTCCCTATCGTACGACTCTACTAAGAAGGCTTGAATATATTAACAAAGAACATTATTTGAGGAAGTATTATCGGTAATAATAGCCCCAAGCTTTCGTATAATACCGTAATCCTCAAGAACAGGGCGAAGAATAGAGAACTAGTCCTCTTTACTATGGCCAGGTACTCTCTGGAGAGCAAGAAGAGCTTTTTGCCTCTTATAATCGTATATAGTAAAGTATATACAAACTGCCAGAAGAAGTAATCGATTTGGGAAGGTCCAAATATCGAGCGAAATATGGATAAGTGAGACTGCCGATTAAAGGGTCTTTCGTATAATAATCTTATGCTTTCCCCAAGCTTCTTTGACTTTATTATAAACTCCAGAGTAAGAGGTTATAATCTTGCCCTCGCAAGCTCGATTCAGGACTTGGCAAAAGGTATGAAATTCCGGCCATTTAACGAGAGTAAAAGACAGATTCCGTACGATAATCAGGGAGATTAGAGCTTTAGTAATAACTACTGTATTAAGGCAAGCTCCAAGGACCTTATTATTAAACTCCTCAATCCCATTTCCCTCCTTAGCTTGAGCTTCGTACCAGAGTTATTTGAATTACTGGTTTATAGTAATTTGGCTCTTACTTTTAGCCTTTGATATCGTAATTTAGTAGTGGCGGCTCAAATAATCCCCCATATTTCTTGATATTCGTATACCATATGGCTCAGTTTCACAAAGGGTATAATAAAGAACGTCTTGCTTAAGATTATCTGGAGTAGGAATATAACAAAATTCCTAACAAGGTGCTCTTAACTTTGACATATCTAGAGTACTTGGAGTGGAATCTACTGAAACTGATCGCGCAAACGATGAATCTGGTTCAAGTGAAGAAGACATTTTGACGATATCTTTGGAAAAAATCAGTATGCGAGGCAGGGAAAATAGAGAGAAGAGAGAGAGAGAGAAGAAAAAAATGGGGGGATGCGGGGTAAAAGCGGTGGAACAATCGTTTAGTAATCGATTACCAATCGATTACAATCGATAGCTAATCAATAGTGCACACAATCGATTGCTAATCGATTACTCAGCAATCGTTGCCGAGCCTGGGTCACCCTTTTGCGCCCATTATAATTTTTTAACTAGTAGAATGTGGCTCATGTCCAAGCTTAGGTTCGCTTAAGGTGGCGCTTGGGTGACACCTTTTAGCGGGTTGCTCAGCCTCACTGTACGAACAATTCATCGGGCATGCAGGCCTGTGTCACCACATCTCGCTGCTGGCCTCGTTGGTATCAAGGCTTTCAAGCCCATTTCCCAGACTTGATTGAACTGGCCTCGAGCCTGATCTCACCTTTCCTTTTATCATCCTCCACCAGCAGCATTATTATATTATATCGTGCATTGCTTGCCTTACGACTCTCAGCTATCGCTCAGCCGTATTATTTCGCAATACCCAGTGCCTGGCCTCACTGCTTCAGCCCTGCGAAATTTGATTCAGCATGTTTGCCGATCGCCTCCTCTTTGCTTTGCTCACAGTCGCCCTCATTACCCTGACCTCAGCTCAACATCAGAATGCGACCAATTCGTCCACGACGAAGCATGCACCGACTGATCGCGTTGGTTGGGTTTCTACACCTCCTGGCCGAAGCACGATGAATATCGTTTGGAGCTGCGTGTCAATACTCCTGGTCTGCACCTACAAATGTCTTCACTTCAACATACCAAGTTTCGAGGAGAAGCGAGCTGGATGGTATACACTAGAGCTGAAGGGTTGGAGCATCTATTATTGGCCGAAGTGGCTACTTATTCGAAGCTATCTGCGAAAGCTAGGATGGATGCTGGGGGTTGCCCTTGCCCCGGAGGTGGGGGTCGGCTTGGCAGTGATGGAATATTTCCAGGCGTGCAAGGATTTGGAAGAGGTGAAAGGACGGTGGCCCGATTTGGAAATTGATTTAGTTCACGCCTTTTATGCTAGGATGGGAGGTTTTGCGGTCCAGCTTACAGATGCCCAAGAAGCGACAGCAACCCCTCCGAAGCCGCGTCTGCTTCCCGAAATTGGCCATGATAAAGCATCTGAGTTAGCAACTCCAACAGAGACTACGGCCAGTGTGTCAAATGAGTAGAGTAGAGTAGAGTAGTGGGCACTACTCATACTCTACTCAACCAAATAAAGCGCTACTCATACTCTACTCATATTCTACTCAGGCTACTCATGAGTAGTTGAGTAGTATGAGTAGTATGCACGTGACGGGTACACGTGATAAAGCTAGCCTAATAAAGTAAAGTTCCGGCTGCTCCCGCTCTAGTACCACCTCGCCACCCAATCAGGTAGTGGCGTGGCTTGGTAAGCGAACCGAAGCCTTACGATACTTCTAGAATTATCTCGACTTAGGTACTTAGTAATAATAGTAATTCTATTAGTAAAAATTTGAAATTAAGTAGTTAGAATCTTCGAGATAATGGGATTCTTTATAATTAGAAGAATAATTAAGAAGCTCTTAGAAAATTAGAATTTTCTATAAGAATATACTATTTTCCTCGATTTTTTGTTTTTCTCTTACTTTAATTATATAAAAAAGCTCAACTATTACTCCTATTTATATATTTTCTATTATATATATTCTTATTTATATTTAATATATTCGGAAATATCTCAATAATCCTTAATTAAGATAAACTTAGCTCAAAATCATCCTGATTTTAAGTTAAAACCACTTAATAAATAACCTTATCTTTTTAAAAAAGGCTATTTAGGGAAGATATTAGATCCTATATAAGAAGATCTAGAAGAGGCTTATATATATACTATTAAGTACTTAGTTCAAGGTTATTCGTAAGTTAATATATTAATATTTAATAATTTTTTAACTAATTAATATAATAGTAAAAAATAGATAAATTAATAACTATATATTTAAACTAGTAATTACTATATTTATTTTCGAAATTTATATAAATCTATTACTCTTAAGACTCTTAATAAAGGAAATAATAGTAAGTTATTTTATATTAAATAAAATATTAATTTTACTAATATATTTATTAGATAAAAGTAAAGCTTCTCAAGCCTCTTAATTAACTATAACTGGCCTTTTTAATAAGTAATTAGAATAACGAAATAAAGGCTTTACTATTAGTTACTTTAAAAGATTATTATTAATAATAATATTTCTTTTCGGGCTATTACTATACTAAGCTTTAAAAAGCTTTTATCTTATTTAAATAAGTAAGTTTTTATTATAATCCTCTTTATTTATATATATATTAATATTTTATAGTTAAGTACCTGCTATATATTCGAAAACCCTTATAAATAAACTTAAATTATATTATATTAAAAAGTCTTTAAATATTAAAAAAGAACTAAAAGAAAATATTAAATCTTAAAAGACTTTCTCTATTATTTTAGATACTTGAACAGGTATAAATTAAAAGGCCTTTCTTAGTATTACTATATAAGTTAATGAATTATTAATTAATTAATTCTTTTTAAAAGATATACTAATTTTATTTTAGATATTTTATAAATAAAGATTTTATATTAAAATCTTATTTATTAGCTATAAAAGACTTAAATAATATATACTCTAGTATTTATATACTTTCTGTTTTATTAGAAGCTTTAAAATAGTATAATATTAAATATAATATTACTAGATAAGTAATTTTAAATATTTATTAAATAATTACTAATATATTTTATTTAGTATTACTCGAGATAATACTAGCTCAAATAATACCTTATTAAAAGCTTTTATAAAGTATTATAATAAGGAAGGCATTAAATTTCAAGGAGATATTCCCTATATAGCTTATATATTAAACTTAGTAATTCAGGATATTTTAAAAGCTCTTATTAAAAACAATTATAATACTTCTTATTCTACTAATTTATATAAGCAAGAAATAGAAGAACTTGAAGATAGAGAAGAAGATAAAGAAGGAGAACAAATAACAAGTAAGTTTCCTATATAATTTATAAGAGATTTATTAATAATTATAGATTTATTAATTTAGAGAAAGGTTAGAAAGACTATTATAGGTCTTAAATATAACTAAGAAAACCGATGGCTATTAGAAGCTCAAATTAAAGCTTTTAATATAGAAAATACTCAATTCCCTTAACTTAGTAAGTAATTAATTTTTAGTTTTTAATTATTTAGTTATTTAATTATTAATTAATACTAATTACCTATAGATTAAAAAATACGGTAGTCTTTAACTTATTATATATTAAAGAACTTTATATATATATATAAAGCTATTAAAGTAGTTACTAATAGCTCTAATTTAAAGGCTTTTAAAAATAAAAGTCTAGTTTTAACTAATATTAAAATTACTTATTTAAATAATATTTTAAATATAATTTCGATATTTATTAAAGCTATAACTAAAGTATAAGCCGAAAATTACCCTACTATATATTATATTATACCTGAGGTATATAAAATATATAATAAACTTGAAAATTTTAAAAAGGAATTTAAAGTAAGTTTTTTCTTAAATTCTTCTTATATTATTAATAATATTATACTAATTTTTAATAGGATAAAGCATTTACAGATACTATTAATAAGGGTATAGCTAAGCTTCGAAAATATTATCCTAAAACAAGTATTTTAGATAATAAAAGCAAAGCTTTATATTTAGTTCTTATTCTTAATTCTCGAATTAAACGAGAAGGATTAACTAGTATTAGTTTATCTAGTAGTATATCTTCGGATATATATAATAGATTAAAAACTAATTATAATATATAAGTAATTCTTTTTATTATTATTTAATAAATTAATAACTAATTCTTTAATTTAGATATAAATATAATTATAATATATCTCAAGCTAGATCTGATTCCTCGGATCTTAGTATAGCTAATTCCGACTCTAATAACTTAGATATATAGATTACTAATTTGTCTTCTAAAATAGAAAATAAATTAATAACTTATTTAGAAGAAAAGAGAGAAGATAAAAGAGTAAGTAAAATTCACTTAAATTCTATTAAATAATTATCCGATATTTCCTTAATATTTTTTAATATATTAGTACTAATATATATATATAGATTAAGCTATTAGATTATTGGAAGTCTAATATGGCTAGATTTCCTGTTTTAGCTTTAATAGCTAGGAAATATCTAGGAATCCCAGCTTCCTCGGTCTCTAGTAAGAGGTTTTTCTCTCAAGGTATTCTTATTATTACTAAGCTATATAATAGACTTAATAAGAGTACTTTTAAGATAATATCTTGCTTAAAAAGCTGGGGGCTATTTAAAGACGAATTAGAAGAGGCTAAAAAAGAAGAGAAAAAGGAAGAGAAAAAGGAGAAAAAGAAAGATTTTGAGAAGGATAATTAGTTTATTATTATAGAAAATTAATATTTAGCTAGTTTTATATAAGGCCTATTCTTTATTTATTATAGCTACTTAATAAGTACCTTACTTATTTAATAATTATTAAGTAAACCTCGATTTTATTATAGTCACGTAACGACTACTCAAACTACTCAAACTACTCATAAGTATATACTCTACTCTACTCAAAAAAATTGGGAATTACGCTACTCATATTCTACTCACGCTACTCATGAATATTCATGAGTAGTATGAGTAGTATGAGTAGTTCTTTGACACACTGACTACGGCAGTGGGCCATCCAGACAATCCACAGAAGGGTGCTCATGCAAACGAACCAGCTGAAATGAGCTCTTCAGATATCGGGAAACTCCCTTCGCCGACCCGAATGCCTCAGAATTTATTTAGGCTCAGTTTGTCTGAGTATGGTGGGTTTTCATCCCTCTTCCCTTGAGTTTTGAGTTTCACGATAAACCAACGATGTCCATGCTCTGCTAACACTCTAGAAAGTGGAACTCTGCTATGATGCTTCCTCGAAGGATTCCTTTATCAGCAAGCACGATATAAAAGATAGAAGCAAGACCGATGCCTTTTCAAAAGTTTTCGCCATAGTCCAGTCTTCTTGGCTCATTGTACAAAGTATTACTCGCGTTGCATCTGGTTTATCGCTCAGCCAGCTTGAGCTGGCAACCATGGCCTATATTATTCCTGCAGCTGTGATATACGGTTTTTGGTTAGAGAAACCTTTCGGTGTGGAGCACGTAACCACTATCCACCGTCCTAGAGAAAAAATTTCAACAGATCCTGTGCCATGGAAGAAAACAAGTTGGGTCAGTGCAGTGGGAGATGCGATAAGCCTCGAAAAGAATTTTGGAAAGAGAATGCTGCATTTTACCTTGTTGCCACTCTCTTCTCCGCTGTCCATCTCGGAGCCTGGAACTGGGAATTTACATCTCCTGTGGCGAGGCTACTTTGGAGAATATTTGGGGTGTTTGCCACGGCTGCTGGCCCTTACCTTGTTATCGTCTTGGTAGTGATACATAAGTGGGACTCTTTTTCGACTGGCAATTACACTACGCTATACCTGGTCGGCGATAAAATCGCTGACATCCTAGTCAATGGTTGGGCAACGGTCTTCATCATTTCGTTATACATTATTTCTCGATGTGTATTATTTGTTCTTATCGTTTATTCTCTTTCATCGATGCCATTTGGGGTTTATATGACTGTAGATTGGACGACCTATTTTCCATTTTTGTCCTAGGCCATTCAAGTATCCTATGCGACGGGAAGGATATCAAACCATTTCTCCTTTGTATTCCATAATTCAGCGCACTATATTATACATTCTTAGGCACATAATCAACCCTCACCTCTACCTAGCAGAAGTCACGAGGAAGTGAGGAAAATAGTGCAACTATTTAGAATTACAAATTACCCGAGACTTCTATGTTAATAAGTCTAAGTTCTCTACTGAAACTATTGATCTTTCGGCGGTCTCTCATGTTGATAAAACTGAGCACGGGCGTATCACTCTATGGTTCCTTGTCCCGTGAAGGGGAGCCAAAATGGAAAGAGAAGGCATTAGCTAGGAAGAGAGTTTCGGGTAAGAAAGTGAAGCGGGCGTCAGGATGGTGGAACCTGAAAAAGGGGAGAGTCAGCTGCTAACAGACGGGATCACCAGAAAGCCACAAGATTGTGCTCAGCATTCCACGTCGGGAAATATCAGCCACGAGATTATAATTTCCGCTTGGCCTCTGTGTTTTTGTAGCTCTACCACATAGCTGCCGGGCTAGACGACTCCTCTACCTGGAAATCTCATAATGATTCATATCTTGCACCTAAGATTTGAGTAGATTTAATTAAATTCGTCTTCTATTGCGTCGCTTGCACCTTTTAACTGAATTTAACATTTCAGGGTCTTTCAAATCGCAATTGTGATCAATCCGTACATATGTAATGCTTCATAATGCGTAGGGAGTTTATCACAATTCTCGAGGTGATTAGAGTCGACCTATCAGCCCCGAGCGAAAAATGCGCTCAGCAAGGAGTAGATGTTTCTAAACTAGGTGTTCCTTGCTCCCAGCGCCAATATTCAGGAGTTACGTAAAGGAACTTCCTGCTCCGGATTCTCGGGAAACGCCTCCAGCTTTTTGTCTCAGATCGGAAAACATACAGGCGTTCGGAGTTGTTCGAGTATCGCTGGACAATCTAGATCCCACTGTTTAATGATCCAAAGTCAAGGGAAACAATTTTCGAACACAAATTCAGCATAAAGTGAGACATAGAAAGTGAGAAGTGAGAAGTGGAAAGTGAGAAGTGAAAAGTGAGGAGTGGAAGGTGAGGAGTGGAAGGTGAGGAGTGGAAGGTGAGGAGTGGAAGGTGAGGAGTGAAAGGTGAGGAGTGGATGGTAAGAAGTAGAAAGCGAACTTCTCGGGTCTCGAGTCTCGTGTGAGCGCTATAATTATAGGCTTCTGACTACTAAATTATAGGGCCACGATCGCTAAATTATGGGCGATGGGTACTAAACATTTAGTGCTTTCCTTTTTCGTAGGGTGCGGCACAGATTTTTAGTGGGGTAAATGATGAAAGTCCGGTTTCACGTTTCTCGCTTGGACTAGACGCCGAGCGCTCCCTCTCCCTTACTTGCAGTTCTCCTCCTGTGCGCTTCCTACAATGGCTTGCCCACGGTACTGCTACGAGTGCCAGACCTGCCTTGTCTCATTAACTTCCGAATCCCTGTGTACACGCTGCCAAGAGAGGAGCCAGATCCCATGGTGGGCTCGTTCAGTAGACCGTTGCTCACTGTTTCAGCGTATCCGGCTGGTGCACGACTTCCCCCTGGATCGGAATCCGAATCGAGTCCTCTCTTGTGCCGGGTGCCACGCCTGATTACGAGAAGTGTACCGCGAGCGAAAGGGAGAGCCGGTTTTACAAGAGGGATACGAGGGGTGGTTTGTACCCGTGTAATGTATAGTGGAGAAGGCTTTAAAGAAAAGGATGTGAAGGAGGTAAAGGAACGGGTGTTAAAGGCAAAGGAGAAGTGCGAGTGAGTGCAAGGAACGAGAATTTTGGAACGAGGTATATGAAGCGGTGACGAACCGCGAATACTGGGTTAGGATGAAGCTGGCGTGCAAGCGAGAGCCGGGAGGACCTGCGGGAGGGGGGAAGCTCTGCGGACTTGAGTGTGGGGTACGGGGATCCGCAAGAGGGCGTTGCGGGCCTGAATGGGGCTTCGGGGGGTCCGCGGGAAGGAAGGGAGAGCTCTACGGGTGGAAGTAAGGGATTGGAGGGAACCGCGAGTGAGGGTACGGGTAGTAAGGGACTTGCATCCCTGAGCGCCGCCATTGCAGATCTCTACTCTTTGAAATATTGCCAAGAGTTTAGACTTCTCAAGAACATGAGTATTGATTTTTCGATTTTTGGACTTCTCACATCCCCTGAGTTTTGAGCCGAACGTCCCCAGCCGGCCCGTGATTAATCACTGTTTCTTGCTGCTGGACCTCACTTGGGAGGAAAATCTATAAGAACCTTTGAATTTCCCTTCACTTGCAACCTCCATTCAAGGTCTATTCAATTGCACAGCCCCTTAGTTCCCCCGAGCAAAATAATCAATTGTTCACTTTCTCGAATCTGCTTCCCAAGTTCGAATTTTATTCAAAATGCTTCTCGGAAAGGTTTTCACATCCCTCGCCTTTGCGGCCATGGCAATTGCACCTGGTAAATTCTATCCATTCCCAAGACAATACTCTCGCTGATGTTGACTTAAAAAAGCCGCCTCTGCCCCAACTGCAGAGCCAGGCGCCACAACTGTGCTAGTAAAGCGTACAACTATCGGCGATCACGCTCGTAGTTGCTACAGCGGTGTGCAGGTACATTGCGATTACATCAGTACGTCCCAAATTCCCCTTCAATTCTCCTTCCATCAGCTCACCACAACTTCTATGCAGATAACCACATCCATGACCACGGGGGCATTATTACCGTGGATGTGAGTTCAGGACTCCTTTAATTCATTCTAAACTAAGAAGAAAAGGTTGCCGCAACTATCCTCGTCGAGCTCGATGCAATCCTTGCACTCATCGTCACTTTGGTTGGACAGATTACTGGAGAAGTCCTTGTCCAAGTAGACATCCAAGACAGTGTTCCTGTCTTCATCAACATAGTCAACCTTCTAACGGCCCTGCTTAACACAATTTACAACTCTTGTGGAGGAGGCAAGTTATATCCTGCCTCTCATTCTCTTCCTTCCCTTTGGTGTTTTACTAACTATTTCGTCCTGTGAATAGATGGAGCTGTGATTAGCCTTTTCGTCAATATCGTTGTCTCAATCAGCCTCCAGATCACTATAATTTCGGGCTCGCTCATTCTCACTATTGACGGGCTCCTGGGCTTGATCCTTGGGCTTCTTAGTGGTATCTTGGGCAGCTTGAGGTTGGATATCGATACCTCTATCGACCTCTTCAATACCGCCAGTGGATACTACCACTAATCCCCTACAGAAGATAGGCAGCCCTTCGTCGGGCAACTTGGTGGAGGCCCTCGGTGACTGCAGATTGAAAATGCTCGTTGATGGGGGATTTGAGGACTTGGAGGACAGGAGTGGACTGGAGGGCGAGGTGTAAGATATCTTTCGTTCAAGAATGGTTGAGGAATTGGTAGGAATTTGATATAACACCCTGTTGAAATATTTAAAAGATATACACTTACTCCTTCGATATACGTATGCAAACGGTCAAATTCCAGATAAATATGTGGGGTTTTCCCGGGCTAATTCAAATTATATTGTTATCTACGGGAGGTTGTACAAGAAAACCAGAGAGGCTACCTAACAATGCCAGAGCGCTTCGAATCGAGTGGACTCGGCTTCCAGGCCAAGTAACCACCTAACGAACTGCCCCTCAAAACAATGTTTCGAGAACCTTAATTGTATGAGTTGTCGAAAAAGCTTGATTTCTAACCAATTCGGCTATGCTGTTCAATATGCAAGCCTCGATTCTCGAGAGATATTTCGCGATTATCTGATAGCTTTAAGTAAATTTGTTGGCTGACCAGGAGAGTTCAGGATACACGTGATCAAAATCCATGTGCATAGTCAAGTGTTAAGATACACACTGCGCGGTGGCCATCGAGGTGAAGGTCCAGTCCCAGTCCCATCGAATAAACCTTGTAAAGTGGCTGAGCAGACAGGGGGTGGCGTCCACTGCCATAATTAAGCGAGATTACTTCAAGGTTAATCGTTCAGCAGGCTCACGTGAGGGAGTGTAATACGCAAAGTACACCAATACGCAAACACACCAAAATTTGTACGAAGGCGAGCGACATTAAAATTCGCCCAATACACTAAGCCAGGACGGGCACAATTTTGACCCTCGCAATACAGAAATTCTCATAATTCCCCCCTATATCTAATTACCGTAAAGATTTCGCGAAATTTAGATCTCCTCCTTTTCTATTATGCAAAAGACCTTTAAAGAGTTTCGGGCATTCCGTTGAGATTTGGCGCAATTTTCTAAACCTAGCGATTTCGGTATCTCTCAGCTACTGGCAGCTGGTGTAACGGCCTCGCAGTACCTAGCTACTGGTGCGGAGGGATGCATGAGGCTAGTGAACTACCTGTACATATACGGAGTTGTGAACCTCACTCTCCTCTTCTCTCTTTAGTTTCAGTCGAGCAATTATTGTTGCCCCCATACCTTCTGCCTCTGCTGTACCAGCGTGAGACCTCGGCTCCATAACAGCTGGACGGTATTCAACGCCGCGCGCCTTCGGATAGGAAAACCGTGCGAAGTGCAAAAATAGCAAGGCCTTATTCTTTACCTTTTAGATTTGATAGAAGAAAGGATTTCAGTTTCAGAATCAGTTCCTACGACTTAGGGTTAGGAAAATTAAAGGGCGGATCAGAGCGATCTTTTGTTGGGCACCACTATAATTTTAGATCTGCGTATTGGTGTGATTTGCTTCTGGGTAATCAACAAAGTTTGCCCTGCCATCTCCATGCCGGACTTCATGGAAGGACTTTAGGAACAAGGCATCATCGAAAAGGAAAGGCAAATCACAGTCGCCAAAAGGCGTGGTCAAAAGCCATCACATTGGTGCATGGATGCACTGACCCACTTCCTTATTCCACTTCAAACGTTCAAGGACGAGGAGCTCATTTTCGACGAAACAATTACCGCAATTCCACATGCATCCGTTCCTCTCGACCTCCTTGCATGGGAAATACGTCTTGTGGTTCTCCTGCCTGCTGAAAACTGTACCAAACCACTATACGCTCATTTCGCTCACCAGTCGGTGTGCGGAATAGTTGCATACCGGTGTCTCTCATATACCTGGGTAACGGGAGATGTGACGTCAGAGCTCACACTCCATAGGATAATATTTCTATCCGGAAGAGCCTAGAGGAAACTTAGCGCAGTCTTTGCAGTGGTATTACCAAAACAACTATTTAGGTTAATGCAATTTGTATTGATCAACGAAATGTGCGAGAGAGAGCAGACAAGCTTCGCGGATGCATCAGATACATGGGAATTTAGATGGCGTACTCGTGTGGGTTGGAGAAGGAGATGAAGATAGTGATCTGGCGTTGTATTTTATTGCTGGCGCGAATGGATTCCACTCAACGGATATGTATGTGGGTTTGGAGGATGGTGAGGCTGCCGTGTTCAGGAGTTCGAATACTTTGAGAGCTTGTGGGAAAACCACGGAGCCGAAAGGAGCCCGATTTGGTACACAAAGCTTCCAATTCGTCTCCTGTCACGGAAGAAGAAGAATCCCTGGAGGATGTTGTTCGAGGTTCAAGTCTCCCACACACTAAAACAGCAGAAGGAAGGCACGTCTTTGGGCCGTTGTCTGTCGATTACTCCAGCGGCCTTATTTCAGCCGAATGTGGGTTGTTCAGGGGATAATAGCAGCCTCACTATGTACCGTCTGGTGCGGGAAACGAAGAATCCCCTGGGAAAATTCCATTCCCCATTTTTGGAGATGACGAGTTGAAGAACGTCAGTAACATGTGGGATGCTAGTGGACACTATTACTGTCATCTCGCCTGAGACAGGGAATTCTCACGACTGGTATCTCATTGCGTTGGGACATGGTCATAATTTGGAGGAAAATGTATCTGAGGAGAAAGTGAATCGGGACTTCTAGAGGATAGTTATCGGGAATGGTTCGAATGCATTTCAGTTCGATCCAGAGAGAGGGTAAGTCCATTTGTTCTGGACCAAAGACAAAGGGGAAGCCCACAAAACAGCGCAGGCAATCCCTAGCCGAAAGGTCTGGACGGCGTTTTATTGTTACGGACAATGGATTTATGGGAATCGCTCCTTTCTGGGTCAAGGAGGGCGATAAGGTTGCGATATTATTTGGTTGCAATGTACCAGTGTTGTTGGGAAAGTGTCAAGACGACTCGACTCATTTTAATTTGAAGGGGGATTGTTTTGTCTGGGGATGGATGAGAGGTGAGATATTGGAAACTTTGGGATATGACGGATGAAGAAATCGTAGACAAATTCACCCTTAAGAAGACTCACATTTGGATACATTGATCAACGGTGTCGTAGTGTTTGACGAAGAGAGTAAGTAGCTCCTACTTCCAGTAAACACAACTGCAGAAAGCTGGTACCTAAACGCCTTCCTCTTAGTATCCCATGACCTATAACTCCTACTGTACAAGCCAGTCTCTTTGCCAAATGCTCGCAGGAGTACTTTTCCGCTTGCTGTACGGCGACAAATTATTTCCACTCTCTCGCCTCCCAAACTACGCTATTTATTTCATCGCTCCGACCCCATCAGTGGTAAGGGCGATATCTCGCCATCCATAGCCCCAACAGTCCTACTACTAACCTTCCTCATCCTCAACGTGTCACTCTTTTCCTTGTCTCCATCGACCGCCTCAATCATTTCCATGTCATTGTCCTCCGTTGCAGGTGACCAGGCAAGGTAGTCCCTCCTCACCTCAACATAGTCATACGCAAACTCTCCAAGCTGGTCATCATCCATGCCCAGCAACTCAGCTTCCTCACTTGCTCTCAGCTTCAATCCTGGAATCAAATTCACAACTGCAGCAATACCAGCAGACACGACGAAGGAATATGCCGTACATGCCACAACATACGCAGCTTGGATGTAAAGTTGTTTCCAGTTATGATTGAGCCATCCCCCATTTATTAGTCCCGTTGATACGCCATCTAACCCGATAATATAATCTGCAGCGAAGAATCCGTTAAAAATGAGGCCGACCATGCCGGCGATGCCGTGCTCGGCGAGATTGTCCATACTATCGTCGATTCGGAGGAAGTACTTGACCTTGGTGGAGAAATTGGATACTAAGCCGACCACAACACCGAGGATTATGGATGCCCATGGAGGGATGAAGCCTGATGCGGGCGTTGCTGCTACGAGGCCAGAGATACAACCTGAACACTGGGGAAAAGTCAGTAAGTGCAGACTTGAATAAGAGTTCAAATGAACGTACCCAGCCAACCATCGACCACTTTCTTGAAAGGCGATAATCAAGCAACACCCAAGTAATGGATGCAATCATCGCTGTCAGGCATGAATTCCAACACGCCATAACAGCTCTCAAGTTAGCGCCGAATGCACTTCCGCCGTTAAACCCCAACCATCCAAACCAGAGGATGATCGTCCCAAGTGTGACTAAGGATACATTATGTGGTCGGAAGTTGAGCATCATCTTCTGTTGTCTCTTCCCAAGCATCATACTATATGCCAGTGCCGAGACACCAGAGCAGATCTCGACTGGTCCACCTTCTCTCTCAATTAGTGTGGGTTCCGGGTGGAAGTACGACACTAACCTCCGGCATAATCTAGAACTCCAAACTTAAACGCCCAGCCGTTGATATTCCAAGCCCAGTATGCGATCGGGCAGTACACCAGCGTCGCCCATATGAAGATAAAAACCATCATAGGCACCAGTCTTCCTCGCTCTGCAATAGCACCTGTCACGATAGCTCCGGTAGTGGCACAAAACATCATCTGATAAAACGAATACAGCAACTCTGGTATTAAAGGACTTCCTGGACTTGGTGCCCCAAGAGTATTCATCAATCCAAAATGGTTCAAGTCCCCAATAAATCCGCTGGTCCCACTCGACGAGAAAGCGAGGGAGTAGCCCCAGAAGTACCATTGGAAGGTTATCACAGAGAAGGAGGCCATGCAAGCCCAGATCATGGAAAGTGCTGATTTTCGACGCGCGAGTCCGGAGTAGAGGAAGCCGATGCCGGGAATCATGACGAGCACCATGCAGGAGGAGACGAGGATGTATGCTACGTCGCCGGACTGGTACCATTGGTTTAAATTGGTTGTTCCTGGTCACAGTCAGCTCTCCTTGAACGAGACTGTCGATAATTACGAGAGAACCTACTTGAATCGCCGCCATTTGGAAGGGTGCCGTTGAACAGCGCTGGTGCACCGGTATATCCGTACGACATATTTGGCTGTCGACCTTCTGGCTATTCAGATGCTCAAGGAAATGTGTTGGATAATACTTGATGTTCACAAACTGTATAGGAGGACTGAGTGCTCGAGTGGTCGGGGTTGTCTTATATCTCCCTGGCGTTCCGTCATCACCTGTTGCGTGTTTCTGAAAAGTGGCTATCAAGGAACGATCCAAGGATCAATACTCGATCCACACTCCGGCTCGGCCCTCTCAGGACACGGAGATAGAAATCCTACATCAGAATTCCCGGCCATGCCTCTCTATAGAAGGCAGCCCTAAGGCTGGAAACCTTTCCGTTTGGCTGTGAAATATCTGCAGAGAAGAAAGGAAACGTGAAGTGAGAACGAGATCTAGCTCGGCAATGCAAGTGTATTTTCGATGACGCACAGAAAAAAGAAAAAGAAAGATACAAGGCTACACAACAGTTCGTGACTGGTTGGGAGGGGTTTCGAGATTTCTTATCTAGGATCGTGATGCCTGTAAGTACTGACAGGTAGAGAAAAGGAGGGGATCCCGCCCGTGCCGAGCGTGAGGACACCCCGGTCGATACACATGCATGACTTTCCTAAATTCCCGGAGTGGGATTCAGAGCCGAAACGATAGCTGAGCTATTAATCCCATGGGCTGAGATTCATGTCGCGTGACTGAAAGAGGGAAGAGTTGGTCTGCCAAGGCTGTTTCAGGGGCGAAGCCTTCTGCGGATTGCTCGACCCACCACTTCTAAAAGCAATGCTCTTCAATAAAATACCGCAAACTCGCCATCTCAATGTCAAAAAAAAACTTCGCCCCATGTTCTCTTCCACATCCCCAAGCCATCCGCGTAATGATGCAAGCCCGCCTTTTGGAACCACGGCCTCGGGACCCACCACATCGACCTGATCTTCCCGCTTCCGCCCCACCACCCCTTTGGTTTTACTTTTGTCTCAGCTGCTCGCCTTATGGACTAAACACCTCATATGCCAATTTTCCCCAGGGAAGTTCCTGGCATCCTAACTCTGGTTGGAGATAAGAATTTCTAATATGGCAGAATAAGCAAAAGCTTATCTTAACATCTGGTTAACCAATTAAAAAGTTTTCGGAGTTGAGGTGGCCGATTGGGGATCAGATAAAGCATCATAATCTTTAGATTTAAAGAGACGGGTATGGGCTTCAAGTTCCAACAGTTCTCGATACAGAAATCGAAGGGTCAAGAAGTGATGAGTGGAGGATAACGAGTAAGGGGCCTTGCGCTGGACAAGAAAAGTGACACTGAATCCCGGTCCCAAGTTAACATTGGACATTAAAGTATTCAATAAATTCTAAATTTAAGATTCTCAGACGTAGGGGACGGGGTATACTTTAAATGTCCTTTAATTCGATTGGATATTGACATGGAAATTAGTTAAATTAATCCAGCGTGACTTGGGACATGGAGAATTCAGTGCCGCGTTTTTTGTCCACCACGAGGAGGGCTCCGGGGGCTTTTGGATTGCAAGGGGCGGGTTTAAGCGAGCGCCACTCAGGGGGAGACATCCCGCGCAAAGTTGAAAATGAGGGATTTGAAGATTTTTCGGGGGCACAAACTTGGATGCGTTTTTTCAATGCTGTCGCAAAAGGGTTCGGCACCATGGGATTAGATTCGTGATCTACGAGTGTTACCAATGATCTCTTTCCGACCGTACGGAGATGGTTTCTTTGCTCAGATCCCCATCTTTGTTGGCTTCAGCCATGCTGCTCGTCCACAGGCTGGGGAATGCCGGGGACATGCTCCCAGCTATGTAGCCCCGCCTATTTTTCACGGCGAGGCTTTTACCTCGCTCGAGATAGTCTTTGGTCCAGTATCAGATCAGACCAGACGAAGCACAGATCTGCCATCCTCCAAATGTTTTCTTATTTGTCTCTATTCAAAAGCCGGAAAGAAGGGGGTTTTGATAGAAGTGAGTTTGATGCTGAGGAAATTAATCTCGGTAAGTGCTGCTTAAACAAGTGTCTTATCTCCTCATGCTGGAAGAACAACCGTAAATGGCGACAACTTCGAGCTAGAGTAAATTGCTTTGTAACCCAATGGCACTGTACCGTCTCTGACTGTGTCATCCCTTTGCAGTCCACTTATTTGCAGCCGCGATATTCTTTAGTATCTTGATTCTCAGCGCATGTCAGGTCACCAGCTCTTTATAAATGACCCCGTCGTGAAGGAGCGCGTCCAGCAACTCATTGACCTCGTCCATTCACACCAGGTCGGGACCGACCTAATCCTTCTGCAAGCCCGCAACAAAACAGAGATTGAATTCAAGAAAACAAGTCCGTGCAAATCATTTTTGCTCAACCGCCAAGCTAAACCTGAGAAATACGGAACACAGCTCCCAGATAATCCATTCTACGGGCCCAACGCAGCCGAAAATGGAACTCTCTATTACCTATACATGACAGAGGTCAGTCTTGCGCATGAGCAGTTATTCCTTGTGATAAATAAGATGCATCGCCTTTGCTGAGGGAGTGGAGAAGCTCAACCGTTTACTTGTGCTCTCGTACGCCGCAGGCGAAGAGCTTATGGCTGCGGATCTCCACATCGTGCCTTGGTTATCCCACACTTTGTGGGGCACAGGAGCAACTGGGATCCAGGATTTTGCGTCTCTGGGAAGGTTGGTTGGCGGGGCGGTGCCTAGTTTTAGCTTTGGCGAACGGATTGAGGCGTGGTGGTTTAATATCAGCAAAAGAGATTCGTTCAAAGGGGTGCGTGCTCCACTATATTAAACGGGACCAGAGGGGAACCTAGTTGTCTTATCTTTCGCTGTTTCCACAATGATTTTATCTTCCAGCTGCCGTGTCGGAGGAGGTTTTTGCTTGATCCTTGATCCTTGATTTTTTTAATATGTCATCTGTCTTGGTATTTTGATGGAGTCTTTGTAAATATTAAACTTGAGTCTCTTTCGTCCAGAAATAATTCGCCCATATTCTATACAACTAGCAAGCCGTCCCATTACTATCTTCAACATTTACTAGTACCCCGCCGCTTCCGATTGTCAGGTATGTCTTGCCACAACTGCTGTCCTGGGGATGGGCCAAAATATCATCTAAATCTAAGCGTAACAAATTGCAATACCGATCCAGGTCTAAATCATTCGGTCCTTCTCCCCAAGGCTAAAAATATGCGACGATCAGCAAGAACCCCTTCTTTAGTAGAGACTTCACTATCCTTCAAAAGCAAACTCACATTCTCAATTTCTAGGCCCACCTCAGCAAGTGCAAAGAGGGCATATGCCGTAATGATGGTCACAGCGACACTCCACCAAGCGACTTCACCCCACAACTGACTCGGCAATGCGAACACGAATATCCATACGATGCGTGAGATGGCGATATTATACCCCAGTGGGATAGGAGTCCGTAGGAGACGCTCACAAGCCGAGATGACGCTTGTGAAACCATCTACGTGAGTTAGGAGGTGGGTGAGAACTTGCGTGTCCAGGACACCTGGTGAGAGGCGACGATAACGCTCGACCACTGATGAAAGGTGTAATGTCAAAGTTAGTGGATGGTTAGTTGCCGTATAATTGTACTGTAAGCAAAGATGATCAGTGCAGTTTGGAGGACTCAAGGCGGGTGACTTACGTTCGGTAGATGGGCTAGGAGCCGCTCCAGGTCGGAGCATTCACCACAGTCCCTTTCCCCGCGAAGATGGTGTTTTAAGGCTACTGCAAGTGCGTGCACGCATCTTATCACCTCCACCTTGTCAGGGATATCGTCCGTATTCTCTGCTGGCTTAGGGAGCGGCACATGCAGCCAGATTGTTCGTGCAAAGGATCGCGAATCTGCAGATAATTTATCCCACTGTATCCGCCCCTCCCACCAGCGACTATAAGACGATTGCATTCGAAATGTGATGGCGAGGCCGACGATAAAGCTTCGCATCACATCGGGTTAGGTTGGTCTATGATAAGGAGAGAAAGGTAGTGAAACAAATTTACCCGAATATGGGGAACAAGATCGGAGAGTGCATCGAGAGCTGCCCTCCCATATACTGCGAAACGCCACATATCAATGCGGCTACAATTCCAGAGAGAAAGATCTTTGATGACAAAGTGTTAGCGGATTGAGTTCCGAATCGCACTTCGTGTCACAAGCATACCTGCGGGATAATTCTGACAGATGCGCCACCCTCCCACCGCAAAGAATACGGTACCCATCGTGCATTCTTTCTCTTCTCTCTCTGACCTGCGTGCCATTCTTTCAAGGTATGATAGGGGTGATGATGCTGGCTTCTCATATTTGGTTTCCGTGGTTTCAGGACGAACTTGAATGCTACCCCTTCAGTCTCTTTTATAAGTACTCCTTGACGGAACGATGCGGCGAGATCAACCGGCAAGTTTGCCTCATTAGATTTAATACTCATGTACAATTCCTGTGATAGGGTGAAGAATGGCGGATTGTGGCGTGACTTATGCGAAAGTCACCTGTTTGGAAGACGCTTGGTTCAAACATGGCCAAGCGCGATACTCATGGACTGTAATTGCGCTCCGCTCACCGCTCACCGCTCTCTCTGAGAATTATTCGCCAGACTCTCGCCGGAAGGTTCAGAAGTGGTTAAAGTTGGCAGCTTTCAAAGAGGCCGACACGCGTTTCCAGGTTTCTCCTTATGCCTGTTCGATGTGGGTTCGACTAAGCGGGCAGATATATCTGGGTTTGGAGGACTTTGAGTTGGCTGGGGGCAAATTAAAGGAGTTGCGTGAGAGGTTGAATGCGAATCCCGGATTCATAACTTAGATGCGGCTCGGATCTTAGCTCTATTGCTTAACTTGGGACATTAACACCTAACTCACTCACAGCATGCGGAGCCCACAATTCGCCTGGCCTCCCATCCCCCTTCTGACCACCCGCTAACTCACTAACACCATACTGGTTACCTAATTCGCTCGGCTTCTTGAAATCTCTATCGTCTCTGTGGTGCAATTCCACAAGTTCGCCGTTGAGAGTGTGCTCGATCGTCTTTTTCGAACGCTTCCTCATTACGAACCAGATTAGAGCAGCAATAACAATGGTGACCACGACACCGCCCACTATACCTCCAACAAGTGGTCCCGTATTTGATTTCTTGGCGAGGGAAGAGGTCGTGTGGGTTGGAGTGCTGGTCGAGGATGTTGACGTTGACGTTGAGGTTGCAGAGCTTGATGATACTTTCAAGCAATGAACATCAGCTCATATTCTACACTATTGCAGGGTAACATACCTGTTCCGGTGCTTATTATAGCGAGCGTGACCTCTCCACTTTGAAATGCGTATCCAGGGGAGGCACACCCATCACTATCGGTCGTTGAAGCATATCCAATTAAACCCTTCTCGCAACAAAAGTATCCGCTGTTATCATACAGATTCCACGATTGGTTTGCGCATTGAGGATTTTGGAGTAAGATGCCAGTGCAATTGGCTGAGGTGGGGCAACACTGAGATATACGATTAATATTGTGGCTATGGGTGAGCGATATCTGACGAGTTGACTTACATTGACATTGTATTGGCTTGGGCAAAATGAATTCTCTGGGCAGCAGGCGCGGTAAGGCGTTACTGTTGCGCCGCAGTCGACATCGTTTCCTGGGCAGGTGCCGTTTATTCGGAGAGCAAATCCTGACGTTGAGACCGACATTGAGAAAAAGTATTTTAAAAACAAGAATGAAGCAAGACGGAAAAGACCGCGGAGATACAAACTTAAGAGAAGTGAAACAAAAAACCAAGAAAGAATCGAACTTGCTCAGGTGGCTGTGTAACTCGGAGTGTAAATACGAAGTAGTACAAGCTGGGGTCAGCGCTAGACTTTCAGCTGCTGAATCCACGCGTGTAACCTGCCACAAAGCCATTTGAAACGACCAAAGGATTTTTGGAATTGGCTCGGCCAAGACCGCAATCTCCACTTTTTTGTCGATCTCACACAGAACTACCTCGTTGCTAAGATTTAGCGGTGAGAGACCCCGAGTTTCGGGGACCTACAGGGGCACAGCCCCTAATTGATTCGCCAACACCTCACTTCGCAAGTTCCGACATCATTTCGGACCTGACTCACTTCCTTTGACAAAGTTCCTTAAACTGACAAAGGCGCGATCTGATATCTAGAAGTCGTCAGCGGTATTACCAGGTAGAGTCATGCTTGCAGATCATCCCTCTACTGAACCTGTCTTTCCTTAGTATTGGCCAAGATGTGCGGCGTAGAAATACAAAAGCCATCCTCATCTTCAACTAGTCAACCTCAAAAATCTCCCCCTCCCTCGGTAGGAACTCTGGCATATCTCACTGATAACTAACATACCTCCCACTCAGCCACTCTCAAAACTCAATTGTATTCCCGGCGATCTCTGTCGTATCTTTCAACACTACCCAAGTCAGCTACAGCCGTTACCTTGCACTCAACTAAAAAAGTGGAGAAGAAGAAGGAAATGCACTCTCCCAAGTCTCCCTCGGTATCGCCTCCGCCAACTTCGTCATGATTGCTCCAGGATGCACAGAAAAGACAATCAACCCCACTCTCCGATTCTCCTCGACCAAAAACTCCGTCCATCTCAAAACTGCGAATTCCGACTTCCCGTGGGCACTTGCTTCCGGTCGTACGTTATACGCTGTTATGGAGCTGAGATTCACGATTGTCCTCAGAACACCAGGATAGGAGGGGAGGAGATGGAGAAAGACTTGCGTTATGCGGTAGGTGCCAAGGAGGCTGATTTCAAAGGCCTTCCACTATGTGCCACCATCCGAGGAAGAGATAGGGGAAGGGATAGCCAAGGATCCTGCGTTTTTGATGAGGATATCTGGATTCCCGAACGAGGATGTGATTGTTCCAACAGCTTTTGAGATTGAGAAGGAGTCCAAGGGGTTGAGATGGAGGGTAGGTAGCTGTGGTGGTTTGCGGTTTGGCGCTCTCGCGGCTGCTTGGAGACTCTCATGGGTGCCCGGGGGCAAAGGCTTGACAGAGCTGAGTGCGATTTGAGATGCACCTGCTTTGGTGAATGAGCGGGCTGTGGCCAGGCCGATGCCTCCTAATGCACCGGTGATGAAGACGGCGTGGGCGTTATTGTGGATTTGGCGGGCTTGATGAAGGGGTAGGTATCGTTGTGAATAGCCTTCGTGAAATTCGCATCTGGGAGGGAGGGTGTTTAGAGAATTGGTTGGTAGAGGAGGCGGTGCAGACCATTATTGAGGGGTGTGGGACGAACACCATGTTGGCCAAGCAGTATCTCTTCGTAAGTGCAAATCTGGCACTCTTTCGTGATTCCAAATAAACACTTCCGGGCGATTGCCAGAAATCTTACTTCCATATACATTGGGCCGACGCTCGCTTCAGTACAAACAAGCTTTCGGGAATAAGTCAAAGTCTTGGCATAGCCCATCTTTGATAGAACTTTCAAGCGTTCAATGATTTCAAGCGTTCAATGAGTCGGTGAGTCTTCATTCCTTGTTTGGTGAAGTCTGATTAGAGAAATGAGAACTGTGGGGGTTGGGGGTCTATTGAATATCCGAGGGCCATTTGAGAGCACTTTTGAGGCTGTTGGCGTCGCTTGATTTGACTGTGTTATGCGGTGTTTGGTTGCACTGCAATTTTAGCGTCTACAAGGAGGAGCAACCTTACGAAGCCCAAGGCAGGGACGCAGCTAGAAGAGAAGAAGGAACATCTTTGTTATGAAAGGATGACTGCACACCGGAACAGAGGAAGTGAGGATTTTTGCCCCAGGGCGGTTGGCAGTGTCACAATGAAATTTCGAAAATTTCAAGCAAACGCTTTCGCTGCGTCCTAAGTGCAACTTTCCAAGCAGGCGCAGTTCGAGAACTCTCGAATTTGCAGAATGATTGGTCACTCGAGCAAGATGGAGAAGTGCCTGGTGGCTGGAGCTCTTTTGTATCGCGGCCCCCGGGAACGGCTGTGAGTTCGCTTCAGACAGACATGCTCACTCGAGCTAATCAAATAAGGTAGATCAATTATTACCGGCATTTAGGGAGAACAGCAAACTTCCAATACTTAACCTCATAGCATGCACTCTTAGTATTCAGAGATGCCAGCTGTCTATACACCCCTCCTATCCCACAATATAATACACCTCCTCACATCCTCATTTACTTCCCACCAATCTTCCTCCCCAAACTCCTCTTCTCCGCATTTTTCGCAAACCTAACCTCCCTCTTCTTCCACGCGGTCCACCGATCCCTCGGCTTAAACGCCTTAACATTAACCCCCGCCCTCTCCGCCGCCCTTCCAATCTCCCAATTCGCCTCTCTGTACATATACCCCGGTCTCAACTTCAAATTTCTGCCCTCCTCCCCTTTCCTCTCGCCCTTCTTCTTCCTCACCTTAACCTCTTTCCTCCCACCAACCCCACTTCCTTCCAGTAGCAGATCCGTCACAACCGGCTCCGTGGCTGTGGGCGGGACCTCCATCTTCACAGCCACCATATTCAACCTCCTCCTCCGATGAGAATTCCGCGGTAACGGTAAAACCTGATCTCGTTTGAACACTACCCCGATGTACTGTCGTTTGCCGTGTTTCTCAGGATCTTTGTAGTACTTCACATACCCCGATTCGGTGGCGTAGATAGTGTGATCGCGGCCCATGGCGCAGTTCTCGCCGGGGAACCAGTGCGTGCCTCGTTGGCGGAAGATGATGTTGCCTGGGATCACGTATTGCTCTGTTTGTAGATATCATCAGCGCTTGTTCACTCGAGGGAATGTTTCGACATATGTGGGCAATTGACAAACCTCCAGACTTCTTAGCACCAAGTCGTTTCCCAGGCCCGTCTTTCGCCTTGTTAACAGCTCCTTGCTGGGCGTGTGATGCGTGGCGGACGAACACCAATGGCTTCAGTGCCAGCGCGGCAAACGCTTCGTTCAGACATGCTGTGGAGGTCCCCGAGGGAGAAGAGCGTGCAATTGAGGCGAGCGCTGCTCGTAAAGGCGGCTGTAATCGTGGGAGGAGCATTGTGTGTCGTTGAAGCCCGTCTTGAAATTCGTGAAGTGAGGTCGTCAAGCTCAGAAAAAGCTCCCGAGGATTGACAGGGATCTTTCGCACTAGGCGACCAGACAATTTTGTCTCGAGAACGACATCAGGAAGCACTCAGCAACCACAACATGGCCACTTCCAGGCAATGTCTCGCTCAATTGAGCAGACTATGTTTATCCTCACCTCCTCCTGGAACAAGATTCGGACCTGCAAGGCTCCTGAGCACGACAGCAGCATGTGCTTCCCGCGGGAGTTTTGTGCCCAAGATCCTGTCGAAGAAGGAGAAAGCTGGCACTGTATCCAAGAGCCAGAATCCGCAGAAGAATAAAAAGAAAGATGCTCCGCAGAAGAAGAGGAAGGCGAGGACCGCGTATAAGACGTATGATTTGAAGGATGCGGAGATGTTTAGCCTTTGTGATGCAATGAGGTATGTCTCTCGTCCCGTCCCCCGTCCCCTCCCCTTACTATGGATAGTCTAGTAAAGCACAATGGCTAATGGATGGATGGGGGCAGGTATATCAGGGCCTTCGAAGTTGGAAGGTCACCCACGAGTGTCAAGTACGAAATGGCCATCAAACTCCGATCACAAAAGAACGGCCCCGTCGTCAGAAACCGATTACGGCTCCCCCATCCCGTTCGAACAGACATCCGTATCTGTGTCATCTGCCCCCCGGATTCGAAATACGCCGAGCAAGCACGCGCAGCAGGCGCCTCGTTGGTAGGAGAAGAAGACATCTTTGAAGCCGTGAAAGACGGACGGATCGAATTCGACCGCTGTATCTGCCAGACAGACTCCCTGGACAAGATGAACAAAGCCGGACTCGGCAGGATTCTTGGTCCGCGAGGGTTGATGCCGAGTACGAAGCTGGGGACGGTGGTAAAGGATCCGGCGGCTGTGTTAAAGGATATGGTTGGGGGCGCCGAGTATAGGGAGAGGTTGGGGGTCGTGAGGATGGCGATTGGACAGTTGGGGTTTACACCTGAGGAAATGCAGAGAAACGTTAGGGCATTCATTGAGGCGGTGAAGAAGGACATGGCGCATTTGAGCGATCGGATTAATAAGGAGTTGAGTGAGGTGGTGTTGAGCTCTACGAATGCACCGGGGTTTCCGCTGAATGGTGAGTTTATTTCGGCGGATTCGAAGATCACGACGAGAGAGCTGTCCACGTCGTAGTGTGTACGATTGCAGATTAGATGTAGAATATCCATTTTGTCCCCTGAACTCCAACGCTATGCTACACTTTTGTTTTGGATACCTCATGACTTCAAATCCTTGAGCACTTTGATGGCCTCATTCTCTGCTCCGAGGTCCCTGTAAGCGCCCAATATCTTGACAAGTCTCGTCTTGCCCGACTCTCCAATAGATGCTGCCGACTTCAAAGCGGCAGTGAGATCAAGCAGAATGGTGTTTTTGACTCGCTGCATCCGCGAATCCTGAGCAACAATGAAAGGATGGTCTTTCCCAATGCTAGTGGTCAATAGCTCCACATGTCGATAATCAGTCACGAGAGTCTGGAGCTTTCTGACACTGGTCCCTCCAATAACTCCCTCGGCCGCTTCTTCGTCCTCCTCATCCTCGCTGTCCGACCATGGCTCGTCTCCTCCATTGACGGATCGGCCCAGTGAAGAAACCATGAGCCTGTCCTCGAGTTCTTCCAGTCGAGATTCAACTTCCAATAGCTTCCTGCCGAGGGCAATCTCCTTGGCAACAGCTTTCTTCTCCGTCAAAAGACCTTCTACCTCGACTTTCCTCTCTCTAACCTTCCCTCTCACATCTTCAACTCCTCTCTTGAAGCCCAATAAGCCAACCCTTACATCTTCAACCTTCTCTTCACCGCCCTTCAGATCCGAGCCAAGACTCAGAAATTGCTCATAATTCGTGTTGACAAGATCCAGTAATTCCTTTGACAATGCTTGAGATCTTTCTCTCAGATCAGAACGTAGATCCTCGAGTGTCTGATGGCGGTCTGAAAGTGTGGAGAGATATGTCGGTGCATCGAAGTCCGGGGCCAGGAAGTCACTTCGAGGGAGAGCTTCAGGGTACGGAAGATTGTCCTCGTCGTCAGAAGAGACGCTCCCTGAGGCTCCGCCGAAGTAGAATTTACTCATTGTTGCAAGAAGACCCCCCTGCTCTACTCTGCTCTGGTCCAGCGTCCACGGTCCTCGTCTCAGGCTCCTCGTTCGGACAGCTCACGTGTAGTTTGAGACAATTATCTGGCTCGATCTCGGCCTTTACATAACCGGAGGACAAAGGTGTTCTGAGCCAAGGCGTGACTCCTCATCCAGGGTCCGCTATCTGATGGAGATGGGGCGTGTTTGTGGCTGTGATTGGGCGGAGGAGAGGAGCAAGGCCACCAAAGCCATCCGAACTCGGCAGACGGCGCACAGTTCCTCGTTAGCGCACAACCTACAGTACCCCCCCTGTTCATATGTTAGTTTGCCACTGGCGCCTTGGCAGCCGCTTTATCGTTGCTATGTGATTTCCTTCCGGTTGCCTAGGACTAGAGGATATAAATAATAAGCTAAAAGCGGTAAGATTATCAAAACAATGGCGGTTGGGCCAGCTTTATTGACATCACTGCTTGCTTCCCCGCTCTACTATTGCTATGTGGCTTCTTAAATAATGTAATAGAAGTAAAAGAGAGTATAATCGACAGTAATAACTGCGTCAATAATATAATATTCCCTCTTAATGGGTGAGCGATCTCTGAATCCCCTCAGTTATAACAGAGAAGTGTATACGGAGTAAAAATCAGGTGATTTTTGACACCTATAGAATCATCTATATAAATAGTACGTCCACAGCTCATTTTCCTACTAATTATCCATTCTATTTACCTTCAAAAATGGACTTGCAGGACATTCTCGATAATACAGTTCCTGAAACTGTCTTCCATGCGATTGAGGAAGACGTAGAACTAGTGGATTTATCCGCTAGTTCTCCTACCTCTCCCTCTCCAACCCCTCCACCCACTCCAACCCCTCCACCCTCAACCCCTCCTGCTCAGATCTTTGATATAGAGCGCGAAATCGACTTGAATCTTGCCGTACGCCCTCATAGCGGATACTGGTCGGTGCTTACTCCATTGCACGGTCTTCCGATTATCGAAGAAGACGAGGATATTGAATCCAATAGTGGTGAAGGTCCTTCCTCTCAAGAGCCTCCTTCTCAAACGCTTACACTCCCCTTTGGGGAGATTTCCTCAGACTCTGAAGACGAAATCGAGGAGATTCCACGTCCTTTTACTCCACACGAACCTCCAGAAGAGACAGTGCTTGCCGCACGCCTTCGCCAGGTAGCACAAGACCTTGAATCGCTCGACAATCCTCTTCCCTACACTCGTGCTCCTGGTCCTCGACTCCAGGGCATTCAACGACGAAATGAGGAGTGGGCAAGGGCTAATCCTCTCGATCGCGATGACCGAATTAGGGTCGATTTGATATACAAGCTGGGGTTTACAGATAGCGAGATTGTAAAGGAGTTTAAGGAGAAGAAGTGGACGATTCGTCAAGTTCAATATGCACGAGCACAACCACATACCCCTCGTTCTCGACGTAATTTCCGAGGCCCTGTCCTTCGTACAGAGCATCGCAAGAAGCTTGTCCGTTGGATACAGGAATCGCCATTGCACCGGCTTGTCAAATGGGAGGATATACCTGGACGTTTGGACTTGGGGATACCATACGGTGTAAAGGCTATTAAAGCTGCGATGGATATAGAGGGGTATGGGAGGAGAGTCTCACGAATTCGTCCTCCTATTTCTGATAAGGTTCGCCGCGATCGACTCGCATTTGCTTGGGCACATATCACATGGACTTGGATTAATTGGTTTCGCTATCTTTGGAGCAATGAGACCTGGGTAACTGGAGAATTACACGGAAGGGTATGGGTTACTCGTCTTATTAGTCAGAACGAGGAGTGGCATCGCGATACGATTACACAAAGGCATAGGAAGAAGCCTGGGTGGATGGCTTGGGGATGCTTTGCTGGGATACTGAAAGGGCCACTCGTGATATGGGAGAAGGAATAGGGCACAATTAATGCCGTACGTACTTCTGATTTTGACTTGAGGCTATACTAATTAACCTAGTCATCCTATAGGGCTCATATACTCCCAGTTATTGGGCAGTGGATGGAGCAGAACTCTCACCTGGAGTGGACGTTCATGCAAGACAACGCTCCTGCCCATAATGCTCGTCAAACGAAGGCAGCATTCGCTAATATGGGTATAATTCCACTAGCCTGGCCTGCCCTCTCACCAGATCTCAATCCTATTGAGCATGTGTGGAAGTGGATAAAGGACTGGTTGGAAAAGGAGCGTCCTTTGGCTACTAAGCAGGAGCTAAAAACAGCTGTGAGGGAGGCTTGGGAGGCAGTACCGGAGGAATTCCTCCTGAAATTGATCAAAAGTATGCCCGATCGAATGCAGAGGGTAATTGATGCTCAGGGAGGGAATACACGGTATTAGGTGGTTGATTGACTAGCTAGAAACACTCTTTTAGCTCTCCTTTTTTGTACTGTTTTCATGCTTCACTCTCGCTTGGGTTGCGATATATATATATACACTCATTTGGGCTTCAATTATATCACTGGTTTTTATGTGCTCTATATAGCTTCAATTTTGAATGGTCTGGCTGCAAATTGTCATTTGATTTTAGTGGGGCACCCCTATGTTCTGGATGTACTAAAGCAGCCAGATAAATCACCCTTATTTAGCTAGTAAGATCGGCACCACCAGTGGCAAACTAACATATGAACAGGGGGGGGTACTGTACATAATCTGGCGATCTGATAAGATCAATCTCTGCAACCTGCTTCTCCTCCACAACCTCGCTCTGGGAATTCTGCGCCTTCACGACGACTGCTCCTCCTTCGCAGGCCGTAGATGGTGTCCCGTCACCCAGCGTCTAGTGTGCGACGTTGATCTCGTTCTCGTTGTACGACATCTCGAATCCGCTCGATTAGCGACATGGCGTCGCCTGCGGTGTCGACCCCTTCCAGCGCAGCCTCCCCTGCAAATATTGCCCCAGCACTTCCAACTATCGCAATCAAAGCCGCAAATGCGGCGAATATGGCTAATATGGCTGCCATCGCGCCAGCATCAGGTATCGCCGCTCCTTCGCTCGTAACGACGAAGGAATGGGTCATCCCGCCGCGCCCGAAGCCTGGTCGGAAACCGGCGACAGATACACCCCCGACGAAAAGAAAAGCACAGAATCGAGCTGCCCAGCGAGCATTCCGAGAGAGGAGGGCTGCTAGGGTTGGAGAATTGGAGGAACAGCTGGAGGAGACGAAGGAGGAGCAGCAGAAACGCGAGGCTGGCTTGAGGACGAAGATTGTGAAGCTGGAGGCGGATGTTGAGAGGTTCAGCGGCGAGGTTCAATCGTGGAGGCTACGATGTGATACTTTGGATCGGATTGCGGAGTATGAGAGACGGGAGAAGGAGGCTGCCCTTGCTGAGTTGGCTTACCTGCGAAATGGGGCAAGGACAACGGGCACAGATGCGGTTCCACTCCCTCCACGGCATGTTCGACAGCATGAGACCAAGGCCCCGCCACCGCAACTGTACCGGAATCTGGTAGTCCAAGTTGATGACAGTTCTTTTGGATGTGGTGGATGCACTTCTACAAGTAATTGTGCTTGTGTGGAGCAGGCTCTGGCTATCTCTACGGCCGGGTGTGGGAAGTGTACACCGGAGACACATTGCGAATGTTTGGAGGAAACTATCAGAGCTGCAGCGGAGCTATCTGAATCAGCGGAACCCAAGAGATCACACTCGCCGTCGACGGAAAACTACGCGGACAAGCGTCAACGTCACTCAGATCCTTCTACGCCACTCGAAGTTGACTTCACGGCACAATACTCCTCCAAGCCCACCCAATCTTCCCAAGAACCACTCGTTCAGATTACCCGACCACCAGGAGAGTCCTGTGGTTTCTGTGAGGAAGGAACATATTGCATGTGCGCTGAGGCTGCGGCACAAGCAGCTTCCAATCCTCAAGATCATCAGAACCGACTAGCACCTCTTTTGAACGAAGTTACTCCACCCCCCTCAGACACGGACTTGGATGGAAATGGAATCAAGCTACCGTCACTACAGCCAAACCAGATGCATCGACCAGTCGCCACCACAGCGCCAGCCAATTCCTGCGCCAAAGGTCCTGGTACATGTCAACAATGCCAAGCTGATCCCAAGTCCGGGCTCTTCTGTCGGTCTCTCGCTGCAATCCGTGCTACCTCTGGATCAGCGGCTCCAGACGGCTGCTGCGGTGGTAATGCCAACGGAGGAGGATGCTGCAAGTCGTTGCCAACAGCTGCTCCATCCCAGCCTCCACCTAGCTTGAGCTGCGCGGATACCTACAAGACCCTCTCGACTCACAAGAACTTCGATCAAGCGAGCGAGGAACTGAACGTTTGGCTTGGGAGACTACACGCTACACCGCCTGCTCATGCTGGACGAGCGCCGATGGAAGTCGAAGCTGCGAGTGTTATGGGTGTGCTGAAGTTGTTTGATCGAAGATTCGGCCGGGGATGAGAGATGTTGATGAAAATGATGTGATGTAGACATTACCAGCATACTTATCTGTGTATTTGCATTGGTAGTCATGGGGATGATTGAGCTTGATCTTCATTGAAAATTCGAGGAAGGAGATTCGAAGTGATCGGTTCTTGGGGGTGCATCATCGAGGGGTAGTCTTGGCACACCCGCTCACATCCTGGCGTTCTGATGGTGTTCATGGCTGTACGGAATACGGAGTAACCTTACATAATTGCAAATCAAGCATCTTTATATAAGTTGTGAAGACCAACTGTACAAGCACGTTCTCCAACATCCTCCAAATTGCCAGCCCGCCAAGCCACCCGGCGAAGTTCGAGAAACCCTCGGTCGCTCATCCTGAGCCCTTTGCCCCACGTGCTCGCCTGGGCGACTCCCCGCCTTCTTCATTCGGATTGGTGTGAACCCTGAGCATCGATCCGGGATGCAAGCTCTTCGGCCTCGAGGAACAGAGTGCAAATAATCACTCATGATATCATCCTGTGCACGGTTTAGTGACCGCATATGGAAGGCGTTGCCTGCTGGCTCGGACTCGTCCGATAGATAGTTTGCTAGAATCCTAGAAGCTACAACTACGGAGCTGTAAAGCTCCATGGCTTCTCTCTTCCCTCTTTCTCTCGTTTACTTCTCTCTTGCTTCTTACTCAATTGAAGTTGTCAAAATGCGGCTCACTACACTCACTCTTCTCAGCTCTGTGCTCTTCGGAGTCTCTCACGGTTCCCTCTATGGAGAGAGCAATCTGAACCACACATGTCAATTGCGTTTGCTTCACCCTCCCCTCCAAGTGCCATGTTCTCACAGACTACTAGAAACTCCCTATCTCTCTTGCTCAAAAGAAGCCTTCCCAAACATCACCGATTCTTGCTGTACCGAAACCTTTGGCGGTCTCGTCCTGAGCACCCAATTCTGGGACACCTACACTGGCCTCGAGTCCAAGGGCCAAGTGCTGCCCAAAAACACATGGACACTGCACGGTCTCTGGCCTGACTTCTGCAACGGCTCGTTCACGCAATACTGTGATCTAAAGTTCGTCTCCTTTCCCCGTCCCCTTTCCCTAACGGTGTTTGAAGCTGAACCCCCACCCCTCAGCCGTCAATACGACCCCGTCCCCTCTCCAAACACCACAACTGGGACCTCCTCCGGTACCCCCGTGCCCCCCTATACGGGGCCAAGCATCAGCTCCTTCCTCGCGCCCCTGGGCAAGCTCGACCTCCTTGCTTACATGAACAAATACTGGATCTCCCAAGGCTCGCCCAACGGCGATTTCTGGGGCCACGAGTTCAGCAAACACGCTACATGCTTTTCGTCTTTCGATTTACCTTGCTGTGGTCCTTCCTACACTAACCATAGTGATGTGGTGGATTTCTTCCAGACTGCTGTGCAATATTATGCCAACTTGCCCACCTATGGTTGGCTCTCAGCGGCCGGTATTCGACCTTCAAACGCAACGAGGGTTAGTTTAACGGACCTGCAAAGCGCGCTGACAAAGGGCTTCGGCGCGTTGCCGTATATTGGGTGCTCGGGACCCAGGTATAATACCACGGAGGCAGGGAAGGGGAGTTTGGATAATGGGTTCACGGAACTGAGTGAGGTGTGGTATTATTATCACGTTTATGGACGCGTGCAGAGGAGTCAGGGACTCCCAGTTAATGCGAGTATTAATGGGGGGAGTGTGAGTTCTTGTGCGAAGGCTAGTAGCGCGTTGTTGTATCCGCTGAGGGCTGTGGGGAGTGATGCTTGAGGGGTTTAGTGCGTGGAAGAGAGGGGAAAGGTAATGGGGAAGATGATGAGTTGATGGTTAATAGCTAATGAGATGCTTTTCGTATGCTGATTTTGTTGTCCACTTGGTAGCCGTCCAGGGCATTGCAGTACTGCTATAATTGACGAGTTCTTGCACTTGTTTCCGGTACCCATAACCAAAGCCTAAAACCAAATTGCAGGTATATGCTCCCCAACATTGCCTCTAAACTCCATTTTTATCTCTCCCCTGTCTTCATCATAGCCCATCTTCACTCGTACAGCCCCTCTAAATCTTACATCCCATCAGAGCCAATGTCCATCCCACTGTCTCTCCCTTCTTCATCCCGTCACAACAACCCCTTCCTGGCCAACTCAATCTTCCTCGCCGCCTCACCCGCCTTAAAGCCCCCCTTACTAATACACACAGCCTTTCCATCCGCCAGCTCGAACTTCTCCTCGTGAGTCGGGTGTGGACATGGGCAGTGGTGCGGGAAATGGACGCAGGCTAGGGTGTCGGGGCAGAGGTAGTTCGTGCAGTGTGCTATTACCATTCCTCGTCAGCTTACTCCCCACTCAACTTCGGGACGTTAAGGAAGGTGGAGAGGAAAGAGGGGGGGAGGGAAAGTACCATTTTCATAGTTCTGCTGATACCAAGATGAATCCGAAGGCATGTTTTGTGGTTCTTGCCGCTGTTGTTGTTGTTGCTGTCCTCCTTGGAACATTTGCTCGAAGAATTGGAATTGTGCGTTCGCGAGTGTGAAGAGGAGGAGCAGGGCGGAGAGGAGGGTGAGGTTGAAATTGCGTGGCATTTTGGTTGCGGGGAGAGTGTGGCCTCTCAGCGTAAAGTTGAGGGTTGAACCTTGCAGTGACGACGAGAAAGACCTCCGAGGGCTTTGATTCAAAGTTGGGATGTCAACGCAGCAACTGAATTCAAAGGAGCTGAAGTTAGGGTATTGAAGAGAAAGTTGTTGATGAAGTTGCCAGGTATCTCAAAATCTGCCCCCTTTCGCTCTAGTGCCAAATACCCCTCCACTCCAGTGACTCCACACGCTTCGCCGCCCTGAGTCAACGCCAAAAATTCCCCTCGATAAATTCTCCCCCCTTCCCAAACATAATCTACACACGACCACCAAAATGAAGACCGCAGAGCTGGCGGCACTGCCGACCGCTCTCGCAGCGCCCGATTTCAAAGTCATTGAGCCGCACCTCATCGCTCTCGACAAGCACCTGATCCTGCGAACGTTCGTCGACGGCTACTCGCTCAGCGAGGCTGACATCAACATCTGGGTCACGATCCGCAGCAACAAGGTCGCGAACGCATTCTTGAAGCGTGGAGCGCTACCGAATCTGGGGAGATGGTTTACCTATATTGAGCAGAGCCATCCGGAAATCCAGGAGGAGATTAAAGCGAAGGATGAGGCGGAGAGGGCGAGGAAGGCGGGCCTGAGTAAGGCGGGCGCTAGCTACAATATGGCGTTGCAGGATGTGGAGAAGGGTGTTGTTACGAGATTTCCTCCGGAGCCTTCGTATGTTCCCTTTTCAAGGTGTGGAGAGATTTGCTAACTGGTGAAGGGGATACTTGCATATTGGTCATTTGAAGGCGGCTATGTTGAACGATTACTTCGCACACGAGCTCTACAAAGGCACGCTTCTACTACGGTTCGATGATACGAATCCTTCGAAGGAGAAGCAGGAATATGAGGACTCGATTATTGAAGATCTCAAGCTGGTGGGCATCAAGCCGGACAAGACGAGCTATACCAGCGATCATCTCGAGGTGTTGTACCAGTACTGTATTCGAATGATCAAGGAGGGCCATGCATACGCAGACGATACGGATCAAGATACTATGAGAGACGAAAGAATGAAGGGGATTGCGAGCAAGAACCGGAGTAAGAGTGTCGAGGAGAATCTGGCGATTTTCGAGGAGATGAAGGCAGGCTCTGAGATTGGATTGAAGAATGCCATTCGTGCGAAGATGTCAGTCGACAATCCCAACAAGGCTATGCGAGATCCTGTGATCTACCGCTGCAATCTTCTACCACACCACCGCACCGGCGAGACCTGGAAGATGTACCCTACCTATGACTTTGCATGCCCAATCGTCGACGCTCTCGAAGGTGTAACCCACGCTCTAAGAACGACCGAGTACACAGATCGTAACCCACAATACCAATGGTTCCTCGACACCCTAAAACTTCGCCAAGTCCACATGTGGGATTTCGCAAGAATGAACTTTATCAGAACCGTTCTCTCGAAACGAAAGCTGACGAAGTTGGTCGATGCTGGAATTGTCTGGGGCTGGGATGACCCACGTATGCCTACCATTCGAGGAGTTCGAAGACACGGCATGACTATTGGTGCATTACGGGATTTCATTCTGAAGCAAGGACCAAGTCGAAATATTGTCACGATGGACTGGACGAACTTCTGGGCTTCCAACAAGAAAGAAATTGACCCCATCGCACCGAGACATACTGCCGTGGATACCAAAGATACCGTCAAAGCCACCATCACCAACGGTCCAACCGAAGCACACACCGAAGATAAGTTCAAGATCCCCAAGGCCGGAGATGCTGGAGGGAAAAAGAAGGTCGGATACAGCAAACATCTCATCCTTGACCAGGAGGACGTCAAGCTCTTCAAGCAAGACGAAGAAATCACCTTGATGAACTGGGGCAACGCCATCGTCCGCAAGATCATCAGCTCTAACCCCATCACGGACATCGAGCTAGAGCTGCACCTCGAAGGCGACGTCAAGAAGACAGAGAAGAAAGTCACGTGGCTATCCACCGGCCCAGCCGAACTTATCCCCGCTGAGGTATGGGAGTTCGATCACCTGTTCACGAAGGACAAGCTGGAGGAAGAGGATAACTGGGAGGACTTCGTGAATAAGGAGAGTTCGAGCAAGACGATCCAGCTGTGCGATGCGAATGTGGCGGATTTGAAGGAGGATGATATTATTCAATTAGAGAGGAAGGGGTATTTCAGGGTTGATAAGCCTGCTGGGGATGGCAAGCCGCTGGTGTTGTTTGGGATTCCGACGGGGAAGACGAAGTGAGGCGGGGTAGAGAAAAGTTTACTTGCTGCATAGAGCTGTGAATGAATTGATGAGTAATGATAGAGGACCTTAGCCCTCGGTGATTTGTGTAGGGTGCTTCTCTCACCAAGTGGTGGTTTTGTGTTCAGTGTTCTCAACTCCTTTGTGGCAAATTCGAGCTTTAATTCTTGGCTCGAGCGGTGAGAGTCCGAGAAATTCGTAATCGGAATCCTCCACCGAGAGCGAATCCAGCAAGGCGATATAACCTCGGGTCGTCGAACTAAACCTCTCTCCCCGCCCCCCCCAAAAATAGGCTGCAGGCCCGAGCCCGAACAGAAACCCTGCAAATTGATCAGTGTGCAGAGCGGGGAATCTTACGTTGAAGGTTGCTTTTTTTCAGCCTCAATGTCCCCGGTCCAAGCCGTCTACCAGGGATGGCGAAGTCATCGCCAATCATTAGTCTCAGCTCCTCGTGGGGTCTTTGCGGTGCAACCCACCCACATGCAGAACAATACTTTGTCATGAAAGGACCAATCCGAGTGAAGTGGCGACTGCACACCATCTCTGATCTTGTCTAAAATGGATTCTTGCATATTCAGCTGAAACTGTGGGAATTGCCTTACAAGGCCCATGCCCTGGGGCCGGCGCGGCTCGTTAAGGCTGGGCTATAAACATGCGCAGGTCCACTCGATAGCCTTGCCAAAAACATGCTTTCTTCACTGGATAATCGATGCGAATTGAATGTGCCGTCAACCTCATATCATATCCGCCTTTCATTATAAGCCAATTGAACAATAATCGGCGATCATGGGCGATCATGACTCGCCAGGTACTTGCCTGTCAACGGTACCACACGGCCCCCCATTCCGCGAAGATGTGCGCGATACTCTTCTTCACTATTTCGGATGCCTTCGCGAGGATGGAAAACGAGATAAGAATAAATTCTTGTCGCCGAATAGAAAACTGACCAAGGCCGAAGAGAACGCTGAAGAGAAGCTCTTTCGCGAAGAGTACCAGCGCCAAGCATTTTTCAACTCTCTGCCTCCGCACAAGCAACAACGAATTGAAGAAGAGAAGAAACGTATTGGAGATTTGCGGATGTTGTTTGAAAGTGATGAGAATAATAAAGGTCTTGTGACTAGGTTCCGGACTAGCTTGAATATGTGGGTTCGTCGACGGCTGGAGACTGAAGAGGGGAGGCTCCCAGACGAGAAAAAGCTCTGCAAGGAAAATGCCTTCGGATTGAGTGCGTACATGATGTTTTTTGAGGACCAGGGGGGTGATACGACTAGTGGATATACTGGAGTGAAGGATGAAGCATTTCCTGAGAACTTCCCGAATCAGAAGATCCCTCTCAAGGATCTCCTTTACAATGATGACCCAGACACGAATCCACTTATGAAACCCTGCAAAGATGGAAGGATCCGGTACTTCCATCTTCCCGGGAACAACATGGAATGGATCGAGGTAAGCATGTAAGGGATCTCCTGGTCGTCTCTACGTTCTAACTTTGATCTTAGGAAGCAATTGCGCGTCATTTCAACGAGAAACGACCTGACTACGACGGTCTATTTAGGCAGCCAGCCAATCCTTCAAAGTCATATATGATACTTCGGCCGGGATTCTGGAGAGGTCAGCAACATGGTGGTCGGGGTGATGCCGTTCACGCGAGGCACATGAGACCTCGGTGTGACATTATCTCCACAAGTCAGATGCTCAACACTGTCCTATAATCGGCTTGCATTAACATATAGCAGATCCCGAGCACCTCGAGGAATCTCCGAATAATCTTGTGCTTTTTGTACGCAATTCATAACACACTGGAATTAGCTTGACTAATGATTGGGTAGATGCCATATCTGCACTGGGAAACTGACAGATCCCGTCACAAATTCGAAGAATCGATGCGTAACATAACCGAAGAGCACACCAGGAAGGACGAGCAGAGAGGCAAGAAATTCTTGTATGTTTCGTCAGCAGAGGTGAATTCACAAAATCCACAGGCATCAACATCGAGTTCAAAAAAGAAGCCGCCGTCAGTCGATGCGTCTGTTGAATTTATTGACTCAGATAAACCTCTGCTGCGGCTCAAAACGCCAACTGAGATGGTCCACGCGAAACTCCGAGACGAAGTAACAGCTCATCCAACATCCAAGGCTTCAAAGACGAGCGTGGTTAAGGCATTGACACCGGGGATGGTGGCTCCGAAAACCTTGTTAGGACAGGTACTTTATAGAGCTGCGCAAATTTCGGAAGCAATGGACCGTTACCACGAAGAACAACTACTGAAAGAATATCTCCATGGCAATCCTCCCTTCCACGCACGGCGGACCCTTGATCAATCTTATTACTGGACGCTACAGTCAACGAAAAAGAGAGACAGAGATCAAGTCGTTTATCGAGGCACCGCACCCAAGAAGAAGTTTATTCACAACGCTCACTGCAAGACCAAGGGGGGGCCACCCTGTAGGCAATGCTGGGACGATATTCGAAAGGTCCCCAGAGTGATAATGGTTGATCAGTTATGGCTCTGGATTCTAAATGGAAGTACGTCCTCCATATTTCCTCTTCTGTCTCCTGCTTTCTTATATTGTAAAGACTCGAGGCTCTTACGCAAGGGCCTTCTCGATAAACATCAGGCCATTATCTAAACACTTCACAGATACCATTATCACAAGTTTCCCAAAACGATACGGTCGAAATAAACCTGATCCATCTGCAGTTCACAAAAGTATCCGTCTGCGCCTGAAGCTTGTCCGAAAAAACGAGATCAGATCGATTTACGACCTAGCTCTTATTATAATCGACGAATGCTCTAAAGTGTTCTTCGATCGTACCAAGACAGCAGACCGACAACCTCAGATGATGGATCTCTTCGCGGAAGCTATAGGCAATGTGGTAAGGTCCCCCTGGGTGAATGGTCAGAATGCCTGAGACTGACACTCTTTGCAGAATAATCGAACGACGATATACTATGACCACTTCTGGGACATCACTCGCCGATTGTCCAAGGTGTACAAAGATAAGATCATTGTTGACGATGTCGAAGAGCAGGCCAAATCATTGCTTGACATCAATCCCGAGGGAGATTTGTCGAGAGAGATTAAAGATGTCCTAGATGAGTTGCACATTATGCTTAACATCAAAAGTAAGCAGCAGAGAGTGCTAAAGGACTTCCAGAAGCATGTCGAGTACATTTTAGCGCCTGAACTGGCCATAGCGAAGGACATGGGGACAGCAAGAGCGAAAACAGTCACTGCACTTAAGATCCCCAATAACCAGCAAACAAATACAGCAAATGAAGACACCGACAAGACAGAACACCAAGGAAATACTGAAAATATTCGAGAAAAGACGGCCCTCAAGGCCGAAAAAGACGCGAAATGGACGATGGAATTTGCGATTCGTTTGTCCGCAGATCTTAACAACCGAGTCGTCGATCTCAATCATCTGAAAGAGTCTGCTCAGCATACTGAAAAAGCCGTAAGCTTTCTCGATATCTTTAATGCACTTTTTCTGACTATATTGGATTAGGTGGACGGACTTCTCGCATTGAAGCAGCAACAGGCAGGGGTGGTTCAAGCGCGAGAAGCCGTCAGGCAAGCAGAAGAGACATTGCGACAAGGGCGGTCAATCATGTTATTCACTGTGATTACTATCATCTTTGTGAGTCTCTCCATGTCGGCCTGATCCCTCAGATACTAATGAACCCACAGCTTCCGTTATCATTTGGTACAGGGATCTTTGGAATGAACTTGATGACATTTGGACCGTCATGGACACTGCACAAAGAAATGACTTATATATGTCTGTATTCCCTACTCACTATATTGACTGGAGACTAACCAGTACCGTGCCCTTAGTCTTCGTATCAATCGTCATAATCGTTACGTCTCTGATCCTCGGCTTCAGTCCTTTCGTTCGTTCATTCCTCTCATTAGTATTAGGGGTGTCCTGGATGTGGTTCGTGACTACTACGCGGCTCTATGACCTGTGGTTCTTGTCAAGGCAGGATAGCAGCGCACTAACAAGAAAACGAATGATGATTTCGAGGAGGTGGAAAGAAGAAGCGCGGAGAAAGTACCTAGAGAGACAGGATGAGAAGCAACAGAGACTTGAGGCAGATGAATTGAAGAAAGCAAAGCAAAAACAGAAGAAAACGACCCAGGGCGAGGTGGCCGAGGCCTTTGTTCGAAGCAGGAGGCCAGACAGTAACGTTTGACTTTGGAAGATAGCAAGGAACGAAGCCTGAGTTGTATTGAATACTAGTCAAAGCCCGAGAAACGCTTTCTTAACAATTCGGGTATGTCAAAAATAAACGCCAGGGGAAGTGGAAAAGTACCGCAATATTGATAATTGAGTGAAAAGGAACCAGGAAAGTGGGTGCTGTTCAAAAAAAAAAATTCAATTCCTCCCCATCTCTATACCGAACGTCTCATGTCATCATACAATTCCTTGTCACAAAGGACGACTATCTCTGCAATGCGCTCTCGGAAGTGGCGTCGCAGGTTCACAATTGATATACCCGCGAGATCTCGCATTGGCCTGAAAACGTACATCTGTTGCAGAAGCTGTTGCGTCGAATCATGAAGTGTGATTGTACCCAAGCGCCGAAGAAGAACGTTGATGGTGTTCATGCGTTGTTCGAGGTCTTCCCTGGCCCAAATGAAGGATTCCAAGCCGCTACGAGTATCGCCCCATTGGAAGTGTGAGAGGCTCACCTCATTCTCGTGTGCCGCTTTAATCACTGCGTCAAGTGGCCGTTTAGCACCAGGGGGCCCCGCTTCTGGCCTTGCGCCAGCCGCAAGAAGGAGTTCAACCATAGTAGCCTGTGTGCGGTGGTGCGCATATGAAAGCTGACAAACCAGGCTCAGTGGAGTCTCTCCATCCGCAGAGACTGCATTGGGGTTGGCAGAATGGGAGAGGAGGCTTTGCAAAGTATACAGCGAAGGTGTCTTTGCAGCTCTATGCAGTGGCGTCAATGAATCCAGTGTGGACGTATTGACGTCTGCACCACGCTCAATGAGCATCCGAGCAGTATTTGAGTCCAGGTCATGGGTAACTCGACTTAGAGCTGTCCATCCATTGTCTGACCTTGCGTTAACGTCCGTTCCTCCGTCTAGAAGCAAGGAGACAGCGGTCCGGATCGTTGCCTCCCGCTTGTATTTGGTCGATACAAGAGAGAGCAGCGGTGTATTCAGATGATGGTCCTTGACTAACGGCGAGGCGCCAAGATTGAGGAATGTTCGAATTAAATTCAAATCTTGTCACGTGCTGCGCACAGGCATATATATAGCTTCTTCACCGCCATTAGGGCACCATCATTCATACATATTCATACCAAAACACATACATTTCCACTTCCACAGCTTGTCCAGGCCGTGACAAATCTACTGGCCTCTTCCGTGCCGCGATGTGAAGTGCAGTTTCGCCCGAAGCATTGCGGCGATGAACGTCGTTGCCTCGGAGGATCTGTTCATCTTCATCCCCGGCAAGACGTAGATTGTTCCGAACCTGGTCGAACAGCTCTTCTATCTGTTTTTCTAATTCGTGTGGGATGCCATTTTCTGCTGCTGGGCCCTTGGCACTCCCTCCATCTTTTCCACCAAGGCGGAGTTCAAGAATAATCTCCTGCAGTCTGACCAGATCACTGTGAATTCCTTCGGCTATCGGATTAGCGGGTTCCTGGTTTGCCTTGAAGGTCGACGAGACTGTGTTCATCCGCTGTAGCTGATCACGGATGCTGTTGGCACGTTGACTGCTACTTGAGGAAGGTTGAGAGGAGCCACCCGAGAACCAATTGCCTGGATGATATGGTGGAGGGTTATCATCCCCTCCCTGAATGGTTGTTGGATCCATGGTAGCACGCGAGAGTGCTGAAGCAAAAATAGCCAAGGAAATACTATAGAGTGCCTTACAAGTCGAGACGAAATGAAATGAAGATTTATTTAGCTGCGAGGAGGAAAGGATAAGAAAGCAACAAAGTCATTCCCACTCCGCACATCAGCTCCTGCGAGGCAGATTCCTCGCAATAAGTAGTCTGTCCCGTGGCAGTGCAACCATCCATGTCACTGTAAGGCAGGTGACTTGCCAAGCCCCTTAGGCACCTACGGAACCTGAAGCGAGGTCGGATTCCATCCGCGGAATTTGAAGATATCAAGACGTTCCTCTGAGGAATCTCGCGCCATTGAGTGTGAGTATCAAGTTTACGAGCTCAAACTTGGGGAAGGAGGATGCATTGGGGCCGACGGTTCAGTTCCGCAGATGGTGGCTCCAAGGAGGTCATGTGGCAGGTGGCCGCTCTGAAGCCAATTGATTTGAAGAACTACAATCCAACCGCCGATTGCTCGAAAAAGAAGATATTGGACACGCTCAAGTAATAGTCGTGACTTGGATAGGGGTCTTTTCTTATATGAGACCCGCAACTAATCCAACCCCCACCCCCAAGCGCTTCGAGGATATCCAAATGGATTTTAATACTCTCGACCAAACGTGACAAGACCTAGCTTCATTGGAACAAAGAGTTTTTTTGTCGCAAATGACAGCAAAACAAGGGCACGCCTTACCTCGAACTAAAGTAACAATCTAACAATCAAGACCGTTGCATCTGGGGCCTTCTCCAGGGGAGTGTGCGATTCTCTTGTTTACCAAACGGATGGCCTGACCAGTATGATAAGCTCTTTCAGCTTTTGATTCAGTTCTTGTGGTGTTACACAATGCCAAGGCAGAGTGTGCGAGGGCCACATGCAGGAGGACAGCATCTGTGCTGGCAAAAGTGATGACGTCCTCTTTTGTGAGAGCACAAAGTATGCGTGATTATCTGGGTTGAAAATAACGTGAAATAGCCCGTCTGTCGGCGGAATGGGGATATCTTCAAGCTGTGCACCACTTTAGCAGGTAGGGGAGATGAATGCGGTGTTATGAGTTGACTGAGCAAGAAGTAGGAATTGCCGTCTTTGTCGATAGGCAAGGTATAAAAGGGAATAAAAGACTTCCCCCCCCGCCGGCCCAAGCGTTGGACTCGGAGTTGAAATTTGTTGCGAAAATGGCGTTTTGGGGTGATGTCAACTCCGAAGCTACCTTGTGTTGCTCCCATCTTTTAGAGTAATGAACAAGGGGAACTGTGTGTTTTGACGATGCTTTATATCCTGCACTAGGCTTTTTGCTTTTTGCACGAGAACATATTTCGAGGTGTTCCTTGAGGCTGACCCACTCCCGTCTCGGCACAAACTCGAATCCCTAGAAAGCAGGACATGTTACCACAGTCTTTCCAACCATTTTCCATGTTTGGTCTGCAAGGGGTGTTCTGTCTACCCATTTTTGTTCTGTGAGCTGTCATCAGCAACCAATTCTGGCAAAGGATTTCCTGACTCAAGTCTTCCCTGCTTTCATACAATCATCGCCGTCCTTGGATTGGTCACTTTCTCCCGCGCTGTTGTCCTGTTTTGTCTGGTACTGAGATCCTTGGCTACGTCTATGAATCAGCTCCTCAATGAGGCTAACACGCTCCGTTTACTGACCCAAGCAACTGTTGCTTACCTCTCCCGTCGTCACGGAGTACCCGGCTCAAAGCGGGAAAGGGGCTTCGGTTCACTATTGTTCCTTGCACGCGTAATCGCATTGCATGAGATGGCGTGAGGTTAGCCAACCAGCTTCAGGCGGGAATCCCGACTGGGGCATGCGAATTGTTGCGTTACACACGACCTAAGCCATTTTGGGCCAACAATGTTATCGCACTGATGTAATGAGAGACAACGGAGATAGTTGGATAAAGCCTTGAACGGGGGTTTCTGCAACCTCCGTCGGCGAACGGAGAACACCATTGCTTTTTCTCGGTCCCATTACTGGTCCTTCACGTTGCTTTTTCTTGTCCGGCATGTCCTATTTTGCCCATACTTGGCTTCATTATCCCAAATGCACGTATATTGAAGGGCAGGCTTCCTTGTTACTGACTTTAGGGAGAGCTGTTGTCAGCCTCTCATTGTTCTTGTGACATTTGCTTTCAAGGTGCGCCAAATCAATTCACAAACCATAACGAAAAAGCCATTCTTTCCGGTAAGAGACAGTGCGGGTCTCTACTGTGCAGTCGTAGAGCAAAGTGCTTTTTGCACAGGCAAGCCTTTGTAACAATTCAAAAGTTTTATATAATAGAGTATCACCTTTCCGAAGTTGAAGCTGTCGGACAAGAAATCGATGCTCATTAAACTTCAACGAGACACACGGAGCAGCATAATCCACCATGGCGGAAGAAGGCTGTCAGAATTTCTTTGCGGATCAACTGTCAAATAGTCAGCAGTACCAATACTGGGAACCATTTCATTGTGAAACCGATTACGACCTATTGTCATTGGGATATCAATCTCCCGTGCGTATAACTTCGAGCCAGCAGCGGATAGCCAAATTGACTAATGATAAACAGGCAGGCGCTCAATGTACTCAAATTTCTTCTCCATTAACAAGCAGTACCGCCGAGATGAGCACTACAGCATGGTACCCGCCCGGCTCCGAATATTCGCCAAGAAGTCAAGACAGGAGTCGTACTCCCAGCCTAGATTTTGAACCAAACTTCCAAACCCTCAAGCTCGGCCATATCAGTTCAACCAAGGACACGGAGAAGAGACGCCAACAAAACCGCAACTCTCAAATCGCCCATCGACAACGCAATAAAAAACTGATCGAGGATCTACGACAAGAACTTACAGACTATTCTGTGTACAGTCAGGATATGTATCATACCCTGCAGTCTTTGAGGGAGACGACGAAAGCTCTAGTTTCGACAATCGACCAGGCCCTCAGTATGCATCCACCAAAGCGGAACGACCTCACTACCAAAGAGCAAAAGAGTAGTGGTAACTCTGGAATGTCAATGTAGGGCCGAGATGGTTATCATCTGGATGAGACCCTGGAAGGTCTCAGCAGTTTTTGGGTGTAGGTTCAGCTTTACAAACGGCGTGGTTTCCATAATATGCATGTCTGTGGTGGAGAAGCATGGTACTTAATTCAGTCCTTTCGAGGAGGACTATTAGCATAGCAATCAAAGCTCGTGGCGTTACGAATCGTTTCATGGAATGATGGAAACTACCCCCAAGGAACGAGGGGACTTGGAGAATAAAGAATGGTTTAAGGGGTTTCTTAGTCGAAGTCTCTTAAATTAATGCTCTTACAGATATTATAATTTAACTAAATGCTACGGATTTTTGAGGTCTTTTATAAAAAAAACCGAGTACAGTCGGTCCGATCCAAAAGCGACAAAAAAAAACCCCCCCCCCACCACAACACTAATTGATATAAATCGTATTAATTAAAACTATACTATATACTCTAGGAATTAATTCTATGTTCTCAAAATTATAATATCTTTATTATTAAGGAAGTTATAATGCACGTGATTAAGCGAGCAAATATATTCGCGTTTTGTATGATCGTTTTTTTACTTTGGTTGTCACGTAACTGCCCCCCTAAGTTGACCGTTCTTCCATAATTATATTAATATCTCAACAACCACAAACCCAATCAAGTGCCCTTTTTGAATACTTCCAATGGCTACCTCTGTAAGCCTTCAGAAGCGCAAGCGAGCTGATTCAACTCTTGATTCAATCACAGTTCTTACCCTAGCTAAAGAAGCTGTAATCCAAGCGACTATTAACGAACGGCATGGGAATCCCTCTAATATAGAGGATAATTCTTATAACTCAGATATTAAACCAAATAATAAAGTGGAGCTTAAAGATTCGATACTCTTTTGGGTTCAGCAGAAGCTTTTTATTAGTGGTAATGAGACGATTATTTTGGAGAAGCCTATAGTTATATAGCGAGATCAGAGACTTGTGGAATAAACTAGTAAGTTTCTTACATTCCGCTAAATGGATGTATATCGGAAGGGATTATATATTAAACAAGCTGCTTGGTATATACGGAAGCAAAAATGCCATAGAATAATATCTAAAAAGGTAATAAACGAATGGGATAATATATAAAAGTAAGAGAAAGAAGATAGCTAAATAATAAGTAAGGTTTATGGATTTAGTTCGGCCAAAAGTTAGCTTGAAACTTATATAATTAGGGCCCTATCATATATATAATATATATAGTACCAGAAAAAGCTATATTTAGTATTTAGGAAGGTTTACTTAAGCTTATAGGGCTTAATTATTATTATTGTATTAATAATAAGGCTAGTGAGATGCCGCGATCTCCCCCTGAAATACGGGCTCACGTGACCTTAGCAAGCAAATATATTCGCGTTTTGTATAGGGGAAAATCAAAAAAGTAAAAAGGGTCCGTATACTTTAAGCCTCAATTATTAATGAACCACAAATTGTATCAAAAATCTGATTAATAGGTATTTTTCGCTTGGTTCGATTCTATAATCGTATTACTTAATATAAATTAATTAGGGTTGTGGTTAAAAAGTTATTATGGGCATAAAAGAGCGACCGTTTTGTCGCTTTTGGATCGGACCGACTATAGTAACTTTATTTACTTCTTTCTAGAATTATTAAAATTGGATTTTATTAAAATAGTTTTAATAATAGTTTATTTAAATCTCGAATTTATATTAGTATAAATAACTTATTATCTCATTACTTAATAAAATTAAATAATTAGAACTTTATTTAAAAAGATATTATAAATAAACGAATTTAAATTTTATTTATATATAGTATTATTATAATTTATATATTTAATATTTAATTAAAAAGCTAATTACTTGAAATAACTTATAAATATATATATTTAATTATTTTATTTTAAATCTAGTTTATTTATAAAGTCAATTTTATAAAAAGCTAATAATATTAAATATATATATAAATTACTTATTTTTTCTTTAATAATTCTTAATAAAATTTATATTAGAACTTATAATTATAAGTAATTATTTTTATAAATCAAGGCTTAATAAAAGAATAAGGTAATTAAATAATAATAATATATAATATAAGTATTTATAATAAGTAATTTATTTAATAAAAAGTATATTTCTTATTGAAATTATAAATAAATAATAGAAAAGTCTTATAATTATTTTTAATATTAAATTATTATAAATTATAAAAATAATATAATTAAATTTTAAAATATATAAATAATTTAGACTTTCTTAGTCTTTAATAATATAAAACGCAAAAATATTTTAAGAAAATTATATATATTTAAATAAATAATATATTAAACTTAAACTTATAAAAGCTTAAATATTAAGAGTTATTATTAAAGGAAATATAAAGTATTAAAAGTCTATAAATCTAATTACGTGCGGCCTCGAATAATATATAATACGTGATTTTTTAATTATATAAAATGCAAAAGTTTTATATAAGTTTATATAAAAATAGTATTTTATAACTCTCGCAATACTAAAGATATTAAAAATCGGCGACCGGGGAATTATTTACTACAAGATATATAATAATTCTAATTAATACAATTTATATTAATTAGTATTATAGTAGACTTCCTTTTATTTTATTATTTTTAGATCGGACCGACTAAGCCCTATTCGCATCCCCCAGATTCTCGCTAGGGAGCCAAGAATTTCGTCTATCGGCTTTATCTTCCCGGGGTGGCTGGCCAATGAAGGCGGGGGGCCGGGGCGCGGTAACCGGCTCTAATATTTTCCCAAACCCCAGAAAGGGGTGCTTGGGTACTTTCTGTCTAGGTGGGACATCGCCGTGGTACCGGATTTCCTTCCCACGTCTCCACAACAGGTATAATCTTACAATCAAATCGGACCAAAACTTACAAAGCCCTCAGCATATTATGCTGTCATTGTGTCCTGGAATGTTTCCACAGGGCGCCTCAACAGTCTCCTCAATTCTTCGGAAAGGTGATGAAACTTTCTCGGTTGCATTCTACCGCACGAAGGCTCGGCAGTTGTTGCAGTTGGTGGATGCATTTACCCCAGGTTCTGTATCCTCCAAATTACTTCGTAAGCCGCAGCGGTATGGAAATTAGCAAGCGTCAGGAAAGCAAATATATAAAGTCCATTAAGGCGCCTTCTGCCGATTGCCATTAGTATCAGCAGGTTTGAGAGCATTTCGGAATATCACTTCAAAATGGAAGGTATGTACGAATCCAGAAAAGTTCGCCTCACAACTTTTTGGGAGGAGAGAAGAGTCATCTTCATCTGCTTCCTCATCGGGTTTGCTCAGTTTCAGTATGGGTACGATTCTGCGGCAGTGTCTGGCTTTCAGAGTATGGCTGGCTTTCTTCGCATATTTGGATATCCCGATGTAGGTTGGTATCGTGAAAGAACTTTCCCTCTTTTCACGCCCCTTTTCATTTGCAATATGAAATTTATTACAACTATTTCTTGACAACAGTTTCTGCCCCTTTGCTGATATGATTTTACAGCCAACGAGCCAAATCGGTTACCAGATTACAACCAAAGTTCAGCGACTCATTCAAAGTCTGATGAATTTAGGTGGGTTGACTGCTGCCCTCGGATGTTACGCCTTGGGCCCTCGGGCCAGCCGCCGAGTTGGATTATGGATTGCTTGTGCGATTGGAATTATTGCTATCTCCATTCAAATCGGTCCCACAACTATCGGCGCTCTCTACGCTGGAAGATTCTTACTTGGAATTTCTAATGGATTCTTCCTCACCTTTTCGGTCACATATATGAGCGAAATCGCACCCGCACATCTCCGTGGGTCTGTCGTTGGCTTAGTTACTTTCCACACAACTCTCGGAGCACTCATCGGCATTCTCATTGAGAACTATACCTCAGAGGAACTCGAGCGAAAGTCCTACCAGATCCCACTGGCGGTGATGTATCCTATTCCGGTGTTGATGTCTCTCCTTCTACTCGCCCTACCTGACACCCCTCGATATTACATATCTCGTGGACAACATAACGCTGCAATTTCCTCAATCCAGAAAACGCGAGGCATTAGTGACATGAATCGCATTCTTGCGGAAATCGCGGATATACAGAATGCTTGGGACACGGAGGTGGAGCTACACAAAGAAGCACGACTCATGGACATGTTCACGGGGCCAGATCTTCGCCGAACGATGATCACCTTTGGATGTTCCATTGGCCAAACAGCGACAGGCGTCCCCTTCTTAGCAGGCTATTCCGTCTACTTTTATGTCCAGGCCAAGATTGGGAGTCCCTTTGTATGGGTTATGGTTGGACTCGCCATTGCTCTCACCGGAAACCTAGGAGCATTCCCTGCGATGAGATTCTTCGGTCGTCGGCCTCTACTTCTCGTCTGCTCCGTCATATCTGCACTAACGATGTTTGGCATGGGGGTTGCCCACGACGAGGGAACATCGTTCGCACCAAAAACGGGCAAAGTCCTCGTCGCACTTAGCATCGCCTTCACTTGGGTTTATGGATTCGGCCAAGGCCCGGTGTTATGGGCTATAACTTCGGAGACACCATCTCAACGGCTTCGATCCCAGACTGTTGGCATTGCAAACGGACTCAACTTCGTCTTTGGGTGGCTTTGTTCATTCTGCACACCGTATTTCCTCAACCCAACAGCCCTAAATTGGGGGGCCAAGTACGGTTACATCTGGGGCGGCAGCAACTTAGTTCTCGCAATCTGGATTTTTTTCTTCATCCCGGAGACAAAGGGCAGAAGTTTGGAACAACTGGATGAGCTCTTCGAAAAGAGGGTACCGACCTGGAAGTTCCCTAGTTACGAGACAAGACACCACATAGTAGATGCAGACAATGTCTTCGAGAACCGGACTGTGGGAGGAACCCCATATCACACCGAAAATGGAAATGAAAAATCTGCCCACGCTTCAACCTCAGAATACGTATAGTCAAAACTTATCTTCGCAGCCAACTTGATTCGACTAGCTCCAGGACATTCGGGGAAGCAGAAGCGAATGTAGGATGGCCGACTTGACTCAGGATTATGTTTTGGGGACTTTGCAGTCTTTGCAGCAGGCTTTTCAATTTATATCAATCATGCTACAGAAACTCCAAGAGAACTGCCTCTGTACAACCGCAATATAGTCCGAGGTATGGGGTGCCTTTTAGTCACCTCAAATTGAACTTTTGATTTTAGAAAAGTAGTCTATAACAACATTGACCAAATCCAAACTAACTGCGGCTCGTCCCATTGACATTATTTCTGCTCATCCCTCAACCTCAGTTGCCTTTTTATTCAAGGCATACTCTTGACTAAGTCAACTGGATCAATGCGACCGACAATCAAAGACTCTTGACTGTGAATGAGTACGGAGGCAAGTCTCCAGTGGCCACTCCAAATGCACGGAGATCGCGATATAAAGTATTGGGAATACAAGGCATGAAAAGATATATGCGGCCTTAAAAGAGACTAATATATCTCTTAGGCCTGGCGTGGGCGGTACTCTAGAATTCGAATCAAGCAATATTGGCATTGAGAGATTTACCATACTGAGAAATGAAAAGTCTTTGGGAGAATCGAGGGTATATATTTATAAATTCCCTCATACAGGAATGCTAAAGCGTTTAAGTAAGAGCCTCTTGCCCCTTTAGATATGGTTCAAGAAATCAATCAACATTCAGACCCCTATTTTATGGCCCAGTGCGCCCTAGCATCTTTACAGTGAATATAGTTCAATCCAGCTGCCTGATAGCAAAATAATTTCCCCCAAACCTGTTTGTATTAAGAATATGTTCTGAGCAATTGAAGCATCCCCACAACCACTTCTGGCATAAGTTATATTCATCGCGGGAATCCACTTCATGTATTATCTCAAGATCGGATTCTTTGCTCAGGCGCGGCTCTCACGGTCCAATTCGCAGCAAATAATAATGCACCCCTCTGCCGATGTGCCTCTGGATCGACATAAATCTTCAAGTTCATACTGTCCTTACCAAGATCATATACTCTGCAAATCAGATAAATCTGGGGAGAAGTATGTCCTGGCCGGAGCGCCTTTTCTTGCATCTGTAATCATTAGCTCATTCCAAGTCTAGAAAATGCCAAACGTACCATATTGTACTGATTGTAACTCATGAAAAAGCGATCTGCGCAGTTTCCTGTAGTTGTTTTAATTTCAATGAAGTATTCTGGTTCGGATTCATTCCAAATGATATCCAGGTAGCCAAGCCGGATAAGCAGTCTGGTCAAGTGGCTATTGGTGTCCGTGTAGACGATGTCGGATGTCTCGTGCTCATCCCACGAGGCCATACCACGGTAATTGGGGTGGACTGTCACTAGTTGGCGGATTGTACTTCTCCAATTCCCTACGCCGAAAAGTGGCTCGAGGGTATTCAGAAGTATTTCATACACCTACAAAGTTTCATGTCAAAGCTGTTGGGATGATCTTTTGGGTGGAATACTAACAAATAGCTCCCCAGCAGCCCCAATCTTATTGTCATGTCTCATTTGATCTAATACTCTAACACCAAATGCAGCTTGGTGGTCGTATCCAAGAAGATATTGTCCATTGCCAGGCGCTGTTGGGAAAGTACTTTGTGGTAAGCTCGTCTGTCTTGCGAGGCGGATGACATGGCTAAGAAGCTGCGTGTATGCGTCGACGTTACCAAATATTCCTTGAATGGGTATATTGGGGATATTGTCGGGCTCTGGCTCGAAGAATTGCTGTGGAGATGAGATGTTCGATGGCGGAGTAGAACCGCCTTCGGGTATCGCGACACCTATTCGACTCACTTGGGACGCGCCAAAGAACTCGCCGGCAACGACTCTAGACGTTCCCTCCCGAATTGCTACTACTTCTTCCTCTTCTTCCTCTCCATCTGAATAGTAGACTAAACTTCGAGGAAATGCCTCAATGCCTGGGACATGTCCAATGCCGACGGTTTCCAAGAGGTCATTTATGATGGAGATGCTGTTATTCAAAACGAAGCTAATATGCTCTCTGCAAGATGTGGGTATTTCGATGGCTGTTGCCAGAGCCTCCGGAAGATGTATCTGATAGCAGAGTTCTCTGTTAGATCGTAGAGTTGGAACAAAGATCTGCCAACCATTTTCCTGATTTCGAATATGCACATGACCAGTATTTCCGTGTATGGGTCCAGTTGTAGCTCCATTGGTATGGTGTAGGGTGTGCGTTGTTGAAATCATGTCTGTTTTCAGGATTGAAGAAGCTAGAAGCCGGTCATATAACGACCTGGAGGCCTTTGGAGTTCGATGGGAGACAGCAATGCTTTACATTTGTTAGTGTAATTTAATGAACTTACAACTTTTAATCTTACCGCAAGATCTCGTATGCCCTGTCTGTGAATTTTCGTGTCAATCTCTCATCAGCCGTGCCATTTTCATCACATGAAGTTTGTGTTGTGCACAGTCGTGACAAATACTTGCTTTGCAGCCCCAAACCCCCTAAAAACGGTGCCAATTCGTGGACTTCTTCCAGAGAAAATTCCAGAAGATCAACATGGTCCTGGAAGATAGCTGAAAGTTTTGTGTTATCAATGATAGCGAAGGTTTCCTGAAGGTTCCCTAGAGTTATACTACCATGTGAGACGTGTCTTCTGATTGGTAGGACATTGCAGGTCGCAAGAGGCTCTAGATCTTGTTGTTCAGGATCTTTTCTGTTAATTGCTTTGATCATTTTCTTGATGCTCTCCACTGAGGACCGGATTTCTCCCAAAGACCTAAGTGCTTCCACGAGTGTTTGTAATGTAGCCGGAGAGATTCTCAAAAATGTAAGAAAGAAGTCTGTAAGACCTTCAGGATAGTCGGCACCAATGACTGCCCTGCCTTCAACTGGCACTGGGCTGCTCCAGAGACACAGCGATGGCGGATACCACTGGTTTATAGAAGGAACATAGATCAGTCCTTCATCCTCGAAGGCATTGCTATTTCGTCGTTAGAAACTATTCCGAGTTACAGGAGCGATTTTACTCACCGTATAGAATCCCATTCTCCATCACTCAATGGGCTTTCTAGAAATAGCCTGTAGAGCCTCTGAGCTCTATCACCTACATTCCATACAGGATTCGGGTTTGTTTTGAGCTTCGATAGAGTGCGTTTGTAATCATTCCAGTCTGCATTTTGGATTTGTAGAATTTCTCCATGGAAGAGGCGAGCTATTTTTCGGTTGGTTCGGTAATCTGAGAGAGAATGTAAGGGCGTTTTATCTAGTACATCTTGAGGACCTTCCCAAACGCAATTGTCTATATCAATCCATCTGGGACCAGAAGATCTTGGTTGGAAACAAGATGGATCGAGTATCAGATTTTCTCGATGAAATGCTTCCCTATAAGTTATGAGTTTTGGCTATATCTGAACTCGGACACCTGACTTACACGATAATTTGCCTGTTCCTTTCACTGTAGTGATCTGAGATTGATGAATATGTGTTTAAAATATGAATCCGGGCCCAGTTCCAAACATTTTGTAGCCGACTCTCGTGCTGGCGTAGAATTTCCAAGTAAAAGGTAATATTTGCCTCGAACTGTACTCCAAATCTCGCAAGGAAAGCCCAGTCCTCAGGCGAATCCGTATAGCCAAGAAGAGTATCGCGGTCCAGAAACGGGAATCGTGATACTATTCCAAGGCTTGCAGACTCATTCATCAGGCCTTCCGTTGGAAAGTAAGTGAACTTAAGTTGCGTGGGCGAAACACCCCAACATTGGACGTTTGCTGTTTTAATCTCCTCTTTTATTGAGTCCGTCATTTCCGGTCTATAAGTTGCCCAGTGCGTCTTCAAAGTTCCAACAATTTTATTTGGCCTATGTTGAAGAATGTGTCGGAATTCAGTCGACAGTGAGCCTGCGCGGAAGTTTAGGCGAGGGACATCGCGGATTACCAGAGCCCGTGTGAGCCAGTCCCGCCAGCTCATGCCATGCTGGCGAGTTTGCCGAGTTATGGGAGAAACGAAGTCCAAATACTCATAGTTGAGAAATGAAACTGGTAGTTCAGGTAATGCTCCCCTGAACAGCGCATGAGGTCCATATTCATCTTCGGATGGCAGGTACACCGGTACGTCGGTTCTCCGAGTGTTGATCCTCCTTTCGTTTTCGTCGTAAATCCACAAATGTAAAAATCCTGGATCAGAAATATCTTCAGCGTGCCAGTACAAGTAACTCAAATGCAATTTGGACGAGGCTAGGTCTGCTGCTCCGTTCCGCGTCGAGTATTTTCTCCATATCTTGCCAATCACTTCATCAGGCGGGCATTCCGTGGCGCCAAGGTCTTCAAACAGTTGCTCTCGAGTTTCATTTACAATACTTTCAGGATCAATCGTAATGACTATATCTTGAGGTATTGCAGGCCCAATTTCTGCTGGAAAGTACGAATTGGTCTCTGCAGCAGTCACCCATCGTCCGTCATTCAATGGTATCAACTCCAAATCCTCGAAGACCATTGTCTCGATATCAGTGCCTCGGGATCGTTGCAGCATAGATATAATGAGATGAGCCGCTCGACTATGCCAGTTATGAGAGGTCTCGCCGCTCTTCATCCTCGAATCAGGACATCTCAAGTCATGTTTGATTCTGTGACACATCGCAAGATCCTCAATGTCTCTAATTTCAAATAGCTCCTTCAGCGTGTTGGTGTTTTCGGGGCCATATTCCAGCGATAGGTATTTACTATATCTACCTGGACGATCTCTGAAGAGGGGTGACCCATTTTCATCCAAGTACGCAGGAGGAAGTGTCCGTACATTTTCCGGTTTTCGAAGCTCTGAAGTCCCATGGAGGTAAAGAATATTTGCATTCTTTAGTCGGTCAATAATCTTGCGAGACAATTCTTTCCAAAAATGGTGCGTCTGGAGTGCTGCTCCGGAAGGTAAATATTCGACCCAGCGGTACCGTAGAGGGCCATCTCTGCTGCAGAAGTCAAGTACCGCATTGCAAAATCTGTCTGCAATTGCAGATAGGATGTCCTTATTCCACTCAGAGTCAGATTGAGCCTCTTCTCTGCTTGCTTGCAAGATGAAATCGGCTTGGATCAGAAACTAACTGTTTTAGCAGAGGTAAATTTCTCATCCCATGAAACTTACATTGAAGCCAAAGTTTCCAACCGGAAGATATGCAAAAACATCATATTGAGTGGGTTTCATAGGGCGATCACTGTCGTCCACCTGAAATGCCAACACCAGTTCACATCCATTTCTTTCTGGACGGGCCTCATCCTCCGACAGATCTGTTATCTGATATCTGAAAATATAGTACCGCGAGGTTTCTGGCTCCATGCCAAATACTTCGACCTCTTCCTCGACCGTTTTAATCAGAAGTGTCAAATTGGCTGGTGTAGCCTCCGATGGCGCCTCCTTACTGAAAGTGGTGATGGTTTTCCCCCCGGGTTGCCTGTGAACCGTAATTTTGATCTCTTGGATCTTGGACAAGAATAGAAGCAACGTAGGATGGACTTTATCAAAGTGAGCGACCAAATTCTCGTAGCGAGTATTGTTCGGAGTCAGGGTCATCCTCGTCAGGGGACGCCTATCCAATGGAATAGGATCATCTGCGAGAAGCGGGGTGACCATGCCCATCCTCTCCGCTACCGTACCATCGCTACGATACACGAAATAGAAAGAAAATGCGTTGGACTGTACGTGGACTCTGGACGCCACTTGGAACACAGCCTTGAATCCAATTCCCTTCTCGCCGACGAATCCATGCTGCTGCCTTTTCCAACTTCTCCCAGTACGACAAATTTGGCTCACATCATTCTCATCAAATCCATCTTGGTTTGATTCAACAATGATTCTCTCTGGATGTACCTCGAAACTGAGCCAACGGGTCTGGTGGTGGGAGTTGGCGACGTCGAACGAGCAATCTTCCACGTTCTGCGTCAGCTCCAAAATAAAGCGACCCCTTACTGAACCAATATCCTCTGCAATGCTAGAGGGAATTAGCCAAAATAATATGACTAAAAATATCAAGGAAACACACGTCTGCACTGTATCTGCAAGATGTCGTCGAAGGTTTGCAATAGATTCCAAAACCCTAGGATCTGTAGTTGCTTCAAGCTCTGGCTCGTGCCACCCATTGAGGCGGCTAACTCTGAGGACAATTGCTCGTGCCTCGGAGACACTGATATCGAGGGGAGAAGCCATCGTGTGAAGTTGGGAATTTTTTTTTTGTCGTATCCAAATAAACTTCAGCGAAGCCTGGCATTGATAAATAAGACGAATAAATGGTGGTCAGATGGCCACCCTCCCTGTCATTTCCGGTGCCACCTTCGGGGTTATGCACCTGCAGGGTCCAATCACTAGCGGTTTGCATGCGCCCTTGGGGAGCGAGGCGAAACGGTTGAGGGCAGTTTCCAACATGTTGTTGTTCGCCTGTTGGTTTCACCGAAACCAAGTAACATGCAGGGGCAGCCCCTGAGATATCTCCGCATGTGCTGAAGTTCAGCTCCGACCGAGGGGGTGGGGGTGGTGGAGCTGGAAAAAAGTTTCTGGCAGGTTGAGGGTCTGCATTACATTCATATATTGTTCGCAGACGATAAAAAGAGAATCTAGGAGCTCAGAAGGTGACAGTAGACCAGCCACTAACGCAATCCACGAATATACGTGATCTGGAATATATTTTTATCTCTTTACATTTTCCTCTATCTTCGAATAGTACGTCAAGCAGGTGGAACAAGTTCTGCACCAGACGATATGTTCCGCGCTATCATCGATCGAACTTGATGTTTGCTGAGCCTGCCTCCTGACCATTTACAATACTCTTGAATGTCAGATTATCACCCTTATCCCCAAATCTTACTTGTACATCATAAGAAAATTGATGTACAATTTTTTTGGTTTTGTTATTGTACCTACACTGAGTACTCGTGCCAAAATCAAAATCTGCATCGAAAGTTGACTCGATGCTGCCAACACGATCCACCCCTATTGAGGGTTAGTTTGTTCTTTTAACCGCTGAATACGATGGAATACACACTAGAATCAGTTGAGTAATCCGGTGCTTCTGTGAGTGCACAAGAATATAGTTGATATCGGCTCACAAATCTCGATCCTGGTGAGTAGATTTCGTAAACATCTGCTGTTATGCTTGTTTCTTTAGTAATTTCATCTCCCTAAGCACGATTACTGTTAGCAGCAAATGAATAATGGACTGTTGGTAATCCTTGAATGACGAGACATACTTTAGAAATTAGCCACCACATTCTGTCGCGACATAGCTTCCTGTTTTCGTCGAACTTAGAAAAAAAGGCGTCATCTTCTGAGTCTATCCCCTCACGGAAACTCAGCGAAATAGCAAATCCGTAGTGACGTCGGGCGTGCTTCACACGAGGTGATATTCCTTCAAGACCACGTAGAGCAGCACCTTGCACAACAGCAGCTTGACTTTAGCAGATTAGCATGGAGGATGTAGTTAAATTGGTAGTACCTGCTTACGGATGCAAGGGGCAAAGTAGAGTAATATAACCATTTTCCCCGCACCAATCTGCCAGAGCCTTATTCAGGTACGATGATGCACCAAATCCCCCGATAAGAATAATTCGCTAAATATTCACGAGCGTCAGCCAAAGTTCTCCATTTGTGTCAATACGGCCAGTGAAAACCTACATCGATTGTGGCATTTCGTACTTTTCTTGCTTCTTCCACCTGCTGGCCCACTAAGCTTGTAATCTCGGCAATGACTGGGTCGAAAAGACTTTGCATGTCCTCGCTAGAAAGTTATCAGATCCTCGTTCTCCATTCGGTGAAGGGCTTACTATGAGAGTTTCACAATTCTATCCTCCGGATCATAGAACTTAGATTCTGGAACATCGAGATTGATAGGGCCTAACTCTCGATCATCGCCGTTATCGATAACCCCAAAGTCTCGTTTCAACCCCTCAAAACAACTCATTAACTTTCCACCAGGGCCCTTTACCCCGAAGGGAAGATTATCGAATGCCAATCCGAATCTTTTGGAGAGTAGTGCATGCAGATTGCGGTCAATATATGTTGAGCCACATTTACCACCTACCAGATGTTATTTGTTAGGCCTTGACCATGGTACTCGGAGGAACTTAGATTGACGTACCCACACCGACGCAAAGCTCATCAAAAGTTAAGTACGGTCGTACCTGCGTGATTGTGTACGTAGTAATGTCAACAGTCCCACCGCCACAATCGCATATGAGGATATTTTCATTTTCCTGAATAGTTCAGTAACTCCTATCATCAGATACATAAACGTACGAATTACCTTGATGGGATTCAAAGCATTTGGCTCGGCATACTTTTTCAAAGTTGCAATAGCTGCGGCTTCTGGTTCGGCGATGGTGAAAACCTCGTCTATTGGTTCGCAACCGAAGCCAGCATTTCTGGCAGCTGTGAGAGTGGCAGCTTTTGCTTCATCGGACCAAATAGCTGGCAGTGTGATCCAGCACTCCATTGGTGTTTTTTCAAAAGTCGAATCGGTCAACTGTTGGCGAAGAATTTTGGATACATATAGGTACACTTCGTGCAAGAAGTCCTCACAAACCCCCGGGGCATCGCGAAAAGAAGGTAATTGGAACATCCCAGGGCCTACAATACCGGAAAGGGATGGGTCGTCATGTTCGCCTACGGCTGCATTCTTGTCAAGCAGGAGTTTAGTCCACGAGTAAGATTTAAGCTTGGGGTAGACCTCGAAGCCCCATTTGTTGGTACCGATCTTTGGATTCTCTTTGCTGTACGCGATCCTCGTTGGTGTTTTCCACGATCCATAGGGGTCTCCGGGCCAAGTCGAGATAATCTTGATATCATCTACGCTACTCTTGCTGCTTTTGTCCGTGGTTACGTAACTGACACCTGCAACAATGTTAAAAATGGAAATGTTCAAGCAGAATACAACCTGCATACCTGAAAAGGTCGTGCCATAATCAATTCCCACGATGATTTTGTGTTTAGGCACATTATCGAGTGACGAGATGGCATTCATCCTTTTCACTAGGTCAGAAAGAATGTCGCCTGTGCTCTGAGAACTCATGGTGGTGAATGAAAGCAACAATAGGTGGGTGAAGAAGGACCGTGTCAATGTCGAAGGTTGATGCTAACGTATGTTACGGATATATGGAGGTTGGCCGCCTCACAATGCGACCCGAAGGATTTAGTTTCGTCTCGGAGTTGCCGCTCCTTGCAATACGGAGTATATGTTCTGAGTATTCCACACCGTTGGATTTGGCTATGATAGGTCAATCATGCACGAATTAGGCAAGTGGAGAACGATGCAACCGCTCGCAGAGGGTTTCGGGCCGGCCTAAGGGGCGTGAGATTGAGACCGTGTCACCTCCGGCTGCATCTGCACCACGAAATGTTTCGGCAGCATGTCGGGTCCATCGATCCCGCACGTTAGACCTTTCACGAGCCCTCAACATTTCATCAATTCCACCCGCTGTTCAGTTGCCGACTGTCTGAATAAGCGCTTGACTGTTTCCATTTGGCCGAAACAATGCCACCGCCGGATGCTCGCAGCCAGGGGCTCCGGCCGCCAAATGCAGTAGGCGCAACACCTAATCCCTTGATCGTGCTACTCACTCCATACTTTTGCAAGATTATAAAGCTTACATTGTCCAAATTTAGGAGACAGACGAATTGAACAACACTCAGAAGCAAGGTAAATTATCTCGCAGCGGCAAACCAAGTGCTAATTCAAACGCGGCCTTGGCAGCAGGTGTACGTACACAATATGTCTTCGAACAACTCGAACCAACAAGATCAGCGCACTTCGCAGAAAACCGGCGAAAAAGATTTTCCATCGCCTAATCAGATGATGGAAGGTCCATCGAATTCATCCCATACCAGGAAGAATGCATCTGTTGCCAACACTTCGGCTGCGGATAGCTATGAATACGAAGATGAAGAGTTTCCACCACAGGTCCGGAACTCAAAGCACATGGCATCAGAACAGGGGTATACAAAACCTGGTGAGTACTTTAATTTGTGCTGCAATTCAAGAGCTAACGCCACCCTTTCCTAGATGTCGACGAGTCTCCTGGTCTCATACAAAGACTGTTTTCCCTTGGTAGATCCAACCCGCCAAGTACAGACCTGGAACGACCCCCACACCCAAAGCAATCACGCAAACCTAGCCTTGCAGGGCAATCCCCAAACCAGTTAAAAGCAACAAGTGGTACGGGCAAACAAATATCAAAGGGGGAACCAGCTCAGGCGGAGGAATTAACGCAGACATTCAATCAAGCGGTGAAGCAGAAGGAAGCAGAATGGAAAGCAAAGGAAATAAAACTTGAGCAACAGCTTGAGCATATACAAAGTCAAAATCAGCGTCTGGAGAATGGGATCCAGCAGATCCAAGGTGAGCTGGAACATCGCACGCGCATATTGGAAGCCAAGGTGCAGGAAGTCAAGTCCGAAAAGGAAAAGGTCGAAGCTGAATATAGCTTATTCCTTCGCCAGAAACAAGAAGAAAAATTCAAAGAGATGGATTCTTGGCTTCCCGTTGAGGGAAGCAAAGTGATTGGTGATCTCGAGAGGCTCAAGAGGGATATGAGGTCCGTCGGAAAGGGGATGGCGACAGATGACTCGTCCGTCTTTCAGCGACTTGATGAAGCTGACCATGCGGCTTTGCTGAATGACCTTGCGGAAGTCTGCGTGTTGACCAATGGTGGACTTCCAGAAGAACTGACCTCTTCGAGGTCTCCTGCACTTCTTCTGAACGCCCTACTCGCCCACCATGTGTATACGACCTTTTTTAAAAATCCATTTTTCTTTCTGGGAAATGGGCTAGGAGATGTTCTTCCTCAATCAGGGCTGGATAGCTTGCTGAACGAAATATACAGCCGCACGGAACAAGGTAAGTGTGTTCAGGACTCTTGGACTTTAGGAGATGGTAAAAACACAACTAATCTGTGCGACACAGCAAACCAAGAAGAGGCTCATATATGGCGCTCTCAAACATTAAGACTCTTACTGCCTCAGCTGAGAGATGATGCAACAAGTCAGGAAAAAGAATTGCATCGTTGGACGTCTGAATTGATTTCCAATGTTGCAAACTTGCAAGCTGCACATTTCTTAGAAGGTCCAGCTCGACATCTGATCCGTGACGGAGCCGAAACCAATTCTGGTAGCAAACTTCAAAGTATATACCAGATGGCAGCGAATATTTCTTACATGATGTGGACGAGGAGGGCGACTTTGAAGTGTTACACTTTGAGACACCTACACCAGCAAACGTTTCATCCAGAGAGTAAAAATCTCATTCCGCATTCCTCAGTGAAATTTGATCAATTTGAGGACCAACTCGAAGGCAGACCCATTAGCCTGATCGTACATCCACTTTTAGAACTATACGGGACAAACGACGCCAAGAATTATGACCGAGGATCAGTATGGGCACCTGCAGAAGTGTGGCTCGATAGCAGAAAACCGACTCAGTGATGTAGTTGCCCCAAACGCAATTTGAGGCGGGAAAGGATGAAAGCATAGATTATTGATCACAGACTATCAAGAGATTGAAGGCTATGCAAGAAGACGTTTCCTAGATTCGAGATTCGCATCTCACCTTGTCGTGCTGGGAAAGGATTTCCATTCTGCAAAAAAGCTTAATGAACTGACTCTCCTAATCTCACTAACCTGCCTTTGAACCCCATAAGGTGAGGGGAGGCCAGTAGGGCGCCAAAAACTCGCTTCCGCGTTTTGTTCGCTAGCTACTCTCCCCCCCCCCTAATTAAATGTAACAGTGGGTCCCCGCAAAACCAGCCTGGCACGGTCCAGTTGCCATACCAAAAAACCCCTGCACTTGGACCCACTGTTACATTTATTTAGGGGGGGGAGAGTAGCTAGCGGCCTCAGTAGGTTAGCACGGTCGGGATAACGTTGACCTGAATACGAATTGTGGTTAGCGTGCTGACTCGAGCAAGGACGCTGCCCAGTCGGAGATAAGGTAAGACCACGCCTCATATAGTATAACCTCCTGTCCTTCACGATGCTCCTGCTACAAACTATCCGGCCATCCATCCCACTAACTTCAGTTCGTTCTTCCGTTGCAACTCTGCTTCAAAAAGAAACTGGGCAAGATGGTGACCACGACTCTGGAACCGCAATGTTCGGGGGTAAGCACGAATAAAGGAAGACGAAAGCCTCACAGGAAGTCTCGTAAGGGTTGTGCTTGCTGTAAAATACGAAGAGTGAAGGTAAAGTACTGTAAAAAGTCCCTCCCCAGAGCCAACCAGCTGATGTTCCGCTGTAGTGTGATGAGACCAAGCCGGTATGCAAGAAATGTGTAGCGTTTGGAGCCACTTGTACCTATGATCGGAAGGCAGCGGACCTCCAGATGTCCTTCGAGGGCACAGGAACTATCATCAACACGACGAATCTACCGCCTACAACAAAGTACACCTTTATCAACCTGAATAAAGTCCCCAGTTTTCAATACCCCGTAATTCAAGACAATGATTTTACCTTGAGGCTGGACAGCATGGGCATGGAACGACTCGGCCGTTTCTTCAAGAGGACAGCATTATCCATCGGCACAGCAAAAGCTGGTCACATCTTCCAGGATAGCACGCTCGGCATTGCCTTCACGGTAAGAATCCCCATTGGGTGTTCAGAGCAAGACTGACCCTGTCCCAGCATCCATACTTGATGCACGTCATTCAGACCATAACCGCGATCCACGATCGCTATATCACTGGCCCTGCTGCGTCACACTCAACACTAGAAGAAGTGTTCCACCTATCTCAAGCCGCCGCTCTGTTCAACCAAAAGTTGTCCGGCCCAATCCATCCAGATGACCGAGACGCTCTTTGGGCAACAGCAGGCCTCTTAAGTCAAATTGCCTTTGCATTCGTCGACGCATCAACACCAGAAGAAGCGTGGCCCCTCAAAGGACAAGATCCGACTGATCTTGAATGGATCGCGATGAGCGAGAACAAGATGGCCATTTGGGAAATCGCTAATCCCTTGAGACCGGAAAGCATCTTCCATGGGCTTGTGATGGACCTAGTGAGACTTGACCAGCTTTGTGGTCCTTCCGAACCAAACATTGCGAATCTCCCACCTCTCTTCGTCAAAGTCTTTGAGCTCGAGAACGAATCGATAGCGGAGGCCTGTCCATATCGCACGAGTGTTCTGCTGCTATCTTCGCTGATGCCGATTGAATGCACCCGGGACACGTTGGTCAAATTTCTGGGATTCGCAAGTCATATGAATCCGAAATACAAATTGCTGTTGACACAGAAAGACCCGAAGGCACTCTTGTTGCTCGCCTATTGGTATGCGAAGGTCTTGAATTCGGTGTGGTGGCTTGATCGACGGGCGACAATGGAGTGTCAGGCGGTAATTATCTACCTGGAGAGAAATCACCCAGATGAGGAGGATATATTGGAACTGCTGAAGTTCCCAAAGGAACGCTGTGGAATGTGGCGTAAGGGGCTGGGAATACTGCGGCATTGTTCGATGTAGAGTTCCAAGCAAGTCAAGTGTATTCTGCGATTCGTGCCTTCCAAAAAATAGCAAGAGAACACACGAATCAAAGGATGAGATATCGAAATGCCTTCCACATCAAGGCTGGGGTCCTCCGGGATACTTTTGGCTTTTATCAGACAGTTAACTCGAGCGAGCCGGGGTCCAAACCCATTGGAACCGACTGTTCCTGCCCCTCAGAACCTTATCTCTGGGCTCTGTTTTGTTGCACATCGATCAAATAAACGTTCCCAGGGTCCATGCTACCTCAGCCAAAGATATAAACAGGTGGGGATATTGTTGGAGCTGTATGGCCTCTGATTTGATGGTTGCTTAAATCGGGTGACCTATACGAGTGCGAGGAAAGGGTTAGCGAATAGGCTTCACTAGTTCCTCAGCCCACTTGCCTAATTCGTTCACATGCCATGCATCCCTTGTTTTTCGGCTGTTGAATCCTCCCGTTCCATGATAGCGAATAAACTTTCTTCCAAGCCATGTGGCTTCGCGACAGCCACTTATCATGAAGTTTCGTTTTGTTGATCCATGGTGATGTTGCTTGATGTAGCTTGTACCCAGCTAGCCTTACAGGTATTGCTGCATGCAGAACACCATGGGTTCCCTTCCCTCTCGGCAGACTGCTCCGAGAATAGAGCTATCAGACGGAGGAACGTAAAGCCAACCTTCTCTGGATACATGGGCAAATGGGAGGCTGCCCAATACCCGATGCACAGTGAAGTGAAATTCCTCAAGCTCCACGAAAAATTTTCTCTATCAGGCCGAAATCAAAACACTATGGATCGCGAAAATCCCGAAGCGGTATTCCAGCAAGTTACAGATCGCGAACGTGGACGTCGCCAAGCATTGAGTGATGCATCAGATACGATCTATGCAGTTCCACCGGGTATTGAGGAGGTATCGCCGATGTGGATCCCTGGGAGACTGTGAATAGCGGAAAGCGTTTGTGGTACGTAGCATAGCCACGAGAAACGTATCGCAGAAAGTTGAATTGCGTGTAGGAGACTCTTGACCGAGCGGCAGATTAATGTAAGTTTTATTTGGAGCGAAGGCGGGAGAAGGTTTCAGCAAGACTGACGCTTCTAGCTGATAGATGATTGTATTTTCTGGGACGATTGGAAATGGTAACTCTCTCTTGAGATCCACTCGTATTCGGATATAGCTGGACCTTGATTAATAACCACTTCAACATTAGGTCTTTCCTCGGTAGTGGCACAACGGCTGCTCGCGCCGGCCCCGGAACCGGGTGGTGCAATCCTGGCATACGCACTCATGGGCACAGTCGTGACAAGCAGCCAGCTGATTTGAACACAACAGATTCCCGTATACATTCCCCTAATTGATGGACAACTTCAAGAAACGTGAGGTTCAGCGTCTGGCAGTGGAGCCCGGAGAGATCAAAGGATCTGAACGGTGCGATTCAAGCGTCAAGCGTGGAGAGAAAGGGAAGGCTGGTGTTTCCAGATAGTAGGCTATCGAAGGATAATGCGAGGGCGTTTATTAGGTGGGCTTGGGCACGGATCAACTGACCTTGATGGATTTCTGCTGTAATTTAATCAACAAGAGAACATGCGACCAAGTATATAGAAAAGAAAGTGAACATAGCTGAGCATTCACAATTTAGATTACGGAGTGAATGAGTATGCGGTCGGCAATGACTAGACATCCCGAAGTCCCACAGAGCGTCACTTGAGTCTGCAATGCCCGAGCGGTGGGCTGAATTAAACGGCGAGTTCCAAAGAAATTTGCTTCTGAATGCTGCCTAGGAAGCTAAGCACTCCATCACAAGGTATCTGACTGCCATAACGACATTCGAAGGCTTATGCATATCTTTGAATGCTAGGCGCTTGCAAGCTTCAATAGCAGATACGGTGTGGCGCTTGCACCTCCCACATCTTTCAAAGCCCCAGGCGCGTATAGACTTCCGAGTTGGACCCCTTCGGGTCTCTACCCCTTCGCCAGCTATCCTCATTATATGTATCCAGAAATAGATGGGAGCTCATGGGATGCTGGCCTTTGAGGCTTTGATGCATGTAGAGGGTTGTTGTGAATTACGAGCGTGGGGAACGAGGGCTCTGCGAGAAAAACAGGAAGAGTTCTGCCTTCTGTCAGCAAGTTGTCTTTTCTATTCGACGACTCCATTTCAATGAGACATGTTTCGATGATGGAAAGGCCTCCAGAAAGGAGAAAATGAGAGGACGTTGAAATGGAGCGGGGTGACGCGATTGTGGCGCCGATAAATCCTCCCCGGATTGATAACCCCACGCTGCGGAGGTCTCGGATGCAACTGCACCGTCATCAACCACCAGAACCTCTAGATCTCTGAGATTTCACTTATTCATCTTCGAGGGCGTCGTTCTGCCAGCTGGATCTTCTTCTTAATTAACTCACTTCATTTGAGCCTTCGTTCAATCCCTTTACTTGAACTGTGTCTGAGCATCAACCGCCTCGATCAAATCCTCAAGTTACTCAACCTTGTCGTCTCCACCTGAACCTTGAGATCTGCACGTGAGCGAACCTCATCTCACCTCACTCCCAGCACCAAAATGGATTCTCCCCCACCAAAACCAAGCCTCAGAACCCGTCTCGGCCTCGCATTGCGCACCAAATCCCGCTCGGCTACCAAACTTGCAAAAGCACCGCCCTCAGAGCCCTTCAAAAAAGTCACCTCCTCAACCACAACCAAATCGACATCCGCATCTACCTCCTCCGCCCTCTCCACATCTACCTCCTCCACCCTCTCTCCAGCCAGTCCAAACCCAAAACCCCGTCCCCTCGCCCACGGCGCGATATATCGCCCGACAGAAGACAACACCAACACGCAAACGGGCGAGCGGCGAGATGACACGGATTTACTGCACGGATTGATGCATCGGGAGTCAGACTCCTCCTTAGACTCCGCCTACGAACGGCTGAAACGGAAACGGGAAGAGGAAGTTGATGACCGACCGCCAGGAGAAGGAGATGTCGAGAAGCTGCCTGCGGATCTCTGGATCGCGATTGCGGACTTTTTGAGCCCCTGTGATGCAGCAAATCTAGCGTACGCGAGTAAAACGCTTGCGAGTAGGTTGGGCACGGGGGCTTGGCAGGAGCTAAATCGTCCTGAGAATCTGAGAGAGAAAATCAAATTTCTGGGGGGCATGGATGGCAAGATGCCCGGTCACCTGTTGTGCTTTCTATGTGGGATATACCACGTGCGAACACAGGCGGGGAAAGAAAGGCTCAAAGCGACCAGCGTTATAAATCCTCTGTATATCTGCGGCTCGGTGGGGAAACCGGGGTATAAGCCTCCCAGAACGAGGTTGACGCCAGGACATACACTCCCGTTTACGTTTGTTCAATTAGTTTTGCGAGCAAGGAAGTATGGGACAAGTTATGGGATAGACGTCAACGAGTTAGGCAGGCGGTACAAAGATCCCTACAGCGAGTGGACGCATCAGACGCGGTACTATATACGTAAAGGGCACCTTCTCCTGCGCGTCACATCTCGCAGCTTCGCATCTCCTGGCCTCCCACCAAGCGGACAACGCCACCTCCTCTACTCCCGCGAAGACTACACGCCGTACTTCTCCGTGTGCGCGCACTGGCGGGACGGTGAACTAATGGACGTGTGCAAATGCGCGCTGGGGCATATCCCCAAGCATAGAGAGACCATCGCGCAGCAGATGAAGCGGGGTCCGCAGATCCAGGGCGCGCTGAGGAACCCGAATCCGATTGTCAGTCTTTGTAGCTTTTGTCGCCCGATGAGGCGGTGTCCGGAGTGTCCGAGTGAGTATTTGGTTGAGCTTAAGTTGGCGGAGGACAAGAATGATCCGCTTGTGAAGTTTAAGCAGGCTATCACTGTGACGAGGTGGTGCGATTTGGGGGATGGGTCGAGCCCTATTGGTCCGGAATGGGCCGCCATCAATGGCGAGGGGGAGACGGCATATGATTCTTTTGCCAACATGGGACGCAGAGCTATCTCGGGGATCTTTGAGAGTCAGTCTGGGGTGACCATTCCTGGGCAAAGAATGCTGAGTCTTAATCCAAAGAACGAGAAGCTTGGCGAGGAGGGCCATGGGTGGTATTGAATGCTCAATGCCAGAAGAGATCACCAGCGTCGTAACTTGATGATCCAGATTGCTATCCCAGACGAAATAGCAAATCCGCAGATCACGACCCCGAAACCGATGCCAATCATCTTGGACTTATCGAATCTCGATTTCTGCTCCGCAGCGGCGGGAGTGGGCGATGGTGTCACATGGGTGAGGTTGACAGCTTGCGGTCCTCGTGCCGTGCAGTAAAGATTGCCTTTCAAGCAGCCGTCATTGAAGAGACTTGTGAAGTAGTCGCACACGTCGAGGAAAGTAGATGTTATGTTCATGTTGCCTCCCACAGAGACAAGAACTGGAAAATAGCGGATGTGGACAATCCTGAGCAGAAAAGTTAGTCGAATTCTTGTTTTTAAAAAAGAAGACTTACGAGCCCATGTTTCCAACCATGGTGATATTTCCGGAGACAGTTTCAACCACGGGGAGTCCCTCGAATAAGAACAGACCATCGTTGTTTATGAGCTCGAAGGTGCCATGGATGGTTATTAGATTGGGGAATCCCCAGTATTGCAACCCAGGGTTTCCTGCAATGAGAAGAACGTCGTGATAGGACGCCCCTGGAGCATCTTTGATCTCGTAGATCTCGGCATAACTCTCTCTTGGGTAAGTTATTGCTTCGACATAAGGACCGAGAGAAACAAGATTGGGGACGTGGAACTCCTCCAAATTCAAATTCTCGGCGATTTCAAGACTGCTCGCGCTCACGGCGTTTATGCGAGTAACGTTACAGCCTCTCACTCTCGTGGTACCCATGTTTTGGAGGTCACTGGTGAAATTGGTATCATCATTTCCTGTGACAAGTACTGCAGGGCTGGCTGTCCCGCCGAGATAGAGTGAGCCTCCAGAAGAGCTGAAGTTGAACGATGCCTCTACTACGCTTGTGAGATTCGGAAAGCTCAGCGAGCTGATGTTGTGGTAGGGGATCATGAACCTATATACTGTTCGTAGAGATTCCATTCCTGACCAAGAGCTGAGAGCCGGTAAATTGATATTCAGGGAATCTCCAACGTCAGACAGAAGAGGGATGTCCAGAGTTGTAATTGTGTTTGTCTTGAGCCAGAGATTCTTCGTGACTGTGGTCAATCGCGGAAACGAGATCGTAGTGGCGGGCGTATCCCATATTATGTCGAAGCCGTACAATGAGACCACATTTGGCAGACTAATTGTTCCTTGGATGCTTGAATTGTACATGATCATAAGACTCCAAGTGATTGTTGTGCAGTTTATGATGAGCTCTATGTCGGCTTGAGTCTCGATGCCAACATAGTTATTATCTGGGAAGTCCTTCGCCGGAGCGAGACATGGATCTGGTCGATCTCGTGAGGCTACAGCCAAATCGTCATGTCAGTTGACACACGCAAAAGGATCAGACAGCGGTGAAAGGACAGCCTCGTGGACGACCTACCAGCCAGGCCCAGAAGAGAGAAAAGGCTGAGCCCCACGCCGAGGGGAGCCATGGCGAGCATCTTGAACACGATTGAGACGCAGGAGCATACAGCAAGCTAGGTGAAGCAAGAAGAAGCAGGGGGCATGTTGGGAGAGGGTGTCTGCGCAAAACGATGATGCCGTCCTCCAAGTTTTGCGTGTTTGTAGAAGAGTAGTCTAGAGATAAATCATATGGAAATGCTTGTGATGATAACAGACTTGTACAGGCTGCAATCTATCTTGTGCAACACCCTGAATGGGCAGGGTAAAATCGTCCACGCCACTGGGTCGCATCCTGACCTTTGCGAGGCTGTTCACGGGGCTGACTTCAGCTGCCCGGATCCAGAGAATGTTCAATAGCGTCACGAAAGAGGAAAGGGAAATTTTCCTTGCCGGGGATAGAGAGTTTCCAAGCTGGATCTTAGGAGGTGAGCTGCACCACGTTGGCATGGTGAGACATTCGCGGGGTGAGAATTCGGGGGGCGATCAGTGCGGTGGTGCCTTCCGGGAAATTGCCAGGCTTCACCGCTTTCGAGATCGAAAATCCTTTGCCACGATTTATGCCATCAACACCACTCAATCCCGCCATCTATTTCGATTAAGATGGCTAAATCTAAAGTCAAAAGGAAGCAGCAGATTACGCAAGTCGACGCTCCATCTAAAAAGCAAAAGACTGTAGCCATTGTCACGCCGCCACCAGAGAAGGATGCCTCCCGGCCCAAAACAATCCAAAGCATCGGTCTTGACGACGATGACCTCGACATCGCGATTGATACCCTGAGTACACTAGCACAGAATCCGAGCGTCATAAAATCGAAGGCATGCAAAGACTTACGAACGGCTGTTTATGAGTTCCGACAGGCCTGTACGACTGGATTCAATACTTCAGGTATTTCTTCTACCCCGCCCCCACTACAATGCTGACGGTCGGTGAAGTCGATACCAACCTCACGGCTCGAATCAGCGGAGCTCTTGCAGATGGGGGATATACCGAGTCTCGAATATTGCTGGCGGAGATGAGGATAAGGAGACAGACACCAAAGCTTGGGGCGCTCTGCCGTTGGGTGCGAGATCTCGACGTTGTGAGTGGCTTAGCAGAGCAGGTCGATGGATCAGGGAATAGAACGACGAGGGAGGAAGAGCTGTTGGTTGTCTTGGATGCGATACTGAGGCTCACTGGACCTACCGACTACTCGATGGATGGGGAGGTTGCTGCTGCTCCAATTATTCCGCGAAAGGCGTGGGATTTGCGAAATGAGTTCACCGAGAGAAGGAAGATATACAATAGCGTTCTAGATGGCAGCATACTCCAGACTTTCTCAAGCGATATCAAATCTCAATTCCGAATCATCGAAACAACTCCAGGTCTGCAACGCAAGCCTCCGAATCTCCATCCAGCCCTCCTCCACGCTTCGAGAGATGATGCAGTTCTACTATTACCGAATCCTCCAAAAACCACGCACCACACACATCCCATAGTCCCGAACTTACATCTACTGAAAGACGTCCTGTTGCCCGAGGAGTGTATACAGATCATTGCTGCCGCGGAGACGATTGGCTTCATACCAGACGCACCAATACGGGCCGAAGGAGATGAAAGCAGTATTCTCGCACACAACTTCTACTGGATTGTGGACGATGCATTCTCTTCGAAACTTTGGTCAAGAGTGCAGCCTTTCGTCCCAAAGGTTGTTAGTCAGAGGAAGGTCCGGGGGTTGAATCGGAGGTTCAGGGTCTACAGATACGTTCCTGGTGCTGAGTACCGTGCTCATATTGGTAAGTCAACTATCCGTTGCAGAGGATCAGATGCTAACAATTGGCTGCAGACGGTGCTTGGCCTCCTTCTTCAATTGATCCTACTGCTGACAAGTACATCTACGACTCTTCTCCTGCCGAAGCGAAGCAATCCTCTCTCTTTACCTTCCTGATATACCTGAACGATGAATTCGAGGGCGGAGAAACCACTTTCTTCTTGCCCAGTGCAAGAGAAGGAAGTATGAATGCATACCCCGTGAAGCCGATACAGGGAAGCATTGTACTCTTCCCTCACGGCGAGACAGAAGGAAGTCTTCTACACGAAGGCACTGGCGTCCGCAAAGGATCCAAACCATCAGCGAAGTATGTTATACGTACGGACGTATTATACGACGTTGATATATCATAATGCAAACGTTTTCAAGCAACATGTGCGGCCCTACCCTCAAAACTTGAATACCCAAGGGTCCACAAGCCGAAATACCGATCAATATCGGAGCATCCAATCAATTAGATTCGCCCCAAAGCGGTACCCGGGCCGCCCTAATCTCAGGAAGTTCGTTGATTGATGTTGATTTCTGCTAAACCCCATAAGTTCGTCAAGTCCCCCTTGTTTTCAGAGCCCCACCAATCAGAAGTCTGGTTGAATAAATTCCAAACGTGCGCAGGGTCTCCGAAAGAGGCTCGCAGCTTTATTTCGTTCATCAGCCTCGGCCAGCACAATGCCCGTCTGATAAACTTTTCTAGCCGCAACGTTCATCAAGATCCTCAGCCATTGACAAATGGTTTTTACCAGCTGGTCATCGGCTACATTATGGACCTAGCTACCACCAGTGTTTAATTGGACAATTGAGAACTATTCCTGTGAAGCCCTAGCCGTCGGCACGTCTAGGACAATTGTCGTAGGTGGAGAATGCGTGCGTGGATCGGAAGTGTAATAACGGGACTCTTGCTATGGCGTGTTCTCCTGCTTTCTCTTCTATATAAAAGAGATCTTGAGCTGGAGCTGGCATTCAATAGGGCTGGCGCTCCGGCACTGCCGAATTCCCCTACCTCACCGCCCCTCGACGCAATAAAAGCCCAAGCCTCCTCGATAACACTGTCCTCATAAGCTCCACAAGCTCCTCCCCCTCAGCCGGTGTTTCTGCCGCAGCTTCCGCAGCCACAGCCCTAGTATTCATCAACTAGAAAACAATTGTAGTCATCCACTCCGTTGATCCCTTGATCCCGGAATCAATCTTTGCTTTACTCCCCGTAGTAGCAGTCGTCTGGCCCGACATCCCGGGTCAAGAATCAGGAAACGGCCTCGCCTACATCCTTTACGGGACTTCAAGCCCCAGCGGCAAACTGCCTTTCACGATCGCGAAGCAGAGGAGTGATTACGGAACTGCTGTCAAGGACGGCAATGATCAATATCCTGAGGGACTGTTCATTGATTATCGACATTTCGATAAAAACTCAATTGTCCCGAGATATGAATTCGGCTTCGGGTTGTCCCACACTACGTTTGCGTATTCAAACTTGAGTATCTCAAACTTAAGCACCGCAGCTCCAAGCAAGGGCTTGGCGCCAGGAGGACTGAAGGCCCTTTATAATATCGCCGCTACAGTCTCTGCAACGATTACTAACAACGGCACTGTGGAAGGGAAGGAGGTTGCGCAGCTATGCATAAGCTTGCCAAGTTCGGCGCCAGAGAGTCCGCCGAAGCAACTTAGAGGTTTCAGTAAGTTGAACTTGAAGTGTTGAGCGAGTGGAAAGGCTACGGTTGACGTGAGGAGGGAGGATCTGAGTTTTTGGGATGTGGGGAGTAGGAGTTGGGTCTTGCGGAAGGGGAATTTTGAGGTCGCGGTTGGGGCGAGACCGAGGGATGAGAGGCCGATTGGAACAGTTGAAAGTTAGAGGCAGGGTGGGAAGGGGAGGTGAAGGTTGGTTTTTGACGTTAGTGGGCGCGATTCACGTGCTGGGGCTCCGCTAGGTTTGTCTCGCGTAAGTGAATCCTGTATGTGGATCCTACCTAGTCAGGGGGGGATTTAAGCGAGAATGGAAAGGGGAAGCGAGGGGACACTTGAAAGTGCTAAAACTCAACGCCCAATGAAATCTTGAGACCCTGCGATATGCTGTAATTGCTTTGTGTGGGCCGCTACCGTATTGTACTTGGTCCCTCTATTTTTCTTCAATCTTTGACAATCTAAGCAAAGAGATGTGCTTAGTATCCTAGGGTCATGTGTAGCGCGAGAACCATATCACACTTCGATGGCGTTATTGAGAATGGGCGCATTTAAGGTATTTTATGTGAGGCAAGTCAGTATTTTTATCTTACGGAAAGGTTCACAGCTGATTTTCCCGGCCGCAAGCCACAGGACCTGCAAGTCATGAAGTGGGGAGAAGGGTTACATAACATTTAAAACTTACACGGTATCATTTCTTATCCCTGTTGTATTTGACCTTCAGATTGGCTTCGTCTACAAGTCTCTGTATCGCCAATTTCTCATCAAAGCATGCATTACTCTTCAGTTTCTTCAGCGTTTTGGCTAATTGCTCTCTCTAAGAGAAGATTCTGCTGAATAGACATCTTGTTCAAGGAAGCCTCGTTTTAGGTTCAATTGAGAAGTTGACGACAATGAAAGTGCCAAGCACTGTAGCAGCTCGTTAAAGCCGCAAAATCCTTTTATATCATAAATTCGAAGGCCGCAATGAATAGGGAAACACGGAGGGCTTCTTCGATAGAGCTATGCGTAATATTGAGTTCCCACAGACCCAAAAAATCCCACAGACGCTTGGTGTCACGGCCTGGACAAGCTGTGGAAGTGGAATGTGTGGTGTTTGTGTAAATATATGTATGAATGATCGTGCCCTAAGGGCGGTGAAGAAGCTATATATACGCCTGTGCGCAGCACGTGACACTTGGTGACACAACTGAAGTTTCACTGAGATTATCGCGGCGACTCAAACTTAAAGCTGTTCTTGTTACTCTTGAATTCGTCATGCGATTTCCCGGATCGCATTTTTTGCAAAGGACAAACAATGTTATTAGAGACGTAAGGCTAGCTTGTTCGAAGTGGAGTCTTCTTCCGTTTGTTGCGCGAAAACGGCTGACAACTCATCCAGAGGCAAACAAACATTGAACATGGAATAGCCCTTTGGAACAAAGCAAGCCTCGAACTCTTGGTTTTCTTTTCGGTTTCGGCGACGGACCATGGAAGTTGGTCCTCAACTGACCACTTAGCCATGAGTTCTAATACTTCAGACGTTGATGTGTCACAAGACTCCAGCAGTCACGTCAAATGTGAGGGCTTAATTCTAAACCCAGGGAGCAGCAATGTACACAGAAGCCAATTAATGATTTCATTGACAACGAGACTATTTGGTATCGCTGATTAAGGGCTCATGACTCTCTGCCTGGAACAGATTAGCAATTCATAGTATCAAGTGACGAAACATGAGTCCGGTTTGAGCAAAGGAAGTCTCTCTGACTCTCTCCAAAGGTGCTTTTGACTCACACCCACCGCACCGACTCCCCCCTCGTAATCTCAACGCCCCTCTTGACCTCACCCAACAAGTCTACGTCCCAGATCCAATTCACTCTAGTATCGAGATTGGCTTTAATTTAGCTAGGTCACTTCCCATGCTTGCCGTCGCAAACTCCGTTTTCTCTCCCATCCCTCTGCTTGTGCCGGTGACTTTCTGCGTCCGTGGCCTTCCGACGTATTCGTGGGCATATAAACAGGCTTTCAGCTTTGTATTTATACTTGACGAAGTGGTCTGCGGGCCGTTGAGAACTTGTCCGAGAATGTTGTTGAGGATAAGTGAGTCCTCAAATGCCATCCCTGCACCCTAGCCTTGGTGAGGAGTTGAGGCGTGCGCTCCATCCCCCATCAATGTAACGCAGTCTCTGACATACGTAGGGCTGGTAAGTGATCATATAGTGCCCAGCGTTCTGGACGCTTGGTGTGCGAAAGTAGCTCTTTAATGGGACTGCCCCAATTCGCAAACACAGAAGGCACAGTCTCAGCAGTGACGGGTTGGATCCAGTTTGTGTCAGTCCGAATACTTTCATATGAATTGTTGTTGGTTGGAGTAAGGATGCAGTCGATGGTGGAATAAGTTTGATGAGTTCATCGAGGAATCTTGCGTGATGGAAACATGCTCGACCAGGTTTAGGTGACCAGTGTAACAGACCGTCGTTATTAAAATATTGAATCTAGTTTCAATATTGTCAGAATCATGCGTTGAATTTCAGAGACACGAAATATTTATCAGATAGTTCCCAATGATGTTTGAAGACGCATTTAGACCTGAGCTGTGCGAGTGAGACATGGGCCAGAAGCCTTTTCGGGGAAGTTAACATACGGTGTACCGAAAGAGCGTTAGCAACGCAAATTTCTAGATATTCGTCTTGTGCTATTGCGTAAGTTCAGGGTGATCTCAGACTATATATTCCTAGTGAAAATGCTTTGCACAAACTCCTCCTCCCGTTTCCCAACCCTCATCCAACGATTTTACCACGTCGTCCGAAAGAGGACCTTTCTCCAAGCTCGCTAAATTTCCCTCTAGCTGGGCCGCATTGCTTGCACCAATAATTATGGCATCACCAAATTCGCTCTTTAGCAACGAATGATTCAGCATCCACCTTAGAGCACACTCCGCTACAGTAAGGCCATGCTCTTGCGCAACTTGTCGAAGAGTTTAAAGTCAGTAACGTTGCCCAAGTAAAGAGCAGGAAGTAGAATAAAAAATTAAGAGAGACAGACCGGTCTCAATATATCCGGAGCATCAAAATACTTCTCATTCCAATACCTTCTCCTATAATTCTGTCCCTGCCGCCTCTGTGGGTCAAATCTCGACCCCTTCTCAATCTCATCATGCTTCTTCAACATTTGCCTTGTGTATCTTAATGTTAAATACCCTTCAGCCAATGGATTGAAGGTGCAAAATGCAACGTGGTAGTTCCTTAGACATGGGAGCAACTTAGGCTCGACCGCACGATGGAGTGCATTGCACACACCCTGATACACAGCCGACTTGATACAACCATTACGATCACAGGTTTCACAAATCTGAGCCACTTCCCAAACCGCGTAATTGCTAATGTCGAATCTGCGAAAGAGACCTTTTTTGTGGAGATTGTTGACTACGCGGAGGGTGGTCTCGTGTGGTGTACTCCGTTCAGGTGCATGTAAGTACCATATATCAATCTTATCAGCTTTCAAGCTCTCAGGAGATTTTTGCAGTGCAAGACACAGGTGCGAGGGGGGAAATGTAAAACAACCCCCCTCGTAAGGGTAAATCGTGATTTAGCGTTTGCTTTTTGCGATTGTGATTTGTAAATTGGCGCCGGCACATGTGAACCTTGTGGCTTTCCGTACTTTCCGTAGATCCTTACGGCCTTTCCGTAGCTAACCTTTAATAAAGCTGCCGCAACCCCGCACCGGAGAAGCATCATTTCTCGACTGAATCAAGAAGGCCCCAGCGACTATCCTGTCACACCACTTTGAAACACAAGGCGCCTTGACACCATTAGCAAGATGAAAATATCTAGTACGCGTCTTGTGCTGTTGACGGCCGGGGTTCACGGGGTGGCTGCGAGAGGTATTTCCCTCCCAATAACTTCATCTTTGAAACCAACATTAGTCCTACAGAAGCGCTCCAATCCGCCGCCGTTAATGCTAATGGGGAGGGTCGTACCTTGACCCCCCAAAACAATTACAATGGCTGGGTCAATCCTGAAGATTTGGCTCCTATGCCACAGTGCATCGCTCAGCAGGATCAATCCACCTGGCTGAGTACCATGACGAAATGTACCAGCAAACAATGCACCTCGCACTTTGGATTTATCTGCACCCACCACCAATGGCTGACTCAGCTCAGCTGTCTCAGCATTGGATTTTCCTCCGATGTTATTGAAGGTTATCTCCCATACTGTGGTAGATCAGTACTCGCCAAAGCGCAGTTGTATCTATGGATCCGTAAAATCACCGGTCGAACATGGCTTGTTGATGTCGGCGACGCGAACGGGCTGCAAAATCTCTCCCCGGCCTCCCTAGCTGAAGGCTACGCGGCCGTGGACGTGACTTACAATGCACCAACATGCCTAACCGGCTCGGTTTCTGCTCTATCAATGGAACCATTTCAACATGTAATGGCCTCCTGTAGTTTCACAAGCACGACCCAACATACCGGAAATGCCGCTCGCCCTTGGGAATATAGTGAATCCCTACGGTCCATGATTGCTCTGGATTTTGAAACTGTTGGTTACGATCTCACTCGGGGTAGCATCGGATATGGCGACTATTTTGATAAAGAATGCTTCTGCAGCGCCTTCGCTATAGAACCGGAACCCTGTTCAAGTTCAGGGCAGTTAGACTTGACGAAGGAGCGGCTATGGATTAATGCCACCTGTGGGTCGACGCTCTTACCCGATAACTGGACGGACATACTCAAAACCACGGAATTCGCGTGCATTCCCATCGAAGACTGGCACTGGCCCATGTGTGTCGTGGATATGCCGAAGCAGGTGATCGAGCTTACAGATCAGTGTGCAACCGATGCTTGTGAGCCTGACTCAAGTGGCTACTGCAAAGTCAAGCGCGCAGTTGACAGGGCTTGCTTTTGCCGCGACATTAGTTACGATTCCTGCGGAGGTTCGTGCCAGATATTCGAGACCCGAATAGACTATATAAACTGGCTCCACGATCTTTGTAGCAATGTGCAGGACTGGCACGGTCTGCCAGATAATTGGCGTCAATTAGCCGCCCCTACCCCTCTCGACATGATTCCATGGCGATGGACTATCAAACCATCCAACGATTCAAACATTACCTATATCACTCGTTTGGGATCTATCAAGTCAACGGAAACATGTGCCTCGAATGAGTGGAAGCTCGGAAGCTTTGCTCTAGTGAATATAGCTACTTTCTTTGCCGCATTTCTCCGCCAGAGAACAAGCATACATCGAATCGCACGCGGCTTTCAATGGCACCAGCACCCATGGTGTTGGTTTTTCAAGGGGACTTTGATCGCCGCTCTTCAACTCCTTGCAAACTGGTTCAATACACTTCTGGTCCAAAAAACCCCTGGTTATGAGGACGTTCCCGTTATTCAATTGATGCTCCTCTGGTGCTCAATGCCTCGGCTTGCTTGGCTAACGATTTTGCTGATTGGTGTACAACCATTTGAAGCTATGAATTTCTCCGCGGCCGCGTCTTCTTTATTTGCGGAAGTTATCCTCCAATTTGTATCATCATATTACATGGTTATGACCGTCAATTATGGTCGAGAACACGACTTCTACTTTGGAGCTCTAGAAAGGGCGGATAGAGGGATACCAGCAAAAATCATGTATGCTGGTGCACTCATATGGCTTTTTATCATTAGCCTGGCGCTCGTTCAGTTAATACGGGCTACATGCAAGGTGAATAGGTTGACTGGATCTGGCAGCCTCGATTTACCAAAGTGGCAGAGAGGCAAGCAGACAACATCGAGCATTGCGGAGGAGCTGATGGCCCAGTTGAATGAACGTTGCACAAGGTTAATGGAACAGTTGGCATATTATTGGATGGACAAGAGTAGGGACTCAGAAGAAACACCGTTGACGAGCAGCGAGGGAGGAGATTACAGGGTGTATGGCACTTTCTCTGTTAAAGGCCAAAACAACTGGGCATCCCAGAAAGCATCTGTGGAACTGTATGCAGCCACGGTAATTAGCATGCTCCTTCTTTGGATTGCGCAGTGGCTCTTTTGGGGTGGATTTATTAGTCTTAGTTCGGAAGAGTAGGTATTCATGCACATACCCGGTCCATATTAGCTAACCGGACTTAGGTTCTGCCCCCCTAAGCTTGGGGTTCTCACGGCTGTCTGGATTGCTTTCTCAGTGGCAGGCGCTACTATTGGGGCTACTTGATAAAGTACATAACTTAGTTCATAAGGGGCCAGAGCACCTTATCGTACAACGCGTGCAGGACTATCTTAACCGGATTCCTGTGTATTTTCAATTTGTCAGGGGCTAGGCACGGAGTATCTCCGCTCCACTATTCAAGCCAAGCTATATTGTTTCAGTACTTTTGGGATACCGGTAAGTGCTTTCTCTTCAAGTGGAGTGAGACATTGTTGGCTCTTGGCCTTCTGCTCTTTCGAGCGCCGCCCATTTGCACGATGATAATGGAGGGTAGAGAGAGAGACCATTTTTACGCTTGATAGGGCATTATATGTTTGAGGCTCCCCCAGCAGAAAGCCCTCTTCAAGGGCTTCACTGGCGCGGTCGCTCATAACTTACGGCAATAAATGGAGATAGAGGAGAGACATTAATGAACGCGAAGGCAGACAGGTGGCTGCTTATGGAAACTTCTAGAAGAAGCTTGCTTAAGCTTATTAAAGGCTTATTAATATTAATTCGTTTACTTATATTGTGATGTGGATTTCTCTCCCTGGTCACGTGGCGCGGTCATGTGACCTCCGGACATCCGCAGTCCGCAGTCCGCTTACCGCATTATCTGGTGTATATAACCCCCCCTTATTCAGGACTATCCCCTAATAAAAGACCATTTCCAGAGAAATTCCTGGTGCAATAGCTTAGTAATATAAGACTATAGTCTTATATTACTAAGCTAATTTTAATTTGCTAGTTTAGAATAATTCAAGTAGTTTTCTAATAAATTTTCTAGCTAATTCTTAATATATATAATTTGCGGCTTTACTAGAAAATATAATAAAAAAGAATAATAAAACTATATTTATATATTCTTATTATTAATATTTTTATCTCTATTAACTTCTTTATTAAAATCTAATTTAAATAGCTTATTATTCTTAAAATTAATTATATTCTTTTTATTCTATTCCTTAATTATAATTCTTTTTATAACTTCCTTTATAATATAAAAGCAGCCTAAATTATTATTATTATTATTAATTGTTTTTCTAGCCTCTTTATTATTTATTATAAAGCTCTTTTTATTTTCTTTTAATAACTTTTAATAATTATTATATATAAGCTATAAAAGATCTTATAAGCTATTAATAAGTAATACTAAATTAATATTTAAAAAGCATTTAATAATAGCCTCTTTATACTTTTTATAAATCTTTTTATATATATAATTTAATGAATTTAAGTATTTTTTTATTTTATTATATATATTTTAATAAGCTTATTAATTAAAATATTAAGAACTTAAAAAATTTAGCTTTACTTTCTTTAATTCAGGCTTCTTATTTCCCTTTTTTCTTTTATTTATATATAATTTAAAGAAATTAAGGACAAGAATTCGAAGTTATTTTTATATAAAAAATATATAAAGATATAAAAGTATTAGCCTAAGCCTTTTTATTAAAAATTACCTATATATTAAAATAATACTTTTTATATTTTATTTATTATTAAAAGATTTCTTTTTCTAGTCTTTATTATACTAGTAAGAATTAGACTAGAACTAGTTAGATATATAAAGTTAAAGTTAGGAAATATAAGTTAAGATTATATATTATAACTTTACTTAAGCTAGTATATAAGCCTATATATAGCTTGTAATTATTTAGATTCGAGGTTTTTTCGAGATTTTCTTCTCTTTAGCTTTGAATTATTAAAATAAAAATAGTTTAACTTTGCTTTTTAGGCTCTAGATCTTATACTTGTAATAAAATATAAGAAAGGCTTAAATATTAGACTATTATTACGGGCTATTTGTAATATATATAGGGTCGTACGTAATTTAAGGGCATGTAATGAACCTCGGATATTACGGGTATTAATTAGGGAGTTTGGTAGCTCTTTAATATCCCAACTAATTACTATTTATATTATATATATTAGGCTTATAAATTACTAATTATATATATGTTATCGGGGCCTCCTATTTAGAGGGGGCTTCCCTGGATCTTATAGGAGGGATAGAGATTAGTTCTATACTAAATTTAATACTATAGTTTCATAATATACTAATTCATTCTATTATCTTATTACTTACTAATAAATACTTTATAAGCTAATCTCTCTACTTTCAAAGAAGGTAGTTTAATAAATAATTATATCTCGAAATCTGCAAAATATATAACCTCTCGCCAAAGCTATTCCTATAGAGGAAGTCGACCAGATTAACCCTAATATGGGTAATAGTAAAGGCTTGTCTAATACTTTTAATAGGGCTCTTTAGGAGCCTCCGAGAGCTAGTAATAATAACGGAAATAATCCCGGCAATAATTAAGATACCGAGATTAATACCCGAGTTACTGCCGCCTAAGCTATGAAATAGGGCTTATATACTAAAGTCAAAGCGCTCTAATAAAAGCAAGAATTAGTAGATATAATTAACTAGTATATCCTATAGTTAGAGTAATATAAGGATACCCTTAGGGATATCTTGCGGTTTACTATATCTTATAGAAACTCTATTTATAAGTCTATTCTCTCTTCCTTAGTAATTCCTACTAGGGAACTTCCTAAAATAGGATTAGAATCCATTTCCTTTCCTAATATAATAAGCTTTGAGAGTAATCTTAATACTATTTATTAGGAGCTACTATATAATATCCTAAAGATATATTTGGACTAAAAGAAGCTTCTTAAGGTCCGGATACCTGACTTATATTATGGAAAGTTCCTTAAGAAATAGAGAATATTTGTATTTTCCTGGGAAATAGTCTTTAGGATCTAGTTTTGAACTTATAATAGATACTTTTCTAGAATTAACTTTATTATAAGTGCCCTTAGGAATAAACCTTATAATACTTGGGAGGCTATAATAAAGTAAAGCCTACTATTATATAAGGTTTATTAGAAGTAATTTAAGGCCTACTTGGCTAATATACTTCAAGTACCTTAAACCTATTAATAAGATACCTTTAAGAAATTCCGAGATCTTTATTAGAAGAATAGTAAGATAGTTACCGAGTTATATACTCGGATAATTAGTCTTAAAGTTAATTAGGACTTATATCCTAAGAAGAACCAGGTCCGGACTCTTAATACTACTTTATCTAATTATAAGACTTATTAGATACTTATATCTATTCTCTTAGGAAATAAGGCAATATCTATTTCCGAGTAGCTTAAGAAAGCTTAGAAAGCAGAATATACTACTTACCCCAAATTAAGGAAAGTAAAGGCGGGGAAATCTAGTAAGAGTAATTCTGCCCCTAAGAACTCTAATTTAGTAAATTCTAATTTATAAGGCTATTAAAAAAGGAAGAATAAGTTCCGAAAATTATATAAGAAACCCTTAGATAGTACTTTGGCCCTTTTAAGGCCTTAATAAAGTACTAGTTCTACTTTAGATATAATTTATTAAACTTATAGATAGAAAGAATATTTCTTAGGAAATATAAAGTATTTTAAGTATACTAAATAAACTTGGCAGAACCCTAATAAGGCCAAAACTATAGAAAAGTCAAGGTATCTATAGAAGTAGGTTAATACTATTACTATAAAGAAGTACTCTAGAGAAGATCCTCCTAAGAAATAGGGAAAAGGGAAAGCTAAATCTTAAATATTAATAATTTTAGCTATAATAAAAAAGGCATATTACTTTATATAACTATTTAAGCAAGATTAATATAGCCAGAAATAGGTACCTCAGAAATATATAGTAGACTTAGTAATACTAGATTAGACTATAACTTCCTTAATAATAATTAGGCTTAAAGCCGGGGCTTTATTACCTTAGCTAAGTATAACTAAGAGTTTATAACCTTTTATAAGAATAGATTTAAGGTCTATTAAGCCTATAATCTTAAGGTATTTATTATAGATAATTATAATAAGATATATTCTTTTAAGCTCCGGTTCTATAAGTATAAGAATATTGGCTTTTATAGCCTTGTTTTTGGTATGGAATTTTATAAAGTAACTCTTATATAATATATAGATTATATTAAGAAATAATAGGTATATATACCTATATAGCCTAATAATATTAAGATTCTAATACCGAAAGAATTTAATAAGGAGCTTAACTAGTACCCTAAGCTAGTGCCTCAAGTTTTATTCTTAACTAAAGGCAAATATAATTATCCTAGATAATAGGCTTTATATATTTGTAATAATTACTAGATCTCTGCTTTATTATATAATTCTGGTAATACTAAATAGGAGTTTTTAATATAGTAAATTAATATTCTCTAGAAAGAGGCCTTAGAAGTATTTATTTATTTCCGGGATAATAAATATAAAGACTTCTTAGAGGTTTTTAATCCTAATAAAGCTTCGGAACTTCCTAATCTTGGCGGTATTAAATACTTTATTAATATAAATAGTATGGTCTTATACGGGCCTTTATATAATCTATTAGAGATCTAACTAGAAGTATTATATTTGTATTTATAGGATATGCTTTATAAATATTAGATAAGGCCTAGTAAAAGCCTAGTAAGAATACTTATTTTTTTTGTCTCTAAGAAAAATAGAGAACTATATTTTTATATTAATTATTATAAACTTAATTAAGTTATAATTAAGAATTAGTATTCGCTTTCTTTTATTAATAAGACCCTTAACTAGCTCCGAGAAGCCAAGATCTTTATAAAGCTAGATCTTAAAGATATATATTATTAGGTAAGAATTTATAAAGAATATAAGTAGAAAATAGCTTTTAGGACCTACTATAGCTATTTTAAATATCTTATAATATTTTTTGGGCTAGCTAATATACTAGCTATATTTCAAGTATATATTAATACTATATTTATAGGACTCCTGAATTATTTCGTAGTTATTTATTTAGATAATATTCTTATTTATTTCCGAAATAAGAATAAATACTATAATTATATTTACTAAATACTTACTAGGCTATATAAAAATAACCTGTTTTATAAATTTAGTAAATACGAGTTTAATATTAAGGAAGTCGAATTTTTGGGTTTTCTTATTAGAATAGAAGGTATTTATACGGATCCTAAACGAGTTTATAATATTATTAAATAGCTAGAACCAGAATTATTTTATAATATTTAAGTATTTCTTGGATTTACTAATTTCTATTATAGGTTTATTTACTATTACTTTCAGGTAATTATAGGCTTAATAGATCTTTTAAAAGAAATAGAAAAGGGCCGGAAATCCGGTTTCTTTATATAGATAGATAAAGCGGCTAAAAGCTTTAAGACTTTAAAAAAAGCTTTTATTATAATACTTGTCCTAGTTTATTTTAATTCTTTTAAGAAGATTTATATTAAAACTAATATATTAAAATTTATAATTACTAGTACTATTTTATAATAAGTTAATTCTAGTAATAGCCTAAAAAAATACTAGTATCTAGTAGTATTCTAGTTCCGGAAACTCTCCGGAGCCAAATATAACTATAATACCTATAATAGGGAGCTGCTTATAATTATTAAAGCCTTTAAATA